GAAAGACAGAGAAGTCATTAATGAGACTTTAGAGGATCCAATTCAATGCAAAAAACCTAGGTCCTTTTTTTTATGTTGTTGCAAAAAATTTTTTTAAAGCAACCGATTATAATTATATATTTATGGGAATACATAGTTTTAATCTTAAAGCTGTTTTTTTTTCTCTCTTAAAACGTCATTTGTTTACGTGAAAGACTTTTTTTCTAATTATAACTATATATTCTCATAAATAAATAATTATAATCTATTGTAAAAACAAAAAATATATTTCCCAAAAACCTAACAAAGAAGACAATGTGCAAAGGAGAATTCCTCTTTCTTATGCAAAATAATATATTAGAATAAAAATAGATGGGTACAAGTAACAGGTCCCTGTCGAAAAAAGTTTAATGCACTACTGTGTACAAGGTACTTTTTTTTTTTTTTTATCCATTGAGAAATTGAACACATAACTTATTATATAACTATTCACACCCTCGCCATTAAGCAAATCCTTGTAGCTTAGCTACAGGGTACTCTACGTACGGCTTTGTTTGAAAGTTTGAAGAGGAAGAGAAAGAAGGGAATCCAAGAGGGAAGGAAGAAAAGGAAATTGAAGGGTATTTCCTTCCCATGTTTGAGAGTTAAAAAAATTGTAAGGGAGAAAAATAGAAGGATAATGAGATATTTTATCATTTTAACATTTTTAAAAATTAATATAATTATTATATTTCACAAATTAAATGAAATTTAAAATTTCTAACAAAATTATTTATGTACCTTTCACACTATTAAAAAATATCATATTTTTTTACAAAATTTCTACGTTGCAAACGGCAAAAAACTCTGTCGAAAAAGTATTTCCCCGTCGAAATAATTTTCGTTGAAAGACGACAAAATTTTTTATCCGTCAAAATTTTTTACAGAAATAAATTTTCTGTCAAAATTTATAATGGAATTTAGTTTCCATCAAAAGTTTTGATGAAAATAATTTCTTAAATATTTTCGACAAAAAAAAGAATTTCGTCCAAAATTTTGACAAAATATTTTCCTTCCAAAATTTTCGATGGAAATGTGTTCCGATTAAAATTTTGAGGGAAATATTTTTGCGAAACTTTCGATAAAAATTAGATTCTGCAAATAATTTTGACGAAATGTTTTTTCGTCAAAAATTTTTAAATAAATGTTTTTCGTCAAAAACTTTTACGAAATATTTTTCGTCAAAATATTTCAATGGAAATGTGTTCCGTTGAAATTTCGATGGAATATTTTTTGTCGAATTTTTTTTATGGAATTTAGATTTCGTAAAGAATTTTAATGAAATTTTTTTTACCGAAATATTTTTCGTCAAAAAATTTCGATTGAAATGTGTTCTATTGCAAAATTTTGATGGAAATATCTTTCGTCAAATGTTTTGACAGATATGTTTTTTAGTAAAAAAATCTGAGGGGATTCGAGAGAATTTAGATTCCGTAAAGAAGTTTGACAAAAAAAAATTTCTGTCGGAATTTTTTACAGAAATATTTTTCATCAATATTTTTGGTCAAAATTTTTTCTGTAAATGCATCTCGTTGAAAATTTTAATGGAAATTTTTTTCGTCGAAAATTTTGACAGCAATCTTTTGAGTAAAACAATTTGACGAAATTTTTTTATGGAAATTTGTTTCGTCAAAATTTTTGACAAAATTATTTTTCGTATAAAAGTTTGACGAAAATGTTTCTGTCAAAAGTGTCGACGAAATTTAGATTCTACCAATAATTTTGACTGAATTTTTTTTCCTCAAACATTTATGTCTGTCATTATGGCAAAATCTTATTTCGTCTCTAGTTTTGATGGAAATTTTTTTCCTCTCTATTTTCGATGTAATATGATTTTTGTCAAATATTTCATCATTATTTTCGATGAAATTTTTTTCGTCGATAAATTTTGTCGGTGTTTGAGACTTTTCTAATAGTTCACATTTAAAAATGATTCATATTTACCTAGTTTTCACATTTTAATGCTAATGGTAAATAAGTAAATTTTAATATTTTCTCCCTCAAACTAGGGGTGGCAATTTGAGTTGGCCCGTCCTGACCTGCAACCAACCCGCCAAAAACGGGACGGGACGGTTTGACCCGCCATTAAATATGGGCTTAAAAATTGAACTCACCCCATTTTATGGTGGGTTGGCGGGTCAACCCACCAACCCGCCAATTAAAATTTTTTAATTAAATTTTTTTAATTAAAATTCAAAAATATTTATGAATTTTTTTAATATTATTTTATTTTATTTCACACTTCTCTTAATTTTTTTCAGTCTCAATCTTAAATGTATACTAATATTTGTCAAACATTCTTTAGGAACTCATTTGTCTCCATATATAGATAACATTTGTCATAAATAAAATTGTTATTCTTTATTTTTTCTAGGAAGTACTAAGAAAAAAAAATTGGATATCTAAAAAATTTAATGACAAAATAAATACTACCTATTTACAAAAAAAAAAAAATTATAACCCGACCAGTCAACCCGCGTCGCGGCAGGTTGAACCCGTTTTGACCCACTTTTAGGCGAGGCAGGTTAGTGAGTTAGTGGATTGAAAACTTCAACCCGTCCTGTTTTGGCAGATTGACCCGTCGGGCTTAACCCATATTGTCACCTCTACCTCAAACTCTTCAAATTAAAGGAACTTTAATTTCAAGGATAAGAGGGATTTTGAAGAATTTTGTAAAAATCGTCGATTCTCTTCCCCCATTTTTTTAATCTCACAAAAGAGAGAAGAGACTAATAAAACCCTTCATTTCTTTTTTTTTTTTCACTCTTAAAACTAACTCCCATACAAAGCCTATATGTATCTCTATGCAACTTCTACAAAAGCAAAAAAACTAAAACCATGTCAGATGGTAGAAATTCAAACAATTCGGACCTGACGTACCTTTAGGCTTTATGCTTCATCTTTGATACTTCATACCTAATCAATTTGCTTACTTAAAAAATACAAGTACAATTGAAAATAATATATATTAAATTCATTTTTTTTTATTTTGATAATTTGTGATTGTTAATTGTCAGTATTTTCTTTTTATTACTTTGTTGTTACATCTGCCGAAGCTTGGTTGGATTTTGAAGGCGTCTAACTGAACAATCTTGATTCAAAATCATGAGGTTTTTCCTTCCTTTAAATATACTCCAACTACTACATTGTCTTGCTTGGAAGCATTATAGTGAGGCTTAAGCAATATCTCCATTTGTCTCGTTACCCTTAACATGAATAGAAAAAGAGACTTTGGCCATGCCCCATTTAAAAATAATAAAATCAGGGTGACGAAAAGAAAAGAAAAAAGTCAATTAAAATGAAAGGGTCTTCATATTTAATTAGTTTTGCCTTTTGATCATGGAGAATGCTTTTCTATATTTATACCTAAGTCCTAAGCTTTAATAAATAATTAACGAGACAAGTACAGTAGACATAAACATGAAGACAGAGGAGTAAATATTTAATAAACTATATTTAACCCGCAGATGCATGATGGCAATCTTTAGTAGGTATTAGTCGGCTATTGATGTTCAAAACACAATCTAGAAAACGAAAGGTGGGGTGGGGTTTGTTATAGTTCAAGACCAGAAGATGTTGGACGCATCAAACATGCTTTTATATTGGTTTTGATGGATAACAACTATAAAATGTGGAATTCTTGAAGCATTTCCTGCCTTTAACAAAAAGCAGTTTTGTACAGTTAATAGTATTACATAATTACGTATCAAAAACAGTAATCATAGTTAAATAAAAAAACTTAAACAGGTAATAACAGTAAAAAAAATTAATCAATTAATTAATTTGGGCCTGCTAAGGCTTAACCAATTGACATCACACACATATATATATATATATATATATATAATGTCAACAATCCGGACACAAAAAATATGGGGAATAAAAGGAGACAATACTATACTATACAAGCAAAAGAAACAAAACAATAATAGAAAATTATCATGTTACGTTTATTTTGATTATATGTTATTACATTTGATCATGTTACGTTTTAGCTTTTTTTTCAAGAAAAAAAAGCAATTCTCGTTCTTAGTTCGTTTGGATGTCTGCTTTTAAAAAAGAGAAGTCACAAAAAAGTCAAAAACCTACTTTTTTTTCATAAGCTAAAAATCTTAATTTCTAAAAAAAGCAGAAATCAAAAGCCAAATATTTTTTTTTCAAAAATTAAATATTTTTATAAAAATATAAATAGCTTTAATTTTTGTAAAAAATACTTTTAAAATAAAAAAGTGATAAAAGTTATTTTTATTTTTTTTTAGCGGAGACAAAAGACATTCGTCTACGGCAATTCTTGAAACAACTAAAAGTCCAATTAGATACAAGTTTGCAAAATATTCTTAATCTTTGATATATTATAATCGTATGATAAAATTTTTATAATAACCAATTCGATTTTGATAATAAAAGAATAAGGGTTCATTTTGTTTGCAATTTTTTTTTTTTTTTTAAAGATTTATAAAAAAAAATTGTGAAAATAACAAAAAAAATTCCTCAACTTTTTTGTCAAAGAACAATTATTTATGAACAAGAAAAGAAAGCTGTGAAATTGACGGAATGTACGTGTTTAAAGAGTAATCTTTTGGAGTTTGAACATCTCCTAATTATGATTGCTCCCTGGTTAAGGTTAATCCACAAAGTTGTTGTTGACTAACCTAGAATCATTTTTGTAAAAACCTTGAAATATAAATTCTTTCTTTCACCAAACTCACGAGCTGGTTTAGTAATAGTAATCAAAATCCCACTCCATCACCAATTACCTCATTATGTCGTAATCACTCTCATTAATTTGATTAAGCAAAAAGAAGAAGAAAAAGAAGAGTGATTTTTGTAGCATAAACCGCCATTTTTAACATAACCTGAAATAAAAAAAGTTCCTTCTTTAACAGCCTATCTTCAGGTTTCTTAATCAAAATCAATTCGTGGCACTTGCTAAACTCTCTTTGAATCCAAGTTTTCATTCTCCTCCTCTGGGCTTTCTTCATACTTGAGTCCAGTGCCCGCAACTTGTTTGGTCTATTATCTCAACCAGCTAGATAGCTGGTTATCTTTGATATCTTTGTATTTTCAAAACCTGCTAACTCAACTCACACTAGCAGTATACTGTATGCAAACTTTTAGAACCTTTGAACTTGTTGTAGCTTATATTCTTTCATAAATATAAATTTCTCCCTCCTAGTCTGAGATATCCTGTTTTTCCTTTCTTGTTCTCATGAGTTATACTTTTTTCTTTGAAAGTGCTCTTTGGGTTTTGTTAGTTAGATAGAAGTGAAGTGAGTGGTTAACAAGGAACAACTGTTGTGAAAAGATGAGGTTTCGTACTTCATTGTTGTTTCTCGGTTTTATTTCCACGCTCTCCCTTGTGGCTTCTGATACTCTGCCCTCAAATGAAGGTATGTGTTCTATCCCAGTATTCAATTTCTCTTTCAGATCTTGGAAGACAATAGTTTCTTCTAACATAATGCATTAAGTAGCAAAGATTGGTTGTTATGTTTCATGTGTGAGAACTTGGAAGTTTCAAGATTGTGTAATTGATATTTGCTTTTAATTGACGTAGTAGTCTTTTAATAATGGTATTCATTGGAATGAAGCATTTTCCCTGCCCTTTGTTTTTTGGTTTCTTGGATAGTTTGGGCGCTTACAAGCTTCAAAGAAGCTATCTATGAAGACCCATATGCAGTTTTATCCAATTGGAATACGCTGGACTCAGATCCTTGTTTCTGGTTTGGTATCGAATGCACAATGGCTCAAGATCATGTCATCAAGCTGTAAGATATCATCGGTCCTTCTGGCTGGTGCTTTTTTCTTTTCTTTCTTTCTTGATATGGCTGGGATAAGGAATTGATGGCATGAATTTCTAAGCTAGCTCATTCCTAATACTAAAGATTGGGATTCTTCTTTGCAGAAACATATCAGAATCATTACTAAAGGGGTTTCTTGCACCAGAGTTGGGACAAATTACCTTCTTGCAAGAACTGTATGTTCATTGTTTCTCCTATCCACACGTCGTAGTTCTGGAATATCATGGTCGAAGCTAATTTCTGGTTCTTTATGTTTGTAGAATTTTGCACGGCAACAATCTCATTGGAATAATACCTAAAGAGTTGGGAGTGTTGGAATCTCTCAAGGAGTTGGATTTGGGAATGAATCGGTTATCGGGACCAATTCCTCCAGAGATTGGGAATTTAACCCAAGTTGTGAGCATGTAAAAGAAATTCAATATGTTCTTCCTGAACAGAGAAAATTATTGACTCTCAGACTTATTCAACTTTATTTGCATTCTTGTAGAAACCTGCAGTCTAACGGGTTGACTGGTAGGCTACCTCCTGAGCTTGGAAATTTGAGATACCTTCAAGAACTTCGGCTGGATAGGAATAAGCTTCAAGGACCTATTCCTGCTGGTGTCAGTTCGGATTTTGCTTCAAATATGCATGGGATGTGAGTGTAATTTTTTACAATTGAATGATCATAACTTTAAGTTTGGTTCGGGATAGGATAATTTAGTATTGGCAATGACAAATATCAAGTTTTCAACATGTTCAGGAGCCATTGAGTATGCAAAAGGATTTCATTAGGGAAATAGGAAGACTTAAATGACCTTTGGGTTATGAACCAGCTCAAAACTTTTGTGGTTAAAAAACATATAGTCAAACTCAATACAAAGCATAAAAGGCCAAGTTATACCAATCAAAGTTTGAATTTTGTTAAACTGTCTCTTATATTTTCTTTAATTTCTTCAGGTATGCATCAAACGAGAATATTACTGGCTTCTGTCTTTCGTCTCAATTAAAAGTAGCAGACTTTTCATATAATTTTTTAGTTGGTACCATACCCAAATGCTTGGAGTATCTTCCCAGGTACTTTTCTGATACCTTGGTCACGTTGGAATTCTACTCCTCCACCTTATTTAGATAGCATATACTCCATCAAACAGGTTAAGCTTTCAAGGGAACTGCCTCCAGAGCAATGAATTAAATCAGCGGCCTTCCATGCAATGTGGTATGTAGGACATGACCTTTTTACTATTCAAAATTGAAGGCATGAATTAGGTGTCTCTTCATAATCATCTCATTAATTTTGAATCATGCAGAAGAGATGAAATGAGCCTCAGTCTAGACTTCATTATGAAGTGGCTTTTACTGGGATTACCTTTGTATTCCTTTTTTTGAAACCCAACCTGGTGTTGAGAATAGATCTCTGTGATTACAATTGTCATTCCTTAAATTGCTGCTTCCTAGTTTTGAATCTGATACTGAACTATTATTTCATAGCTGGTGCTTCACCTGCCAAGAGCCAGCCAGTGGTGAACCAAAACCACCAACCTGCTGAATATGTGCCCAAGCATCACGGAGCACCAAAACCTGCTTGGCTTTTGGCTCTGGAAATAGTAGCGGGAACTATGGTTGGTTCTCTCTTCCTGGTTGCTGTTCTCGCTGCTTTTCAGAGGTGTAACAAAAAATCATCTATCATTATTCCTTGGAAAAAATCTGCAAGCCAGAAGGACCATATATATATAGGTTCAGTTTCTCTGTTTTCTACTTTCCATTTACATCTAGCAGTTCCAGTGCTGTTTTCAACATAATTGGCTTTATTAATGTGCAGACCCCGATGTGTTGAAGGATGTGAGAAGCTATAGCAGACAAGAGCTTGAAGTGGCCTGTGAAGACTTCAGCAACATAATTGGGTCCTCACCAGACAGTGTGGTCTACAAGGGAACCATGAAAGGTGGGCCTGAGATTGCTGTAATTTCCCTCTGCATCAAGGAGGAGTATTGGACAGGATATCTTGAACTCTATTTTCAGAGAGAGGTAATTAGAAATATTCCAATGCCAACAACATGCAAGAATTTGCAGGCAAATAATTGCCCAAATCTTTTAATATTTATTCATACTATTAATGCCATTCAGGTGGCAGACTTGGCAAGGTTAAATCATGAGAATACAGGAAAACTACTGGGCTATTGTAGAGAGAGCACTCCATTTACAAGGATGTTAGTTTATGAGTATGCTTCAAATGGGACACTTCATGATTACCTACATTGTTGTAAGTCAAGTTTCTTAGTTCGTTTATGTTTGTTAAGTTTTTCAGTTCCTTCAACTTGAAATTATGACTGCAGATGAAGAAGGCTGCCAGTTCTCTTGGACACGGCGCATGAAAATTGCTATAGGCATTGCACGTGGACTCACGTATTTGCAATCAGAAGTTGAACCTCCATTTACTATCTCAGAGCTGAATTCTAGTGCTGTATACCTTACAGAAGAATTTTCTCCTAAGGTGTAAACGCTAGCTAGTTCAAATCTTCAAATTTAGCAATTACGATTGTGCTCAATATCTTATTGCAGTCAAGAATAAGTAGAAATAGAGTAACGTGCACCTATGTTTATATGCTGTATGTTCTGTTAGAAATGCAAATTCTCATTGTCATGAACCTGATTTGCAGTTGGTTGATTTTGAAAGTTGGAAGACAATTCTTGAAAGATCAGAAAAGAATTCTTCTGGTTCTCTTGGCAGCCAAGGAGCTGTTTGTGTTCTTCCAAATTCCCTTGAGGCGCGACATCTTGATATCAAAGGAAACATATATGCTTTTGGGGTACTTCTACTGGAGTTAATCAGCGGGAGACCTCCATACTGTAGGAACAAAGGGTACTTGGTGGACTGGGTAAGGAACTTCCTAAAATTTGATGTTTGAAAGTATAGTTTCAGAGTTTCAGGCAACCCTGAAAGAGTGTACTTTTTAACTAAGTCTTATTTGTTAAACGTAAAACAACTGCTGCAGGCCAAGGACTATCTTGAAAAGCCAGAAGTAATGTCACAATTGGTGGATCCCGAATTGAAACATTTTAGATATGATGACCTCAAAGTGATATGTGAGGTAATAACTCTTTGTATCAATCCTGATACAACTTCATGTCCATCAATGCGAGAATTATGTAGCATGCTGGAGAGCAGAATTGACACATCAATAAGCGTGGAGCTCAAGTCATCATCTTTGGCTTGGGCTGAACTTGAACTTTTATCATAAACTAGTCAAAATTCAAAACTAACAAATCCACACTAAAGCAGAGATATACATACGCCAGTAATACTTCTTTCCTCTTTTCTCCTCTTCAATTTTATTTCTATTGTAAATGACTGCTCAAAAAGGGTACGTGTTAGTCTTAAGCACAACAAGGGCTCGTTGTACAGCACTAGCAGACAAATAGAAGTCCAGAAATTGTTAAAAAGAATAAGGTTGTACTAAACAAGTGTTTTCCTTTGTGTATTATATTGAGCATTGTGTTATTCATCTTGGGCCCTTTACCTACGTCAAATAGAATTGTTCTCCCAACTAACTTGCATCATTTGCGGCTACAGGAACATGATTTGGTCGATATAGCCGGGCTTTTAGCCAGCTTGTTTGGATTTGGATCAACGGAATGAAACATACTAAGAAAAGAGAGATTTAAAAAGAAAAAAAAAATGGGTATATAATAAATGCTTTTACATAAAATCCTCTTCCAAGTGAAAATACCCTTGGCAGAGCAGTTAGTACTTAAATCTTGAGCCAGCCACGGACGTGTCTTAAAACTAACCAATATCAATAGAAAACTAAACATTGTCCGAGTTTAAGGAAGAATGATGCAATATAATAATACATGCCATTTTGGATTAGTCGGTGCTGAATCCAATCTAAAATAAGCAATAACAAGATGGCCCCCAAAGTTGTCAAACAGTTAGGAATTAATGTATAACTAACTGTGAAGGAGAGCTTAGATAGCAAAACGAGGGGGACTTAGAGGGCTCGCGCTTTCACAATGTCCAAGCTCATCTCACTTGGATCAGTTGCTTGCAGTTCGACTTGAATGCCCTCCAGTTCCCTCTTGAATCTATCCTTGGAACTTGCATACACCATCTTCATCCTCACCTTTGATGTGTCTGGTGACCTGCATAATTTATTCAATTTGTGTTGTTAGCCATGACATGTTAAATATTCAAGATTAGAAAAAGTGATATGCCAAATCTATAAATATATAAACAAAGTGGAATTTTTGTATATAATATATAGTACCATGCAACGAAGAAGATCTTGCTTTTCTGGCAATTCTCGTCAGTTATGAAATCAAAATCGTAGACGGCATAACGACACTCATCAGCTGGCAAACTGGCCTGAAAATCGTCATAGCTTTCTGTAGGTTCCCCTAATTTCTCGACCACAACTTGTTGCTGCTCAATTTTGAATACAATGAATCGGTAGTTCCTCTTTGCTTTAAGCTCCTGGAACTTCAGTTTGCAGTCATCGTGCACAGCCATTCCGGACGCTGCATTTGCCTGCCGCATAATTTTTTTTCATGAAATTAAATATCAATAACTAGACTTAATCATTTGTTGTCCTTCACTTTCCAAGTATAATGCTAGTTCCTAATTCTATATCACATGTCACAACAGTAAAAAATGATTTTGAGTTACTTAGGTATTTTTTTTTTTTTGTAAATTAGGGTGTGATGTTGATTTTTTAAACAATTCTCATTCCTAACTTTTGAATCCATTTTTAAGATGACATATAAAGCACATAACCCTCTTCATAGATTGACATGAAGGTCCTTTTGATGATCGTAAAATCGATACAGGGGATGCACACAATGGAATGAAAGTTCATTATCCTAGTTCTAAAGAGGATGATATCAACTCTCCTAATTTGATAGAATTTTGAGTTTAACATCTCAGAAGCTCAAGTTTCATCTACGTGCGTCTAAAACCATACTATTTCATAAAATGTGAACTATTCAGAAGTCATATACAAAGAGAACATATATAAATATGAATTGGTGATAATATTTCTTTTAACTTAGAAGATATTGGCATTCATTCATAAGTAGATTGTCCTATCACAAAATTAAACAGCAACAATTATTATATAACTAAGAGCTTCGAATGCCATTGGAAAAAAGAAGAGAAAGAGAGAAAACGAAATACCATTTTGCCAGATATGAGGAAGAAGCGCCCTTTGAAATGCGAATGAAAGAAAGGGAGGGGGAGGAATTAAGAATGGAAAACGGGAGCAACACATTCATTCCGCAATGAAAACTACAGAGAGAAATAACAAATAAAGATCCTTGTTTTTTGGAGTCACGAGAGGTGGAACTTCGAGATGACTAAGATTGCGGTTAGAGAATAGAAACAGAGTGAGAAAATAGTGGGTGCGTCTGTTGCAATCTATTTTGCTTCCTTGCCAATGTGTCCACAAGTTTATTTTTATGCTTCCACCATAATTTCAATTGACATCTTCCAAATTAGGATAAGCCTTAATTAGATATATGTCATCTCACTATTCCATTCCTATTCAGATAAACGAGTTGCCTCCCTTGCCAACGACAAACAAGTATCCAATTTGATTTAGGGATTTAGATTTTTTAAAGTATACTTTTTTTTTATTTTAAAGAATAAAGTATAAATGATAATATCTTAAAGAGATCAAATTGAGTGTTTAATAATTTATAGTTTACTATACATGAACTTTTGTTTTAAGAAAATATAAACTGTTATTTTATTATTCTTTAAGACACATCCTACATTTTTCTTTCTAATGTTGATCGGAACTTTTGATATGCTCCAAGAATTCGGAATTGAGCACCAAAGATTTGGATCCTCCGTTATCAATCATGAGTGGGTTAATAGGTCCAGATTCTTTGAGATGAGATCAATAGTTGGAACACGTAGCTGTGGAAATAATATTTAGGCTTGTTAGTGGGTCGGTTAGATACTGCTCAGCCAAGATGATAAAACCCAAATAATATGAATGAGACTGTGGGCCATGGCGTACTTGATACGTTAATATTTTTAGAGCCTGATAAATGGGCTTTCTGAAGTCAACTTTGGCTGCCTGGCTGTGCTCTAAACGTGATCCATGACGTCTCTAACGACCCAATATAAGGAATACCATTAAATAAAAATATACAATGAGACGAGGTCAAATGTGGAGATAATGGTTCAATTACGACAATTTTTTAGTGCTTCCGTAAACAATGTGAAATGCATACAAATTCAACATATTGTTTTAATTAATCTAGTAAATTACGTAGAGACTGTGATTGTGGAATTAACTAATGATGGATTACGTTTGTAGAGTTATGCTAACGCATGCTATGTAAATTTCAAACATTTGAGGTATGTCCTTTTCTGAGTATAGTTTGAACAATATTTGGAAAAGTAAAATAAAAGGGGGGGTGGGGGGTTTAGTACAGCATTCGAAGAAATCTTGAAAGAATAAAATAAAGCAAAATCTATAGCTATGCGCATCTAAGATTCTAATTGATACTCGACCACACAATTGAATTCGTGGTTCTCTATCTCACCAACACGCGAGCAAGTAAGCTACTTGCTTATGGAAGGAACCTATTTTAACTAAATGGAGATGCTATACCAACGGACATAACACAACATATAAAGCCTTCCTGCGTCCATAAACCAGAAAGGGTGGTCCGTACGCGCGCTTGATCAAAATGCAAATTAATATAGATTTTATTTGTTTTTAAAATGCACAACTGCTATTTACAAGTACGAAAAAACGAAATTATAGATACAAACAAAAGTATAGCTTATATTTATAAATTTTTTGTTTACAAACTATACTATGTATTTCAGATAATACATTCCTAGCCAAATATATTTCCGAGAATAAATAGTTAAGTTTTTAAACAAAAAATTTATAAATATAATATTTTTCATAAATAAATGAACTTACTAAATATAGTATTTGTTTGCAGGATTTAATGTTTCTTATGTTATAAAAAATAAATTTTATCTCTTATACTCACATAAAAGTGTGTAAGATTCATATGGGCCCATGTAAAAAGAAGAAGAAAAAATGTCCTACATAATTTTATAGGGATAGGATATTGTGACACCCAAGTTATGTTACACCCATGTGACACCCAGTCAATCTCACCGTTAGATCGCTTATGTTGATCTAACGGTTATATTTATTTCCATCTTTGTATGGTCATGATTTTCCAAATTTAACATTTTATATTTATTTCTACCTTTGTATGGTTATGATTTCCCATATTTAATGCTTTCACTTTAAATTTGGAAAATCATGACCATACAAAGGGAAATAAATATAACCGTTGGATCAACATAAGCGATCTAACAGTGAGATTGACTGGGTGTCACATGGGTGTAACATAACTTGGGTGTCACAATATCTTATTCCAATTTAATTTTATATATATAAAAGATAAATTTATCTTCTATACCATAAAAAAACAAAAGTGTTTTTAGTGGGCTCTGGCGCTTTTCCCACTATAATTATGGGCCTGATTCAAATTTCCGTGAAATCCAATGGAATCGTTCTGGTTTTCCATTATTTTTCTAATTTGATATCGCTTAGTTGGCAATCCAAAGTTGCGTTAAGCCCACGTAAGTAGAGGGGACCCACCAACCAACCAGCGTAGTTTCAGACTTTCAGTTCACGCGCGTTTCGGTTCGAGAAGCAAACAGTAGACGGTTGACAATTTAAAAGCGGGGCGCTCATTGCAATTACAAAATTTGGGTTTGTTAGTTTGTTGGTGGACTGGCGGCAATTGGGAAATGGCCAAGTTGTTTGCGTTAGCTTGTCTCCGAAATGAAGGATGGGGTAACCTCTCGCCGCGACCTCACTACCCCTCCATGCCCCGCTACCCCAAGGGGGCTGCCACCACCGCCGACGTCGACGGTTCCGAGCTCACCGCCCTTTTCTCCGTCGTCGGAATGAGTTGCTCCGCCTGCGCTGGATCCGTCGAGAAATCCATCAAGCGCCTTTCCGGAATTCGCGAAGCCATCGTCGATGTCCTTAACAACCGTGCTCAGGTCCAATTTTACCCCTCCTTCGTTAACGTAAGTACCTCTCTCCGTACCTATCATCGTTACATGTATTCGTTTAATAGATCAATTCAGTGATTAATTTGTAGTTGCAATTGGTACTCACTTTTTTTATTATTTAAAAATAAAAAATATAAAAAATAAAAAATATAAAAATAAAAAAATAGGAGGAGACCATTCGCGAGGCAATTGAAGATGCAGGGTTCGAAGCCACGTTACTCAGAGATGAGATGAATGACAAAGCTGTTCAACTATGCCGCATACAAATTAAGGGAATGACTTGCACATCGTGTTCCTCAACCGTTGAATCAGCTCTGCAAGCTATTCCAGGCGTGGTGAAAGCCCAAGTGGCCTTGGCAACAGAAGAAGCTGAAGTTCACTACAATACAAATGTTGTTAGCCACAACCAAATTTTACAAGCCATTGAAGACACTGGATTTCAAGCCGCGCTTATCAGTTCCAGTGAAGATTTGAGCAAGATAGACCTTCTGGTCGAAGGTTCACTCACCGATCATTCCCTGAAACTGATTGAAGACACTCTTCGGGCACTCCCGGGGGTCCTAGGTATAGATGTTGTTCCGGAATTGAACAAAATTTCGCTTTCTTATAAACCAGACATGACAGGACCTAGGAATTTCATTAACGTGATTGAGGAAACCGGGTCTGGGAATTTCAAGGCAAAAATATTTTCTGAAGAAGGAGGAGGACGAAGGGATACTCATAGAAGAGAGGAAATTAAACAATATCATAGATCTTTCTTATGGAGTTTGGTGTTTACCGTTCCTGTGTTTCTAACCTCTATGGTGTTTATGTATATCCCTGGAATTAAGGATGTGTTGGATGCCAAAGTTGTCAATATGCTCACAGTGGGGGAGGTTGCAAGATGGGTGCTTGCCACTCCAGTACAGTTCATTCTGGGATGGCGATTTTATTCTGGTTCCTACAAATCATTACGCCATGGCTCTGCCAACATGGATGTTCTGATCGCGTTGGGAACAAATGCAGCATACTTCTATTCAGTATACTCTGTCCTCAGAGCTGCTACCTCTCCAGATTTCGAGGGTAATGATTTCTTTGAGACTAGTGCCATGCTTATTTCATTCATTCTGCTTGGTAAGTATCTTGAGATTTTAGCCAAGGGGAAGACATCCGATGCAATTGCCAAGCTCATGAACTTGACCCCGGACACAGCTATATTGTTAACTTTGGACAATGAAGGGAATGTTATTGGTGAGCAAGAAATTGACGGCCGATTGGTTCAAAAGAATGATGCGATTAAAGTTATTCCTGGTGCAAAAGTAGCTTCGGACGGATTTGTTATATGGGGCCAGAGTCACGTGAATGAGAGCATGATTACAGGTGAGGCACGTCCCGTGGCAAAGAGGAAAGGCGACACTGTTATTGGAGGAACTGTGAATGAGAATGGAGTTTTGCATATTAAGGCAACACGGGTCGGATCGGAAAGTGCTCTTTCCCAGATTGTTCGACTTGTTGAGTCAGCACAAATGGCCAAGGCACCTGTGCAGAAGTTTGCTGATCGCATTTCGAAACACTTTGTGCCTCTGGTAATTTCTTTTCGTGATTCTTATCTAGACAATTTAGCCATATTAAATCCTTATATTTACAGAGCACTTACTTTAAAGGGATATCTTTCTGCAGGTGATCTTAACCTCATGTACAACTTGGCTTGCCTGGTTTTTAGCTGGAAGATTTCATGCTTACCCGAAGTCTTGGATACCATCTTCCATCGACAGCTTTGAGCTTGCTTTGCAGTTTGGAATCTCTGTCATGGTCATAGCCTGCCCCTGTGCTTTAGGTTTAGCGACACCAACTGCTGTTATGGTTGGCACTGGAGTTGGTGCATCACAGGGTGTGCTGATCAAAGGAGGGCAAGCATTAGAAAGTGCTCATAAGGTCAGCATTTGACATTGTGGATTAGCCCCTTGAATTCTGGATTTTCTTTGTCACTGTTTGTGGGCTTGAAATTGAAATGTGATTCCACTAATAAAGTGGTACGAATAAAATAAGCACGGAAAAAACAATCAATGTCCAGTGATATGCTTCAAAGCCGTTTCTGCTAATTAATCCAACATCAAATATGTTATAGGAAAGGAGTAATAATGTTTATACCACGTGCACTTAATAATTAATATCATTCTTTAGTTCTTGATATGATGTTCTGTTGTTTGTTATGCTGGGTGTAGGGAAATAGTGCTCTTGGAGATCAATATCAATCTGATTTTTTTTTTTGTGCTTCACTCCTATCTCTCTCAACTTTGTTGGAAGTTAAAATGGAGAAACCGGTCCTTGGTTATATGTTGCAGAGTCTCAATATTCTCTATAAAAATCTCCATGATTTTATGTGGATTTACACTTGAATATGTTTATGACTGTCTTGTAGGTGAACTGCATTGTTTTTGACAAGACAGGTACTCTCACCGTTGGGAAACCTGTGATAGTAAATACAAAACTATTTACAAAAATGGTACTCCCGGAATTCTACGAACTTGTGGCTGCAACTGAGGTAGGCATCTCCGCCATCTCTTTCTAAAAGGCTTAGCCTGGGTAATAGTTAGAGAAAACAGGAAATGTTTTCAGATAGTTTTTTTGTTAGGTATCACTCCAATTAAATTTGTCAATTGCTTAGGTGCTTTTGCAATTCATCGATTGTAGATGCATGTGCATTTCATAAATAATTGCCATTAATGTTACACTCCTATCACAGGTGAATAGTGAGCATCCACTGGCTAAGGCCATTGTTGAGTATGCCAAAAAATTTAGAGATGAAGAGAACCCGTCTTGGCCGGAAGCACAGGATTTTGTATCTATTACTGGACATGGAGTAAAAGCCACTGTTCGCAACAAGGAAATAATTGTCGGTAATAAGAGCTTGATGGCCGACCATAAGGTCGCAATTCCTGGTGATGCTGAAGATATACTTGCTGAAGCGGAAAGGATGGCTCAAACGGGAATTTTAGTATCTATAAATGGGGAAGTAGCTGGGGTTTTAGCTGTTTCTGATCCATTGAAACCAGGTGCTCAAGAAGTCATTTCCATTCTCAAGTCTATGAAAATTAGGAGCATCATGGTGACTGGGGACAATTGGGGAACTGCGAATTCTGTCGCCAGGGAAGTTGGAATTGAAAGTGTTATTGCTGAGGCCAAACCTGAGCAGAAAGCTGAGAAAGTGAAAGACTTGCAGGTACTAATGTTCACAACTTTTCAACTTAATTCAAGAAAAAAATAGTTATTCATTTATGAGATGATACTGGCACACGCGATAGCTTTGAAGCCTTGAAATCGAGAATAATACCGCCTTTTTTCAAGCTAGGACTACACTTCTTTCTCTTTGATGTAAAGTAACTAAGAAATCTTTATTTTTCTTCTGCTTAGGTTCAGTAGTCAGTACTTATGAATTCTGTCTTTCTGCCATTTCTTTTTCAAACTCCCTGGTTTGATTGGTGGTCTTTATAGTTTATACCATGAACTTGAATCAGCATTATTTAGCCTGAGTCTCACTTCTGCATGAATTCAGATTAACTAAGCTTGAGTCTCACCTTTACAGCTGTACTGTTTTACAGGAATATATTACCTGTGGGAACATTTTGAGTGCTTTTTTCTTTTTCAGGCTTCAGGGTACACTGTGGCTATGGTGGGCGATGGTATCAATGATTCACCTGCACTTGTAGCAGCCGATGTGGGAATGGCAATAGGTGCTGGTACAGACATTGCCATTGAGGCGGCCGATATAGTCCTTATGAAGAGCAACTTGGAGGATGTCATAACTGCTATTGACCTTTCCAGAAAAACATTTTCCCGTATACGTCTGAATTACTTTTGGGCTTTGGGTTATAATCTTCTTGGCATCCCAATCGCTGCTGGAGCTCTTTTCCCTTCTACAAGGTTTCGATTGCCACCCTGGATTGCTGGGGCTGCTATGGCTGCTTCTTCTGTCAGTGTTGTTTGCTGTTCTCTGATGTTGAAATATTACAGGAGACCCCGGAAGCTGGACAACCTCGAGATACGGGGCATAAGGATCGAGCATCATCGGGTGAAATGATGCATGACAATTTAGGGTTTTGTTTGAGCTAATTATGTGCAATTAGGACTCTATAGAGCATCGGGGGATAAGGATGTGAAAACTGAAAATTATTGAAACACCCAAGTGCAGTGCATATTGGTTGATGTTTTGAATGTATGTAACATAAAGTGTACAAAAATGAAAAGGATTATCTTGTCTACACATCAATTTTTCCTTGAAAAACTCCCATAGTCTGACTCTTTCTGTACAATTAAGATGATAGGATAAGAATAAGATATGACATGGGGATGATAAGTCTATATCATGTCATGTGTTTGATGAGCTGATTAGTAATCTGATAAGATTATGTAGAAGGAGAAAAGAAAAACAAAAAACAAAATATAATGCAATAAATACAAATGTATTGGATAGCGTGAGAATATATTGGGTAACGTGGGACCAATATTGGTATATTATCCTATTGAATCTTAACCCAGCTACCCCATAGGATAAGAAATCATGTATTGGATAGGATAAAATGAAACAATAGGTTAAGCTAATCATATCCTATTGACCCTTCAAGCAAGAGATGCTAGCTATGACCAGGATTCAATGCAGTTCTAAAATAAATTGTAAGATTTTACCAAAAAAAAAAAAATTGTTAGAGTTGCACTTGAAGATCTGATGGCTCATAATAAATAATCTTTGTTTATCTTAAATATTTTAGGAAACCTATTCTCCCTTATAAATTTACTATCAAATCTTAATCGTTGATTTTTATTAGTTTAATGATTATAATTTATTGATAATTAATAATTAATTAATAAGTATGACCAAATAAATTATAACTGTTGAATTGTGGAAATCAACGATTAAGATTTGATTATAAGAAAAAAGAAGTTATAAACATAACATCCCTCATATTTTATTATACAAAAAAATAATAATTTTAACAGTGAAGATATTCGGTAGATTAAAAAAAAAACTACGATTGGTATGTTCCTTGGCGGTTTCAAACAAAATCTTGGCTATAATAATCCTTTGGATGCAGGAGTTATGGGGAGTATTGAAGGGCTTGGAATTTGTTTGGAATTCTGGCTTCAGAAGGATTATAGTGGAATGTGACTCCATGAATGCTATTTCTCTCATTTACAACAATGATCCTAATTCTAGAAGTCCTCAGGTTATAGACCGGATTCGCAAGTGGATGGCACAAGATTGGATTGTTCATTGCAAGCATATCAGCGGGGACAACAACTCATGTGCTCATTGGATTGCTTCTTACACAAATGATGGAGATAGGAATTTTATTCAATTCTATAGGCCTCCTTCTTTTCTTAAGGAGCTCCTGTTAAGGGATGTCTCCACGTCTGTTTCTTTGTCTCTGATTGTTTAGTCTTTGTTTTTTTTTTTTTTAGGCTGTGCCCTTCTTTATTTACAAAAAAAAAAAAAAAAAAAAAAACTACGAGTGTTATGATGAGCAAGCTACTTACATAAAAGACTTTAGTTTGTTGACCAACATAAAGATTTAGATCCGTTAATTTATGGGCTTATGTTTGTAGGCGTAGGCCCTATAAATAGGCTTTCAAGCCGAACTAAACTTTAAAAAACTCAAGCCATGCTTTAATATTAAAATAAATAAATATGTAAAGTATACAAGCAAAACTTATGTTTGGGAAATAGACCAAGTCCGTCTGAAATAAAATTTCAGCTGATCAGATCCGTTTTCACCCCAAGTTCCAGACTCCATCTAATTATGCCAAATCCTCCTGTCCATAGAGTCACAGCCACTATGTTGTTAAGACTTCTTCCCTTTTTCGTTAACAAATTTCCACTCACAACTTGGGAATCAATGGCTTCGTGATTAAGCACATCTTTAGTTGGCTTAATTTTTACTTGTTAGACTATGTTTGATATTAGCTTAAATGTTAAGGGATGAAACATTATAAAAGTAATAATTAAGGATGCAATTTTTTTCCTATTTTTGCTTGATTGACCGGCATCGAAGGTCCAGGAGGAGAAAAAAAAAACGGGTTTTATTGTGCTCATCCTCTATCAAGACAGGAATTTTTACATAGTGTGATGGATTATGAATTTTTGTTTAGAAACACAATTTATAAATACCGATCAATCAGGCCCTATTTCACATTAATTTGGATGCCCAACTAGTCGAATAACTAGACTAGACTGACTGGTCTGACCGGTTCAACTGAATTTTTATTTTTTTTTATATAGAATTTTGTCTTTTAAATGCCCAAACCTTTTTATCTCTCACCAAACATGTTCTAATAGTTTTTTTCTAAGTTTTTTTTATCAAAATTTTAATTATACATTATTTTGAATACGAAAATAAGATAATACACAACACACATTGATAGTAAGTAACAAGGAAAAAAGTATCAGATGCAACATTTAAAACTAAAATTGAATTTTCTAAATTACATAAATTTTTTATTTTATAAATGTTCTATATTAAGATTTTGAAACCGAGCCCATCATACTTACGTCTAATTAGGGAGCAAATATATAGTGGTTACGGACCAATGCACAGCCACATAGAGAGAGAGGAGAGGAGAGAGAAAAAATAGAGGGGCTCATGAAATTAATTTTCCTAATTAGAGGTATAATTAAGCTAAGATTAGGCTAAGCTTTAATCAGGCCTATGTGAAAAATTTTAGGTTTGACCTGGTCTGTTAGTCTATACAGGTCCAACTTACAAATTTAGTCTGATTTATATTTTAAAAAAAAAAATTGGTCTAGGCATGTTAATCTATTTAAGCCTATTAAGTATTTCATAATTAAAAAAATAACTAAAATAATATTATTTTATTATTTAAAATTATTAAAATAATATTTTTATTTATATAAAGTAAATAATATGATATAGGTCGTCTTATAAATTTATATATCTGACATGTACAAAAAAATCTATGACCTATTTTCTAAATATTTTTTTTAAAAAATTTAAACATGTTCTATTTAATTATTTATAATAAGACAAATCTAATCTAATATAAGCTAGACCAAAAATCCTTATCAAGTGGCCCATTTAATCGACTAAATCTTCAAGTCAACGATTTTTGCCTATTTTGACCATTTAATCGATTAAATTTTTGGTTTAATCGATTAAAGAGGGGCAGATTGGTAGATAGTTCTGAATAAGGGACAAAATAGTTATTAAATAATTAATGAGGGGCAGAAGGGTGAAAAAGCCGAAATCATATTGTATTTGTAATTTTAATTTGTTTTAAAGTCATCATAATTTATTATCATTCTAATTTTTTATTTTTTCAACTGTAAAACTATATCATTTCGACGAATATTAAATAAAATTATCAAAATAATATTATATAATTTAAGAACAGTATATCAAAATGTAAAACATAAGGGGAGAATGACCCTTTTGCCACCTTTTTTGGCAAAAATTTATCAGATTGTCACGTAGGAAATTTTTTGTCAAAATGTCACATCACCTAACTAGCTGCGCTGTGTAGTGAGATTAGGTGACACCATGCCAGCAAGTTTAAGACCACATAATCTCTCTGCACTGTGTAGCGAGATTATGTGGCAGAGCCTAATTCGCTACATCGTGCAACATTTTATGTGGCGCCAGAAATAATTTGACACATGGAGTAATAGGATGAGTAAATGCTGATTTATTTATTTATTTATTTTGAAAAATATAATAAACAATAAAGATGATGAAGTGTCCATGGAAAAATAATAAAGACGATTTAATATTTGATAAATGCGGATTTTTTTTTGTTTCTTTTTTGGAAAATAATACACAATAAAGATGAAAGAGTGTTCAAATGGAGTATTCATGGAAAAATGATAAAGACGATTTAATATCCATTTGTTTTTAGTTTTTTTTTGAAAAATATAATACACAATAAAGACGATGGAGTGTCAAATAGAATATTCATGAGAAAATAATAAAGACGATTTAATGTCCAATAAATACTGATTTATTTTTTGTTTTCTTTTTGAAAAGTATAATACACGATAAATGGAGTGTCAAACGAAATATCCATGTAAAAATAATAAAAACAATTTAATGTCAAATAAATGCTATTTTTTTATTAGTCCTCTTAATCCATGTGTCAAATTGTTACTGGTGCCACATAAAATACTACATAATACAATGAATTAAGCCTTGCCATGTAACCTCGCTACACAGTGCAGTGAGATTACGTGGTTTTAAACTTGCTAACATGTGTCATCTAATCTCGCTGCTCATCGCAACTAATTTGATGACGTAATATTTTGACAAAAAAATTTAATGACGTCACCTGACAATCCAGTCAATTTTTCCCAAAAAAGTGACAAAACGATGGTTGTCCCAAAGATAAGCCCCTCGCATTAGCTGACCTCTCTTGTTAACGTTGAGCAATTTTTCCTGATAATCATGTGACGTTGCGAAAATTGTTGGAACAAGTAATTAAGAAATAAAAAAGGAAAATATGATTGTACCTCCAGAAAAAGAAAAAGAAAATAACTTTGAACTATTCTTCGTAAAACTTTAGCATTGTTGGGTTCATCGAAGCGTGGACCTCTGAGCTGATTTGTTACTTTTATTTTAGCCTGATGGCAATCGATTCAGCTTTCGGTGCCCCAGTCTCCTAATTAGTTGAACCACAAGTTTCATTTGGATGGAATTATTCATAATTTTTAATTGTTGTTTTTGCAATTACTGTTAATTAAATAACTTAGTAAATTATCTTTATTTATTTATTTGTATGTACTTAATTGAGAAATTTAAAAAATTCCAATTAAAGGTAATTAAATGAGAATATAAATAGTTTAGAAAGTACACTTTTCACATTTGTTCCTACTTTGTCACTAAAACCAACATTTTAAACCAAGTGGAGATAGTTTTAAATTGTCAAATGTCAGTTTGCTTGCAAATGCACCATACATTGAACAGTTTGTAAAAGCAATTACATATTTCAATCCCAAATTGAAATTATTTATAGTTTATCCCAAAAATAAAAAGTCTTGTCACTTTTTTTGTTATTTGGTAAACAAGTCTTGTCACTTTTAATAATGCTAATGTCATTGTTAATCGCAAAAATCATGAGTTTGATATTATAAAATAAGCAGGTCAATCTATCTGTCACCACTAAATTAATACTTCAGCTTGTTACTTAGCGACTATGATGGTACGGGACTAACAAACCAAATAATTTTTATTTTTACACCTCAGGAATACAACCAAAAGAAATCGTGAACCCAAAGTAATATATACTTATATTCTATTCTGTATAATGAGAATAAGTATAAGCACTCAAGAGAAGCTGCTAAAATTTTTAGAAGCGTGGAATTTTTTTTTTTTAGTTTTTTTGAAAAAAGGTGTTGACTTACAAACAAACGGTATACAAATGGTGATGATAGCAGAGGGAAACAAAGAGAAGAAAATGAAACTAACGATTATTGGGTAGAAAATCATCTTAAGATATTTAAGTGTGATAAATTCCACATTGGTTGGTAATGGATTAAGTAAATAGTATATAAGTGGAATGACCCATGAACCCAATGCCTTAAGGTTTTGGGTTAGACGTGATGTCGGATCCACTTAGTGTATTTAGAGTAACTTAGCTCATTGGTGGTGGTTCTTCGCCCGGACCCCTAGACCCACCTGACAAATCTACCCCTTCCCTTGTAGGGCAGTGAAGACTATATATTTTCATGATCTTTCTCTTGGTATAAATTTTAAGAGTTTTATGTTTGTTATGTTACATAACTTTACTTTTCTATACACACAACAAAAATGAGAGAGAAAGTGAAATGATAAAAAAAAGAGAAAAATATGTAAACTCCACCTCTGAAAAAGAGAGAAAAATATGTAAACTCCACCTCTTTGATGTGTGTGTAGAAAAATGAAGTTATGTTATGTAACATAACAAACATAAAACCCAAATTTTAAACTCACATATGAGAGTGTGTGTGTGTTTGGATTAGAGTTTGTAAATTTAATTTTGAATGAATTTGATTTTACAAATTGAATTCTGCTTAAAATGAAATTTGTATGACTATATGTTTTATGTTTTTTTTTTACCAGAAAAGTGAGTTAAAAATGATATTGTTTGGATTTTTTAAATATTTCTAGATGCACCATTAATTACTAAAAACGATGTGATGTTTTATTTACATTTTTACATTTTTATGATTATTGTAATTTTTAAGAAGTCATTATTTGAATAGAATATTTACATAATAGATAATAAAATGTAAAAAAATAAACACAATTGTTTCGTATCGCGTATTCATTAATTGTTAGATAGTATGTATAAATAAAAAACATTATTTAAAATTTTCAAAAATGAAATAAAAAAGACAAAAGCATAAGGGGGTGTTTGGTTAAGGGATTTGGTTGAGATTGATAGGGAAATGATAGATGGGCATCTAAGTTAACCATGTTTGCTTGAAGGTTTTTTTCACATTTATCCACCTAACTCAGTTTCCTACATAAGCTAGATGCATATGTTTTCTGTCCATTTAGCCGGCCAAATTTATCCTATGGGCAGTGTGGTATTCAAGGAAAGCTGCCTAATTGCTCAGACTGAATTCTAAACAAAAGACAAGTCTACCCTGACTTTGCGCGTGAAAGGAAAATGGCAATCATGTGGAATGTCCATGTTACAACCCAGGCTCCTTCTCCAGAAGTGCTTTCACAACCTCCACGTGACCATTTCTCGCAGCAGAATGCAAAGCTGTGTGCAGCTGTGTGCTTGTAATAGATATTCTAGCAATGGTAACCGAGCTACTATCTGCTTGTAATAGAAATTTCACTATCTCAATATACCCTTGTGTTGCAGCTGTGTGCAAAGCCGTGGTGTTGGATGGATCAATAGTCATTGACAATTCAGGATGAGCCTCCATTAGGATCTTCAGTACATCTGCAACAAGGAAAACATAACTCTTAATCCAAGAGGTGCGATAATATCCACTGTGGTAGAAAGAAGATGAAAGGGGTGCTCCTGCTATGGAGTTCTCTATGCTTCAACAAACTCTCTACACCCTCTCTTCCTTCTCTCTCCTTTCAAACCAGACCCTTCAAGCTCTCAATATCAGCTACTGTGGAATCCACTAATACCCAAAAACTCAGAGCGAAAGAGAGAAGGCGCTTGAAAGACGAGGGTTATTTTTGTAATATTATATTTTTTTCCTATCTATATTTTACCTACAACCAAACATAGATTTTATAAATGTTACCTAATTTCCCCGGTAAAATTTTTTACAACCAAACAATTTTTTTTACATTTTCCTATCAAACTTACTTCTCCCCCATTTTCCTATCAATAACATTTCTCTATTATTCTTAAAATTTCTCCTAAACCAAACACCCCCTAAAAGAAAGGGGCAACGCAAGAAAAGTGACAGCTGTACTCTCAATTAGAAAAACAAGCCCAAAAGCAATCCTTTATCTTATTATTAGATGAGTTTTATTTTTCTCCTTTCACATAAAATTATTATCTTATATTATAAAGAGAAAATGATGAATCTCATCATTCATAAAAAAAAATGAGGTGTGAAAATTAAAATGAAATAATATAAAAGAAGTTATCGTAAAAGAAGATAAATATTTTGCTTATCAGATACGCTAGGAAGTTGGGATGGGAATCTTTCTGAATTCAACATAATATAGAGGTAAAAGAATATTGTCCTATAGGGCTGGGCCCCTTCACCAAAAATATAAATAATGTACTATATATTTTAGATAGATTAAAAACTATGATTATTTATCTTACACTTAAAAATGACTTTTTTTTTTGCATAAGCTAAACTTTGAGCACTAAAGTTATAATTTCGTTAATTATTTCACCTTTGTTAAGTATTTGATCAAATTAACCATAAAGCATTAAAATTATATAATTAACCGTCTATAATTTTTCAGTAATTTAACGTATAAAGGTAATTTTTTAGAGAATCATTTCAAACATAAAATTGAATTCATCATAATCAATTTTTTTTGGTATCCTCATCATAATCAATTTTAATAAAGTTAATTATACACATAATCAATTATTAAATATATATTTTTCATTACTAATCAAACACGCTCTATATTTTTTTCATTACCAATTCAACGTTGAGATCTTTCTCCTTTTTTCCGTGCATGTTTCTTTTTTTGTGCAATAATTCTAGATCACATATAATAAAACTATTTATTCCGTTTGAGTGAATAAATGAAGTATAATAATGAGTCAAAATTAAGTTAATTAAATTATTTTAAAAAAAATATTTTACACTTTTATATATTAAATTAGAGTATATTATTTGAAGAGTGGTTTAACTTTTAGTTCAATCTCTCGTAAAGAATGTTCCATATATATTATTCTTAAATTTATATATTTTTCTTTTTTTAAATATACTTTTTAGATTTCATATAAATCAATTATGTATATTTATATTATAATTTTACACATTTTAATTTTTTAAAATTTTTATTTTATAGTTTTTATATAAAATTAAAAAAGTCAGCGATGTACGAAATATTTGATAGTATTAGTTTAATGCATTCACCTATTTCTTATTTCCGACTAATTTTTATGTTAATTGAAGATCTATATAAAAGCATTTACATCCATAGTTTTAAGTATTTTTTTTTAAAGAAAAAACAACCATGTAATAAGTTTTGTTTTTAGGAATCAAATTCTAATGCGTCATAAAAGCACGGTTTCTAAAAAAATAAAATAAAAGCATGGTTTCTATTAATCCAGTCTCATTTATACTAATTCATTACACCTTGTTTATGTCAAAAAAACTTCATGCAATTTATTGGATGAATGATGTTGTAAATAAATTGTTTGATAAATCTTAAACATTGATTAAACCTTTTTGACATTAACTTAAATCATGTAATTAGTAGGGTTGATTGATAAACTTTAAACAATGATTAAGTCATTAAAGTTATTTTAAAAAATGAATACAAATATTCTGACTCAAATTAAAATATGTTCTTTCATTAATTAGCTAACTACATTAAAAATAAGATATCATGAAATCTACTAACTTTTTATTTATAATGAATTAATAATGAATTGTGATAGAAACTACAAGATATGTTACTAATATTAATTTATTTTTTTACTTAATTATTTTTTAAAACATATTATCAATGTACTTGATCTAACGAATACAATATGGGCTGACCAATATGTATCAGACCCTATCACACACAGTTGAGAGAAGACTTCGGGTTGGATTATCTGCTTCTTGGGCTTTCGATGGCTGTTTGTAATAAGATGGATATGATTCTCCTTTGGCGCGATGAGCCAGACTGGGATGAGTACCTGCAATGACACTTCGACGCTCAAGTCAGTATCAAAGTCAGGCTTATGTGGTATTCTTAATGAATTAGATTGTCATACTTGAGTTTGTACCCTTTGTTTATATAGTGAATCTGATGTCGCCTTCGACAGGCGGTGTGTCTTCTGATTGGCTGTGGATGGGCTGCAGGTTCAGCTGGTGTCGTTCTGGCCCTATCTCATTATGTCAAGGTATCTTGATAGAGTAGCGGCAAGTTGGTGCTGTCTTTCATGTATTGATCATTCTATGGCGCGGTGGCTCTTTTCCTATTTGATCACTTCATTCACTTTGAAGTCATATTAAAGGCGATTTGGGCGTGATGAATCCATCGCGCTTCCAACTCCTTATGCGCGATATGGACATCGCGCATTGCTTGGGCCTTTATTTGTTTTGGCCTTTTAGTCTTTGGGCTTTAACCCTTGACGAGCCTATTGTATTTTATCCAGATCAGTACTTATAAGTTTCTTTTAATTATAAAATAAATAAAAATCAATCTAAATACACACATGGCAAGAATATTATAGTTAAATTTGTTATCTACCCGTGTATTGGATGGATTGTATTGCACAAAGTGGCTTAGAGCATTTATTTTATTTTATTTATTTATTTTGTGCTGTCACATAACATGCATCTTATTTTTTTTGAAGGGAGAAACACACCATGTGTCATTCTAACCCAAACACGATAAATTTGTTTGCCAAATTTCTATATTAATAAAAAAATTACCCTGATTGGACAATCAGTCATCTTGTTACTATTTTAGACAACAAAAATAGTAAAAGCATAGTCAAATAGATACCTTAAATGCTATTTAATTTAAAAGTATTTAAAAAGAATGGGAGAAGACACTCCATGATACTCCGTTAATTGATGAAGCATAGCGTTAGTTAAGCCCATTAGGAATAAAATAAGGAATAATAATTATAACTCTTTAGGTTACGGACCCCACACCTCGCTCCCCTTCTCTTCTCCCATCCCGTATGATGAGTCATAACTCATAACCTTTTTCCTTTCTCATTGGAATTTATAAAAAGCCAGCAACGAAATTTTTTTATGCAAGTTGAAAGTTGAACTTGAAGGTGTTCAACAAATTTTGCAGAGTCGTACGTAAGTGTTGCAATTCGAATGGCTTGGGATTGCATTAATAGGTTGCAGTGCTGTGGGAACCTATCACCTGAACCACACTATCCGTCGATGACAAGGTATCCGAAAGGCACGTCACATGAAGCAAAGAAGGTTGTTGAAGGATCAGAGTCGTCCAAAGTTGTTTTATGTGTTATGGGAATGACGTGTGCTGCTTGTGCTGGATCCGTTGAGAAAGCCATCAAGCGCTTACCTGGTATTCGAGAGGCCGTTGTTGATGTCTTGAATAATAAAGCCCAGGTTCTATACTATCCTGCTATGGTTCAAGTGAGTCAAGTTTACAATTATATATTTTAATTCCATTATTCTAGCTATTTCTTCTTTTATGCATCATGCTTGCTTGGCTTTTCATGATTGCATATAAACAAATCATTATGTGCAATTGTGACTTTCTATGCATGCTTTTGGATGTTTATTAATTAATTACTTTTCTGTGAGTTAATAAAGAATTAAACGATTCATTTCAGGAAATTTATGTTTCTGGAGAAGAAAGAGATTGCTACTTAATTGATTATGGTCTTAATTACTCATTTGTTTATAAAATTACAATTATCAAATGAATTAAATGCTAATGCTTATTTGAAAAACAATTTAAAGATTGTACTAATTAAGTATATCTTGATTAGTTTACCCAAAAAAAAAATTATATATTGATTATAATCTCAATATATCATATATGCTCAAGGTTAACATATTAATTTGGCATATTTCAATAGCTAAATTATTTTAAATTGTTTTATGGAGAGTTATTAAATTGAATTAAATTATGTAAGTATAATAATTATATTCTTCGTTAGTTAAGGAAACTGAAAAGGCGGGCATATGAACTCATGAAAATAACATTATTATTTCTTTTCAAGTTTTGAGATTGTGGACTGAGGATGCAAGTCCTAAGAAGATATGATGCTTTTTTTTTTTTTTTTTTTAATTTTAAGTGACCTTTCAATATCAATAATTTTATGGGTGTGTGCTGTGTGGGGATCATTAAGCATATTTTAGGCATACATGATATATATACCGTGTCCCAATAATTTGGTCATCGATCACTTTTAACTTTAAAGACGAATATGTAACATTAATAAAAGAAAAAAAAAGTTATAATTATGGCAAGTGATGGTGTTTTGTAAGTAATTGGTTGACCGTTTGGTGGGGAAAGTAAAGAAAATCAACTTTACATTTTTATATAAGTATTACACACATATCGTGTCATTCTATCTTTTATTTCTGTCACACTACCACTTGGATAGTAATGCAAATATATAATTATCAACTGATCTCAAAGTTCTTTAGCTAACTTAGTGGGTCTTTAGTAGTTACGTGTCAGAATGGCTGAGTTGATGAGACTCAGTAATGGTATGGTGTATATTTTGCGTACCGTCTTTGTAAGCAGAAGTTGGATTATATAATATGCACATGCAAGGTGAGTGATAATATCATGTCTGTTACTGTTACATAGGTGTTTGCTTTTTCCACTTTCGTTTTCTCGTGAAAATGAAACCAGGGCTTCGTAGAATAGATAAAGATCCTATTTTACATATATATTTTTTTTAAGATAAAAGCTATTTTTAAGTTTAAGTTAAAAAAAGATTAAAAAAAAATTTATAAGCTGTTTCATGATTATAAAAACTTTTTAACTTAAAAGCTGTTCAATTTAAAGAAAGCATATATTTGAAAAAAAAGCTAATATAACATAAAAAAAATTCTCCTATAAGTTTTTAATTTTTCACTTTTTTCTTCGTTATAATAAAAAGCTCTTTTTATTACAAGAATTTTTGTAAAAACTTGTTTGACCCAACTTCTATCTATAAAGAGAAGAAAAGCTAAAAAAAAAAAAACCCTTCCAAATAGGCACAAAGACTAATTATGTGTCTTCATAATTAAGAGAGGCATTCATTATTTTTGAGTCACTCTATATGCGTTATTAATGGAAAGATTGTCAACACAGAAGATCACTTTAATTTTCACTCATTATTTTTCTTGACCTGTCGGCTGTCGTCTTTCCCCCCATTTTTTTCTTCTTGTTTTATTACCATTTTCTTAATTCTCACTTACTATCGCATTTTACTACTGTGTTAATTAATGCTGCCCAGCCCTTATGTTCCGTTTGTAGGGGCACGAATATGCATTTTGTTTTGCCTTTCTTTTATGGCTTGAGGAAGGTGATGATTTTTTAGCCGTAGCCGACACATCTAATATTCCTTTTATTAGTGGATTACGAAGGAACAGAAATATTTATTTGCTTTTCACCCAAAAATAAAATAAAATAATTTGCTACTAATATGGCTCATCAGACATCACAAGTTCTTTGGCTGATTATTGTTAATGGCTGTCATTGTAGTACTTGTTAGGTTCGTTATATTATATATATATTTAATGGCTGTCCTCCACTTTCTTGCTGCAGCCAATAGTTTCATTTTCGGATGGCACTTTACATAAAATTCTTTTAGCCAATCTTCTTATGATCTGATGGTATCATCTAATTAATTTGACAAACTTTAGGAGAATCAGCATTTTAGGGATTGAACTAATGATTACTATTGCTAATTTCGTTCTGTAAACATACAAGAATCATTACTTTGATAATCACGAACCTTTTGTGATTACTTTATCCTTTCAATAATTTAAAAAAAAAAAGTATTTTCTCACAATAGTTAAAACCATAACTTCTATTTAATGGTTTCTTTTTCTCTATGTTTGTTATATATATTTGGGATACGACATTGCGCTTGCTTTTTTTTTTTTTAATACTTACTCATTTTCAATACAATTATATCATAATCTCAATTAATATTTATATTTTCTCTTTTTTTTTAATATTCTGATTTAAGAATGTTTGAAATAAATAGGTAAAGTAGACTCAAAAAAAAGTAAGCATAGTATCATATCCCAGTATATTTTAACTAACAACAATAGAAAAGCAACACAACTCATTCACGACTAATTTCATGTAAAAGATATAACATCTTTTTAACATATAATTTGTAATCATTTTTTTTTACCTTACGTTGTAATGCTATTTAATAGATGTTAACGTACTAAGCGAATATCAGGTTTAACATTTTAAATTATCAATAATTATGAATGACAAAAATGTTTAAAAACTAAAATATTGACTTTCGTATATTTGAAGAATCAAAACGAGATTTAAAGTACATTTTCATTTTTTATTTTTTTTAAAAAAGTCTCTTTTTTCCCCTCCAAAAATAAGCTAGTCAAATGAAACATTTACTCAGTGTTATTTAACAAACCATATATTTAATGCAGGAGGAGAGGATATGTGAGGCCATTGAAGATGCGGGATTTGAAGCCAAACTCATTGAAGAAGAATCCAATGACACCTCTTCTCAAATATGTCGAATACACATAAGGGGAATGACTTGTACTTCTTGCTCATCCACTGTTGAATCAGCTTTGCAAACCCTTCATGGGGTGCACAAAGCACGTGTGGCCTTGGCAACCGAAGAAGCTGAAGTCCGTTATGACCCTAACATTCTCACCTACAATCACCTAATGGAAGCTATACAAGACACTGGGTTTGAAGCCGTATTAATAAGCACAGGTGAACACATAACCAAGATAGAGCTTAAAATTGATGGCATTAAGAATGAGCAATCCTTGACTGCCATTGAACACTCTCTTCAGACACTCTCAGGTGTTGAAACCATAGACATATATCCAGAAATAAATAAAATTTCCATAACTTATAAACCATACATGACAGGACCAAGAACCTTCATTCAAGTCATAGAATCTACAGGATCTGGTTGTTTTAGAGCTGTGATATTCCCAAATGATGGAGGAAGAGAAACACATAGACAGGAGGAAATTAACCGATACTTCAAATTGTTCATATGGTGTTTGGTTTTCACCATTCCTGTTTTTCTGACATCCATGGTCCTTATGTATATACCTGGAGTTAAACATGTTTTGGATATCAAAGTTGTCAATATGCTGAGAATTGGACAACTCTTTAGGTTTGAATTTTCGACCCCAGTACAGTTTATCATAGGCAGGAGATTCTACATTGGGTCCTATAAAGCTTTGCGCCAAGGTTCTTCTAACATGGATGTGTTAATAGCCTTAGGAACAAATGCAGCCTACTTCTATTCTGTCTATGTTGTGGTAAGAGCTGCTTTCTGTCACCATTTCGAAGGCAATGATTTTTTTGAGACCAGCTCTATGCTTATTTCATTTATTCTGCTTGGAAAGTATTTGGAAGTTTTGGCAAAGGGGAAGACATCCCAGGCCATTGCCAAGCTTATGGACTTGACCCCTGAGACAGCAACCTTGTTAACTAAAGATGATGAAGGAAATGTCATTAGTGAACAACAAATTGATAGCCGTTTGATTCAAAAGAATGACGTGATCAAAATTGTTCCTGGTGCAAAAGTAGCCGCAGATGGTTTTGTCACATGGGGACAAAGCCACATAAATGAGAGCATGATAACTGGAGAGGCAAGGCCTGTGGCAAAGAGGAAGGGTGATATGGTGATTGGAGGCACTGTGAATGAGAATGGTGTTTTGCATGTCAAGGTAACAAGGGTTGGATCAGAGAGTGCCCTTTCCCAGATTGTTAGACTTGTTGAGTCTGCACAAATGGCTAAAGCTCCTGTTCAGAAACTTGCAGACCACATTTCTAAATATTTTGTTCCTCTAGTAAGCATAGGACCAACTACTTTTTCTGTTTTGTTCTTGAGCTGTTTATTAATTAAGTTAGAGTAATTTCATCTTTGCTCACCACACCAGTGCCCTTTTTTTGTAGGTCATTGTGCTTTCTCTATCAACATGGCTTTCCTGGTTTCTAGCTGGAAAGTTACAAGCATACCCAAAATCCTGGATACCTTCCTCCATGAACAGCTTTGAGCTTGCACTTCAGTTTGGGATTTCTGTCATGGTCATAGCCTGCCCTTGTGCTCTAGGCCTTGCCACTCCTACAGCTGTCATGGTAGGTACTGGAGTTGGTGCAACTCAAGGTGTGTTGATCAAAGGGGGGCAAGCGTTAGAAAGTGCACACAAGGTCAGTGAGTTGCGTTAACATTATTGTTCTCTTGTCTCCTCGATACGATTAATAGGGAAATTCACTCACAAATTTTAACAATTTTGCAGGTGAATTGCATTGTGTTCGACAAGACAGGGACTCTCACAGTTGGGAAGCCAGTGGTTGTAACTACAAAACTCTTCAAAAAGATGTCACTAAGAGATTTCTACGAATTTGTTGCTGCAGCAGAGGCAAGCCTTCTTCTATTGACCGAAACTATTTGAGTCTGAAAATAAACATTAACAAATATTGTTTATTGTTATATCTATATTAGGTGAACAGCGAACATCCAATAGCCAAGGCTATTGTTGAGCACGCCAAGAAAATCATAGAAGATGAACAAAATCATTCCTGGCCAGAAGCACGAGACTTTGTTTCTGTTTCTGGCCATGGAGTGAAGGCCATAGTTCGAAACAAGGAAATAATGGTCGGGAACAAAAAATTGATGCTTGATCATAACGTAATCATTCCAGTGGATGCTGAAGAAATACTAGCAGAAGCTGAAAGACAAGCTCAAACTGGGATTTTAATATCCCTGGATGGAGAAATCGCCGGTGTTTTGGCAGTATCTGACCCATTGAAACCTGATGCCAAAGAAGTTATTTCCATTCTTAACTCCATGAAAATCAGGAGCATCATGGTAACAGGTGATAACTGGGGAACTGCCAATTCTATAGCCAGACAAGCTGGTATTGAAACTGTAATGGCAGAGGCTCAACCTGAAGCTAAAGCAAATAAAGTAAAAGATTTGCAGGTACATACAAATAAAATTATGATCCCAAATTATTGCTTAACTCTGTCCAAGAATACATGCTATATAGTCTTATAGTACCCTAAAGAATGAAGCCATCAACTAACATTATAGGCATAATTACCCCTTAGTCAATATGTTGTTGTTAATAATAAATTCATGTACTCGCAGACTTGTGGCTACACTGTGGCAATGGTGGGAGATGGCATCAATGATTCACCAGCACTTGTAGCTGCTGATGTTGGAATGGCAATTGGTGCTGGCACAGACATAGCTATTGAAGCAGCTGACATTGTTCTCATGAAGAGCAACTTGGAGGATATAATAATTGCCATTGACCTTGCAAAGAAAACTTTCTCCCGTATACGTTTAAACTACATTTGGGCTCTGAGTTACAATCTGCTAGCCATCCCAATTGCTGCGGGCTTCCTTTACCCATCCACTAGATTCAGATTACCACCATGGATTGCTGGAGCTGCAATGGCTGCATCTTCTGTCAGTGTTGTTTGCTCCTCCCTCTTGTTAAAGAATTACAAGAGACCAAAGAAGCTAAACAACTCAGAGATAAATGGTATAAAGGTTGAATAATCAACGTCTCATTTGTAACAAGATAGATTTGATGAAACTAGATATTCTGTCTTTTCCAATGCAATAGTACTGAAAGTGTACAAAAAATATAGAAAACAACAATAAATTTTAAATGTGAAAAATACTTAAATGATTGACATCTTCTTCTTTTTTTAAATAGGTGTGACACATCTTTATTTATAAGGCAAATAACTATAAGTGAGAAGTGAATAGGGTGTAAATGGGTCAGCCGACCTAATAGGAATTAGGAATGTGCAAAATAACTAAAAAATTGAATCGAACCGAACCGCCCTTAAAATAACCAATTTTTAAAAATTAGTTCATGAACCAAACCGATTTTTAAAGAACCAGTTCATGAACCGAACCGGTTTTTAGAACCAATTTAAGAACCGAACCATTTTGAACCGTTTTCAAACCAAACCAAATTGATTTTTATAACTTTACTTTTTAAATTTTTATTTTTTTTCATTTCAAAAGAGGGCCAACCCCAATCGGTTTCGAACCAAACCGAACCATTTTTAACAAAAACGAACCACTTCCGAACCGAACCACTTCCGAAACGAACCATTTAAACCAATTCGGTTCGATTTTTCAAAAAATCTGGTTCGGTTCGACCCATGCACATCCCTAACAGGCTATGATGCACGGACACAGACACGGGACACGGGACACGAGACACGACACGACACGACACGCCGACACGTTAATTCTAAAAAATGTCATATTTGGACACGTTGGGACACGTTTTGATATTAAATAAAATTTTTAATATATATAATATGATTTATATTTAATACATATAAGAGTCCATAATAAGTCATATAACCAATTAAATATTTAAATTTCATAACATAAATATAAATAATTTTTCGTAGTTTGTTAATTTTTAATGTCAAATTTTATAACAAAAAAAAATTAATTTATGAATTATTTCTTTTATATTTAGTTAACAAAATAAAATTAAGATTTAAAAAAATAAAAAAAATAAAAATAAAAAAAAACGTGTCCGAGCGTGTCCCCAAATATTGACCGTGTGTCTCAAAATATTGACAGCGTGTCGGAACGTGTCGGAGAGTTGACCGCGTGTCTCCAAATGTTGACCGCGTGTCGGAACGTGTCGGAGAGTTGACTGCGTGTCCCCAAATGTTGACCGCGTGCCGAGCGTGTCCGTGTCGGACACGTAAATTTCCAAAAAACAAGTGTGTCCGTGTAACGGAGCTAACAGGAACCTATGGCTCAGCTTATTACATATAATTAAATAGAATAGGATCATACTTAAAAAAAAAACTTATTTAGAAAGCAGGACATAGACTTTCTTTTATATACCGGACTTATAAACTTACAGGTCGGCTTATGTTATATTATTTATTTTAAATAAATTATTATTTTAATAATTTTGAATAATAAACTAATATTATTTTAATTATTGAACATCTAATAGACTTAAATAAGTTAATAGACCTAGATAATTTTTATTTTTTAAATATAAATCAAGTCAAACTTATCATCTGAACCCATAGAAAACTAAGAGGATATTTTACATAAACATTAATTTTTAAGACAAAATGCAGAGTCTAATTAAGCATTTTGTTGTTTTTCTTTTAAATGTTTGAGATAGGGTCAATGTACCAGCCACGTTCATTTTCTGATTTCTCACCAATCACCATTGTATTCACGTGGCTGTCCCACCCTCAAATCTAGCATGAACATCCATAGGCACCAAAAAGTTACTCTAACACTGAAGCGTGTAAGGAAGAAAAGGCCATAACATCATTATTATGTCAGTACGGAATACAAAGATAAACACAGCAAACAGTGACTAAAATGCCATTGTTTCTTTATTTTTTTTAAATGTCACGCCAACGGTGTTAATTTTTAATATGTCACGTGGGCAAGTTTGTTAGGCACTATAAAAAATTCAGTTTGTTGACGTGTCACGTTCTTAGTAGACACTAAATTTGCTACCTGGATGTTGTAAATAATTATTATTTAGTATTTATTTGTTGTATTGGGCCAAGCCCATTAGGTTAAAATTAGGTCAAGTATTCTCTATAAATAGAGAACCCTTTGTACAGATTATTTACATTTCAATAATATTTCAAATACCCTTTTATTTCAAGTTGGTATCAGAGCTCTCGATCCAGAGGGCTCTGCTTCCGCAATTACCTCCGTTAAAACAGAAACCTTCTTTCTTAACCTCTTGCCGCCATTAGCCGCCACTGGAAAATTTCTCCGGTGGACCTTTTGGACCAAGAGGACCAGTTTTCAAATCCTTTTTCTCTGATCTATCAGCTTACGGACGTGTTATAATCGTTTGACGACCGGATCTTCCCAAAACAACACAAGGCCGCTACTGTTCATCGCGTATTGGGCACTTTTCCGGCGACCTTTCAACTCCGATCGACCACAGAAAGGTTCGAGACCGTCGAATGACCTCGCCGCAGAAATTTCAGCTCCGGCGGCCGCCGCACGCGCTCTCACGCGCCGCCACACTCCAGGAGAGTGAGGCCCACTCGCAGACACCTCCACTGGCGCGTGGAGGCGCGTGGGACACTTTTTCCAGCTCCGGCCAAAAAGTTTTCTGATCTTCTCCTCTTCCTCTTTCTGGATCTGTGCTCCTCTCTTTGATCGGACATCGTTTGCTATTTATTTGTGTTTTTTTGGCTTCTTGGAGCTTTTCTTTAACCATTTTCTGTGCAGTATGGCCTCTTCTCAAAGGAGTTTTTTTTAATATTTTATGATGGTACCTCTTCTAGACCTAAGAGAGATGACCGATGGTGTTCTTATTGTAAAAGAATAGGTCATATCAAGGATTTGTGCTTTCGCCTTTATGGAAAGCAAACTGTCTTAGAAAAGATGGCAATGATGCGTGGTCAAGCGCATTTTACTTCTTCTGAAATAACCCCTGCACCTAATGAGACCCAATCTGCATTTCGTCCAGATGAGTTGGAACGACTCCGAACCATTCTTGATTATCTGAGTAAGCCGTCTGATACTAGTGCTTTGGCTATGACTGGTATGAGCTCCAAAACTCATTCTTTCATTTCTTCATGTAATGATTTTAAACATTCTTGGGTTGTTGATTCTGGTGCTACTGATCATATGGCTTGTTGTGCTGACTCCTTTATTTCTTATCATCCTACCATTGGAACTCATACAATATCCATAGCTGATGGCTCACATACATCAGTTGCGGGTTCTGGTGACATAAACTTACAGCAGTCCTTACATCTTAAGGATGTTCTTCATGTTCCTAAACTCTCCACAAATCTTCTTTCTATTCACAAAATTACAAAAGATTTGAATTGTACTGTAACCTTCTTCCCTACCCATTGTGTTTTTCAGGATCTCACCACGGGGAAGACGATTGGTAGTGCTAAAGAGCAAGGTGGGTTGTACTATCTGGTGTCACAATCTCCCACAAATAAAGTAACAGATCACACCTTCATGTCTCATGGTCAATCAACTGCTGATTCTTTAATTTGGCTGCATCATAAGCGTTTGGGTCATCCTCCATTTAGCTTACTCAAATCTTTATTTCCGTCATTGTTTTTGTCTAAGTCTGTTGAGTCTTTTCATTGTGATGTTTGTGAATTTGCTAAGCATCATCGTGTGTCTTTTCCTTCTAGTATTACTAAGAGTGTTGAACCTTTTGATCTTATTCATTCTGATGTTTGGGGTCCTTCTAAGGTCCCTCATTCTTCTGGAAATAAATGGTTTGTTTCTTTTATTGATGATTGCACTCGTGTAACTTGGGTTTACTTAATGCGTGAAAAGTCTGAGGTACCACAACTGTTCTTTCAATTTTATAAAATGATTGAAACTCAATTTTGTAAAAAAATCAAAAGACTAAGGACAAATAATGGTACTGAATATGTCAATCACTCTTTTTCCAAATTTATACAAAATCAAGGTATGATTCATGAACTTACTTGTGTAGACACCCCTCAACAAAATGGGGTTGCTGAAAGGAAAAACCGTCACCTTCTTGAAGTTGCTCGTGCCTTACTGTTTCAAACACATGTACCCAAATGCTATTGGGGAGATGCCATTCTTACTGCAGCGTTCTTGATCAATCGTCTACCTACTCGGGTTCTCGATCATGTAAGTCCTATTCACTCCATGACTTCTTTTTTTCCTTCTGTTCCAACTTTGCAAAGTCTTCCTCCTCGAGTGTTTGGTTGTGTTGTCTTTGTTCATATTCATAAACAGCATCGCAGTAAGTTGGATCCTAGGGCTCTTAAATGTGTCTTCCTTGGATATGCTCCTGATAAGAAGGGCTATAAGTGCTATCACCCTGGAAGTCGGAAATTTTTTGTTTCTATAGATGTTACATTTCAGGAATCTGAGTCCTTTTTCCAAGGTCCTCATCTTCAGGGGGAGAATAATTCACCAGAAGACTCATCACCTTCCTTCTTTGAAACTTCAGTGTCTACTCCTTCACCTGTGTCAGTGTATCCTCTTCCTGTGTCTGATCCTCCTGTGAGTGATTCTCCTGTGATTGATACATCAAGTACACCAGAGATATGGAAGGTTATGACACCTGAGAGAAGGAAACAGCCCACATTGTCTCAGCAGCAACCTCAATCGTCTGAACCACTGGTGAGTCCTGAATCTCATATTTCTGATCATGATGTTAATACTTCTGATGACTTACCCATTACTAGTGATTCTGATGATTTACCCATTGCTCTTAGAAAAGGAAAAAGAGCTTGTCCCAAAAAATCTTGTCCCTCCTGTCCCTCTTGTACTCAATACCCTATCTCCCATTTTGTTTCCTTTGCTAATCTTTCTGTGCAGCACAAAAGCTTTGTTTCAGCACTAGACTCTATTGCAATCCCAAAATCAGTACATGAAGCCTTGAAAGATAGGAATTGGGCTCAAGCCATGCAAGAGGAGACGAATGCTTTGGAGAAAAATAAAACATGGGAAGTTATTGATAGACCCAACGGAAAGAAAGCAGTAGGGTGCAGATGGGTTTATGCCCTGAAATATAATTCTGATGGCACTCTTGAGAGATATAAGGCTCGATTAGTGGCCAAAGGTTACACTCAAACCTATGGCATTGATTATGAAGAAACCTTTGCTCCAGTTGCAAAGATGAATACAGTGAGAATCTTGTTATCCCTCGCTGCCCATTACAATTGGGATATAAATCAATTTGATGTGAAAAATGCTTTCCTCAATGGTGAGTTAGAAGAAGAAGTCTACATGGAAATCCCGCCTGGTTTTGATTCTGTGAAGGGGGAAAATAAAGTTTGTAGATTAAAAAAGGCCTTGTATGGATTGAAACAGTCACCTCGTGCTTGGTTTGGAAGGTTTACTAAGGTTATGATGACCTTAGGATACAGACAGAGTCAAGGAGATCACACTCTTTTCTTCAAGCACTCCCAAAATGGGAAGCTTACTGTGCTCCTTGTATATGTTGATGATATTATTATCACAGGTGATGATTTTGTGGAGAGACAGATTCTGCAAACATGGCTTGCCTTTGAGTTTGAAATCAAAGACATTGGGAAACTGAGATATTTTCTAGGGATAGAAGTAGCTCATTCAAGCAAAAGAATTTTTATCAGCCAGAGGAAATATGTTTTGGATCTTCTCAAAGAAGAAGGAAAGCTCGGGTGTAAACCCTCTAATACTCCTATTGAGCAGAATCACAAGATGGGCTATGAAGAAGAGAGTCCTCCAGTTGATAAAGGACAATACCAACGGCTAGTTGGGAAATTGATATATCTGTCCCATACTAAACCAGACCTAGTTTATGCTGTTAGTGTTGTCAGTCAGTTTATGCACGATCCAAAGGAAAAACACATGCAGGCAGTAGAGAGAATTCTTCAGTATCTTAAAGGTACTCCTGTAAAGGATTGTTATTCCGATGTGATGGCAATCTATCTTTAGAAGTCTACACAGATGCTGATTATGCTGGATCCGTGACTGACCGTCGTTCTACCACTGGTTATTGCATGTTTCTTTGCGGTAACTTGGTGACATGGAGAAGTAAGAAACAAGATGTGGTTGCTAGATCAAGTGCAGAAGCTGAATTTCGAGCTATGGCTCAAGGCATTTGTGAGTTACTGTGGCTGAAAATTGTACTTGATGATCTCAAAATAAAATGTGAGGGACCTATGAAGCTGCTATGTGATAATAAGTCCGCTATTTGTATAGCTCATAATCCAGTTCAACATGATCGGACTAAACATATTGAGGTCGACCGCCATTTCATCAAAGAGAAACCTGATAGCGGGTTGATTACCACTCCATACATTCCCACTGGGCGTCAATTAGCTGATCTATTAACAAAGAGGCTTCCTTCAGACAGATTTCAAGAACTTACTAGCAAGCTGGGAATGATAAATATCTATTCCTCAGCTTGAGGGGGAGTGTTGTAAATAATTATTATTTAGTATTTATTTGTTGTATTGGGCCAAGCTCATTAGGTTAAAATTAGGTCAAGTATTCTCTATAAATAGAGAACTCTTTGTACAGATTATTTACATTTCAATAATATTTCAAATACCCTTTTATTTCAAGTCTGGAATAGCGAACTTAGTTTCAATTATTGCACCTGTACTTTCCACTTGCCACGATGACACGTGGCAGACATGCAGAAACGTGCAGGTGCAATAATTACAATCAAGTTCGCTTCACGTGACATATTGAAAATTAATATTGTTTACGTGATATTTAGATAAAAAAATTGGAGAACAATGACATTTTAGTCACTGTTCCGATAAAGACACGGCTTTCACATATTTCAGAGGCCTCCCATATTGTTGTTACTTGTTAGACCCAGGATCATTGCATTAATGGCCGAAATAAATACAGGCAATATCATTTTCAAGTCAATGATCGAACCCAGTCGAAAGGGTACTCCACTATTCCCCCATGCTGCAATTAAAGCGCACAATTTATTATCTCCACAGTCCACACCCTCACGCTAGCACAGGGATATGTCTGACAATTATATATTTTTATAGTACTTGGGTAATTGGTTAGCTTAAATTGTTTTATTTTATATAATAAAAACACTATGATGCTACAAGCTTGGCTTCAAATCTGCAATGTGGGTTGCGGCGTAGGTTAGATGTATGAGATGTGATGCGAGGTGACATATACATAAGATGAAGTCGCCCGCATATTAGCATAACCAAGAGAAACGAAACTAGAAAAACGGAAAGGACGTGTCAGGAACAGAAACACGGGGACAGGGAGCGTTTGTCTTTTGTAGTGAGCATTGGAGACGGTGTCTGTGACTGTGTTGTTTGCATTCTAATGGCATTGTGGTCACCACCCTTTCTATTTCTATGCTTCTAGCTCTACTAGTTCTACTACTTCTTTTCTCTCCTCTTCTCCCGCTCAAAAACGCTAATCGTTTTCTCTCTCTCCTCCCTCTTCTGTGAAGCTTCTTCTTTGACACTGTAAGTTTCCTTCTTCTTCTTTTTCTTTTTTTTTTACCATCGTGCATGATGATGTCGTTGTTTTAGTTACAATTTTTTAAACGCGTGTGATGAGTTCATTCATCAGCGCGAAGCTCGTGTGTGCCGTGTTTAATGGATCACTCACTAACTTGGAGCTGAAAAAGCATCACTGCACATGTTGACTTTCTTTAAATGCGTGTAGATAAATCATTTTACGAGGAGTTTTGCATGTGACCCCGATTTATGAAGAGTTAGATGTTGACCCCATTTTGCTTTCTCCTCCTCTCAACCCATATTTGTTTTGATTTTTGTCCTCACCGACTTTACATTTCAATTCTCGTGGACTTGCATTAATCTTTTGCTCACCAAAGTGGACATACAAGCAAAGATCTTCTTAAACCTATTGCTCGTTTAGATCCCCTGCAATTCTGCTCTTGAAGGTGGTAGTTTTAGTGTATCGGTTTTATAACTTACTTTTTGGCTTCTATTAGCTACAATTGATGTTTGCAACTGAGATTTATTTTTTGATTTGTTTTGTGAAACAGTTCCTATTGCATAGTCCTTCCCTCCAAATAATCCAGTATCATGCATCATAATATTCAGTGTGTACTCTGTACTTTGTATGTGCCTACTGCGTTTTTTTTTTTTGTTTTTTTTTCAGCTGGACTCTTGTTTTCTGTGGAACCAGTAGATCTTCTGTTGGCTCTGCCACATGTTTTTTGTTGAAAAAAATGTAGCTGACTTATTTCTCAGTGTATTTATTCTCTTTTTGTTTCCTGCAACACCTTATCAATGCGATTGCAATTTCCCCAACAGGATTGAGGCTTTGTTTGTTTTAAACGAAAGCTTTTGGAATGATATAATCGGAGTTGCAAATATGGTACAACCTATGCTTTTGACCAGTATACCATCACTTGTCCTTTTCTCCTGCTTCTCACAAACTCAGGATTTACGTACAAGAGGGACATTAACACCTGCTCACTAATTTCTTGTTAGTGCCTCTATCTTCCGTATCAAGATCTAGTAGACTGAGTTCCCAATAGTAGCTTTCCTCTTGAATATCTTTCCAAGGTCTTGTGATTTTTGTATGTTCCAGACTTTTGAAGGCCTACTGGTTAACGATTACATATTCAGCTGGTGCGAAGTTAGACAATCCGGAGAGCATTTCCTTTTGTTCAATGTTAATATCAAATTTCGTTGTCTTAATCTAGAATTATAGAAATGTTATGGAAATATGATTTAATACATATTTGCTTGCAGTTGCACTATTATTTTTGTGTGATGATAGATATATTAAATTCTTGTACTTTGATCTAATTATGTTGATTATGAAATTCTTCCATCTTTGTGGCTTGTTATTGATCAATATAATAGTTTTCCTTAGCTGTATGGATGTATACTCAACCATGTATCCCTATAGCATTTGACACACTTCTTACATTCTTGTTGAGGTTAAATCTGATTATCACATATTAAGATGCTCTACTATTGTATGTAAATACAAAATATACATAAATATGCATCTTCTTCTATTGACTTATAAGATTTATTCACATATAGTCAAGCATCTTTGTCCCATTGTAGGAATTTCAGTTGTTTCTCAAAACTTTTCTTCCTCTCTTTGTAGGTATATATAGTTATCTTGCATTTCTCACCAAAGTCTCCATTGGAAACAGAAACCTGACTGCCACATTTAATTATGAACAACTTCAAGTTAGGGGTAGATGTGGTTAGTGCTCACAATCTATTGCCTAAAGATGGTCAAGGTTCATCCAATGCATACGCAGAGCTTTACTTTGACGGCCAAAAGTTCCGTACGACCATCAAAGAAAGGGATCTTAACCCTGTTTGGAATGAGAGCTTCTACTTCAATATATCTGATCCTTCTAAACTTCACTATCTCACTCTTGATGTCTATGTCTCCAGCCATGCCAAAGCTTCTAACTCCAGTTCATTTCTTGGCAAGGTTAACCTCACTGGGACTTCTTTTGTCCCTTATTCTGATGCGGTTGTCTTGCACTATCCATTGGAAAAGCGTGGTCTTTTCTCTCATGTAAGAGGAGAGATTGGCCTTAAAGTTTACATTACTGATGACACAACCATAAAATCCTCAAACTCAACTCCTGTCGTGGAGTCCATGTCAACAAATAATCCCAGCTTATCACATGCAGGGGTTCGTGCACCTGCAAATGCAATGATGAACAGTTTATCTAATGAAAAGGTTGAGTCAAGACACACATTTCATCATCTCCCTAACACAAACCATCACCGGCATCAACACCATTCCTCTGCCTTTGCAGATGCTCATTATGTAACAAAGTACGAAGATGATGAAATGAAATCTGAACCACAACCTATGAAGCTAGTACGCATGCACTCTGCATCTTCAGCACAACCAGTTGATTTTGCGCTTAAAGAAACAAGCCCATTTCTTGGCGGAGGAAGAGTTGTTGGGGGTCGAGTAATTCATAAAGACAAGACCTCAAGTACATATGATCTTGTAGAAAGAATGTATTTTCTATATGTTAGGGTTGTTAAGGCTCGTGAGCTTCCTGCTATGGATGTTACCGGGAGTCTTGATCCATTTGTTGAGGTGAGAATTGGCAATTACAAAGGTATTACTAAACACTTCGATAAGAATCAGAATCCAGAGTGGAATCAGGTGTTTGCCTTTTCAAAGGAACGGATGCAAGCATCTGTACTAGAAGTTGTGATCAAAGACAAGGATCTGATCAAAGATGATTTTGTAGGCATTGTGAGGTTTGACATCAATGAGGTTCCTTTGAGAGTACCACCAGATAGCCCTTTGGCACCAGAGTGGTATCGCCTTGAGGATAAGAAAGGGGAGAAGATAAAAGGTGAGCTGATGCTTGCTGTCTGGATTGGTACACAAGCAGATGAGTCTTTTTCTGATGCATGGCATTCAGATGCAGCTACACCTGTTGACAGCACACCTGCCACCTCCACAGCGATACGTTCAAAGGTCTATCATGCACCAAGGTTGTGGTATGTCCGTGTCAATGTTGTAGAGGCACAAGACTTGGTTCCTACAGAGAAAAATCGTTTTCCAGATGTGTATGTCAAGGTGCAGATAGGAAACCAAGTGTTGAAAACAAAGACAGTTCCAGCCCGAAGCCTAAACCCACTGTGGAACGAGGATCTTTTGTTTGTTGCTGCTGAACCTTTTGAAGATCATCTAGTCCTTACAGTTGAAGATCGGGTTGGTCCCGGAAAAGATGAGATCATTGGGAGGGTCATCATACCACTGAACTCTGTGGAGAGGCGCGCTGATGATAGAATCATTCATTCTCGATGGTTCAACCTGGAAAAGCCAGTTGCTGTGGATATTGATCAGTTAAAGAAAGAGAAGTTCTCTAGCAGAATTCAGCTCCGTCTTTGTTTAGATGGAGGATATCATGTTCTTGACGAGTCTACTCATTACAGCAGCGATCTCCGCCCCACAGCAAAGCAGCTATGGAAGCCACCGGTTGGGGTTTTGGAACTTGGAGTGCTGAATGCCGTAGGACTCCATCCAATGAAAACACGGGATGATAGGGGAACATCTGATACATACTGTGTAGCAAAATATGGTCATAAATGGGTCAGAACAAGGACTATTGTTGATAATCTGTCTCCAAAATACAATGAGCAATACACTTGGGAGGTTTTTGATCAGGCCACAGTCCTCACTGTAGGTGTGTTTGACAACAGCCAGATCGGGGAAAAGGGTAATGGTACAAAAGACTTGAAAATTGGCAAGGTTAGAATCAGAATCTCAACACTGGAAACAGGCCGGATTTACACTCACTCATATCCATTGCTGGTTCTTCACCCAACTGGGATTAAGAAGATGGGTGAACTGCACTTGGCAATACGGTTTTCATGCATTTCTTTTGCAAACATGCTTTATCTATACTCACGACCACTGCTTCCAAAAATGCACTACGTAAGGCCTTTCTCCGTGATGCAGCTTGACATGCTACGTTACCAAGCAGTCCACATAGTGGCCGCACGACTTGGCCGAGCAGAACCACCACTTCGTAAGGAAGTGGTGGAATACATGTCAGATGTTGACTCACATCTCTGGAGCATGCGTCGAAGCAAGGCAAATTTCTTCCGTCTGATGACAGTCTTTTCTGGTGTATTTGCTGTTGGGAAGTGGTTTGGTGATATCTGCATGTGGATGAATCCTATTACAACAGTGCTGGTTCATGTGTTGTTCCTCATGCTAGTTTGCTTCCCAGAATTGATCTTGCCAACTGTTTTTCTCTACATGTTTTTGATTGGGGTATGGAACTTCCGTTACCGACCCAGGTACCCTCCTCACATGAATACAAGAATCTCACAAGCTGAAGCAGTGCACCCTGATGAGTTGGATGAGGAGTTTGACACTTTCCCCACCAGCCGGAACCCTGACCTTGTGAGATTGAGATACGACCGTTTAAGGAGTGTTGCTGGAAGAATTCAAACAGTGGTAGGTGATTTGGCTAGCCAAGGAGAGAGGATTCAAGCACTGTTAAGCTGGAGAGACCCACGTGCTACAGCCATCTTCATTACGTTCTGTCTTCTGTCTGCCTTGTTGCTGTATGTTACTCCTTTTCAAGCGGTGGCAGGTTTGGCAGGGTTCTATGTCATGAGGCATCCGAGGTTTCGCTACAGGACACCATCTGCCCCAATCAACTTCTTCCGTCGTCTGCCTGCAAGAACAGACACTATGTTGTAGAGTTGCTTCTTCTGAGTTTCAATTCAACTTTTGCTATATATAGTGTATTGTACGTTCTGTTTCAACCAGTTTTTCTCCTCTGTATTGTTGTATCTGGCCTTTACTGTATTTCTAGTATGTAACACTATAATGGTTGACTAGAACATGCCTAGTTAAAACAGGGCTCTTGACTTGTTCAACCCAATGTTCTCATTGTGTTCCTTGGCAACAGCGAGAAGTCAGACATCTAAAGTTTGTTTTGTTTATAGTTTTTTTTAATTCATTTTGGTAAAAATAAGTCAAGGATGCAACACAATTTTAGTTTATTTTTTTATTTTTCTCTTTGCCGAGATTGTTATATAAATAAGATGCAAAAATAGAACTCACAATATTGGAAGAGAAGATTATTTTTTCTTAGGCCTATTTCATATGTGGATGGTACTCTCTCCTAATTGAACTCTCCCCAGCCACTGCCTAACTCGTGGCTTAGAAATATATCCAAGCTTGATTCTCTGATACTTTTAGTCAATTGAAGTGAAGCAAAATTCAGCTAGCTTTTATGTCAAGTGACTTTGTATGTCAAATCTCAATAATTAAGCTGGTTGCGTATAGATTTTGGGAAATTCAAAACAAGTCTACATTTTTATTGCCCAATTGTCTTGAAAAGCTGTTTTAATTTAAGTTATTTCCCATTTTTACGATTAAAAAAAAAAAAAAAAAAAGCTGTTGTGAGTAGGAGAACGGAGATCAACAATGTTTTAACTTTTGAGATAATCAAACATTTGAATATCCCCTACCCCAGTGATCAGGTTCCACCTTGAGAGGATGAATGTTAGTTGCATTATGAATGTTAATTGTTAGCCACTACTATAATGTGCCAATCTGTAAACATATTGTATCTGGGAGCACGACTCCACAACAAACACATAATTTAGCCCAATGTGCATCTCAACGCGCACATAAATATAATCATTTAATCAAGGGAAGATCACTACGTGCTAGCATGATACGTGTTGTTAGGTGGAAAAAATGTTTCCTCTGCTAGAAAAACCCGAAGGGGGTCCTAACATTGTTCTCATCCAGAAAATGGCTGTGTCTATATCCAGAAAAAGATCAAAATCATCTAGAAAAGTAGAAGCTAAACAATCTTATTTTGGCTTTACAATCCTACACAACTTTCTTAGTCGAATTTCTGCTGCAGTCCTCCTTCTAATCCTTATCTACATGTGGTCTTCCTTCTCCACCATTATGACCGGAAACATCATTCATGTTTGTTTTTCTTCAAGGAAGCTCAATAGCCTCTACTGTCTTTCTGCAGGTACTCATCCCTCCTTTGAAATCCCAACTTCCTTAAGCAAGAACAGTTCTGTTACCCCTGGAATTGAGGGTAATGCAACTGAGCCTGGTAAGTTTCCAGGTACCCCATATCTGGTCACTAGTAGAGTATCTAACAATGATAAAGATGAGGAGATTGCAAAAGCCGTTAAGGTTATTGAGGAACAATTGCAGGTTCATCGATCCTGGAGGTCAGATAAAAGCTATGCAACTTGTGATGGTCAAGGAATATATGTGTATGATTTGCCATCCATGTTTAACAAGGACTTGGTGGGTCAATGCCGTGACATGGTTCCATGGCAGGATTTCTGTAGATATTTCAGTAACGAGGGGTTGGGTGAGCCAATAGCAACGCTTGGTAAGGGATGGTATCAAACTCATCAGTACTCACTTGAACTCATATTTCATTCGAGGGTCCTGAAGCATCCATGCAGGGTTTATAGTGAAAACGAAGCAAAGCTCTACTATGTCCCATTCTATGGTGGTTTAGATATCTTGCGATGGCATTTCAAGAATGTGTCAAATGATGTGAAGGACAGTTTAGCTTTGGAATTATTGAAGTGGCTTGAGAGACAAAGGCCATGGAAAAGGAATTCAGGTAAGGATCATGTATTTGTGTTGGGTAAAATTTCATGGGATTTTAGGAGAAGTGGTGACTCTCCTTGGGGTACTAGATTATTAGAGCTTGACAAAATGCATAACCCCATTAAGCTCTTGATTGAACGCCAACCTTGGCATGTGAATGACATTGGAATTCCTCATCCAACTTATTTCCACCCTCATTCAGACAGTGATATAATGGCTTGGCAAATGAAAATCATTAGATCAAATCGGAAAAACCTTGTAAGTTTTGCAGGAGCAGCACGCCCTGATGCAGAGGACAAGATAAGGACAATGTTAATCGATCAATGCACTTCAAAAGGTAATGGTAAATGCAAGTTTCTCAATTGCAGTTCTGTCAAGTGTGATGAACCAGAGCCAATTATAGAACTTTTTGTTGAGTCTGAGTTCTGCTTGCAACCTCCTGGGGATAGCCCAACAAGAAAATCTGTTTTTGATTCACTCATAGCAGGTTGCATCCCAGTTCTTTTTGATCCTTTCACAGCTTACTACCAATATCCATGGCATTTACCAAAGGAACATGACAAGTACTCTGTGTTTATAGACAAAAAAGAGGTGAGACAAATGAATGTGAACGTGGTGGAGAGGCTGACCAATATTTCATCGAGAGAGAAAGAGAACATGAGGAGGTATATTATATATGAACTATTGCCTGGACTAGTTTATGGGGATAACAACGCTGAGCTTGACAAGTTTCAGGATGCATTTTCCATTACAATGAATAATCTGCTTGAGAGGGTTAGCAGATTAGATGAAGCATACAAGGACTGACCGTGTTCTTCTGTTTATTTGTTTGAGAGTACGTTTTGTTTTGTTTTGTTTTTGGGATACCAGTATATCACTGCACCTAATGCTTTTTCACTATTACTTCACTAACAATACTTGTAACCGATCTTTAATCAATGATAAAGTGGGTCAATATTTAATTTATTTTTCTTGTTAAATAATTGCAGACTCTTAACTAATTTTGGATGAAGGTAATTTTGATGTTAATTGATTATATCTATCTAAATTCACGCTCAGACTATCTATTTCTACTCCTTATTGGCTTATAAGCACTAAGACGAGGAAGTTTTCAAGTTACAAATGTTCTCCTCCTTAGTTAATCACAAGAAGGAATGTACTTTATCACCGAAGAACAAGCAATAAAGAGCTTCTTATAAAGCTAGTGTAAGGAATTGCGATCCATCCCCAACATCCACATGGCGATTTCCAAGTCCAAAAAAACAGAGAAAAGATATTTGGATATAATTTACAAAATAAAAATAAAAAAGAGATTTGGATATAAAAAATGAACAAACTATTGTTCCTTCGTCGTTATCCAGTTGAAGTTTAATGAACGTTTTTTTTTCTTTTTCTACGATGCAATAGATTCCCGTATTCCATTGCATCTTCATTTTATCCCTAATTGGGTTTTCTCTGACAGACTGCATGAACACTAAGAATATTATCATTGCATTCTTATGATCCTTAATCTAGAAGCTAGTAAAATCTTACCAACCAATTTGGATGCGAATATTAGCCTTGTAATCTAAGACGCTTTCACGCACAGTCCAATTCAGATTGCGTTCACACCCTTCCCATATCCAATCTAATAACAAAAGGGACGATTTGGTTTGAGTAATCTTATTCTTATGTTTACACAAGCACTTTATTTATTTATTTGTGTAAATAACGGGTATCATTTATAGGATGCAATTTTATTCGGAACGAGTTTATGATTAAGCTTTAAACTTCTTCCAAAAATAAATAAGAATGATCGAATACATACTCTCACCTCACTTGAGTTTCCGTACACCAATGTAGCTATCATTATTACGGCGGCTTCTCATTCTCTAATATTTTTTAAATAAATTATATTTTTAAAATTCTCATTTGATTTGTGTATGTATATATATATTTTTTAAAACACACTATTTTCATTCCTAGAATTAAAAATAAAATAAAAATAAAAGTAATCAATATACATTTTAAATACCGTATATTTAACATGATCATCCCTTATAAAACAATGGCTTTCATCGCAACTATTTAAGCAATGGAAAAAAAAAAAATTAGTGTCTACCCACTTAAATTATAATTAATAGATTTTCTTATGTATATGTCTTGCGTGGGATGAGAAACCAACAAATGCAAATAACTTAGTCATGTATTATAATTCAAAGTGAATGAAGATTAAAATTTTATCCTAAACAAAGTGGTTTCGTTAAGGATTTAAGGGGTGTTTGGTAGGTGATTTTTAGGGAGATTGATGGATAAGTGGGAGTGGTTATTGAATAATGCTGTGTTTGGTAGAAGAGTACGAGAAATAAAACCAGGCAACCTGATCCCCCATGAAATGGTGCTATGTGTGTAAATTTTGGTCCAAAACACTGTTTCGAAATACCACCTTGGAGGTGGTATACGGAGATAACTGGATAAGTGAAAATTTTGGCGCCATGATTGTTACGCAAATGCCCCTTGCCTTCGCTTTCCTTCACGAACATCTGGTCCTAGTCTTTGTGGCAAAACAACAAACACCTTCTCGTCAATAACATATTCATCCACCATTTCATTTTCACATCGTAAATAAATAAAAATTCCAGTAGCACTATTTTCATTATGCCTATGATGGACAAACAGAACACCTTAACTAACATAAGAGCTTTGAACACAACTTGGTCCAAAGAAGCGACCATGCAACCCAAAACAAATTACACAAGCTTTTAGCAAAGATTGCAACTTTTCGAAGTGGGCAATAAAAAAACGAAATGGGTCTATTCAGAAATAGAAATTCTGATACAAGTCCTAAGGATGAGTTTGATTTGGGGAACAATGAAGGAAGCCAAATCCATTCCCCAATGCACATGACGCCTTGCTTCCCACTTCATAGGTTGATATTGTGTTTGTGGGTTCTAGTGGAGAAGGCAGAAGATGATGGTAGTGAAGTGGAATGCTAGGACAAGTATGGTGGTGAAACCATGGCCATAGTCTTAGAGGCCGTAATAATTGTTGGGTCATGTGTGATTATGCAAATATGATATGAAAACAGAAACGACGATGCTATTTGGCTATTCTTCTTCATGGCACAGGTGTCCAACGATACTTTCACGGATCTAAGGGGTATTTTCGATTTTTTGACATTTTATCCCATCAATATTTTATTTTTAACCAAACATAGTCTTAGTAAATTTTTGTTAATTTTCTTGGTAATATTCCAGTCTACCAAACAACTTTTTTTTAATTTTTCTACTAATTTAATTTTTCAACCATTTCCCCACTTATTATATTTATCTGGTCAAAAAATTTATCTCTTGTACCAAACGCCCCCTAAAGGTTAAATACTAGTTCCCCCAAAGGTTAGCTGTGCTGTGAAATTAAATCCCACCACCCACTTCTCTTTTATAGGAACAGTGATCAGGCTGCTATATTTTTTGGAAACTTTTTATAAATTTGTTATGCGAACAGAAGAATGCCACGTAGTGAGATTCGTTATGACAGGTAGAGAACTTGATAGTCAATGATTTCATAATATGTGACACACTTTTATATGAAAAGCTTAATGTCACGTGTTCAAGTTCGCTACAACTAGTAGTGAATTTGGTATCCAATAATTTCGTGACACGTGGCACATTTTGGCAGAAAAAGCTGAATGAGCTAAGTTATCTATCAGGGGTAGCGAACTTGGTACGCTATATGGCACAATCTCATTGCCCGATCAGAACTAATGTACTAATCACAATCAAAAAAGAAAATGGAGGAAAATGACTATTTAATTAGAGTTTTATTAATCTCATGTTAAAGGAGATAAGTTATCTCATGTCATAGAGACAAACTTGTGAGCTCCACCATCAGAAAAAATAAAGAAAAGAAAAGAAAAAGATGGCACAATTATCGAAGGATGTGCAGGAGGAAAAACTTATCTCATATAACATGAGAATAGTTTTTCCCATTTAATTAATGTATCAATCATAATTAATGTATCAATCATCAATCACAATTAATGTACTAATAACCAATCTCATTTTCTTTTTTTGATCGTGATTGGTATATTGATTCTGATCAGGCAACGAGATTGTTCCACATAGCACTCCAAGTTTGCTACCCGTGATTCGTCCAATTAGCTTTTCTTTTAAAAATGTGTCACGTGTCACGAAATTATTGGATCAAATTCGCTATCAGTCGTAACAAACTTAATCACATGATAGTTAACTTTTTTTTTTGTAAAAATATACCACATGTCACGAAATCAATAATTATCAAATTCGCTATATGTTGTAACAAACTTCAATGCATGGATAAATTTTATTCGAATGACACATTGATAAAATTTTTTTTGCCAAAACACGTGACAGTCTGTTGACTGTTGCTCTTTTATATGGGTTGTGAACATGGTAGTTAAAATTTGGATTTAAATCTTAAAATCCCGATTTTAACGATTTATTTTTCCTAAAACGATTTAGATTTCACTTAAAATATTTTCCAATATAAAATCCCGATTTAGACATTTACTTAAGTCCCGATTTTAAGATTTAACTTCTGATTTTAACTATTGGAACAATGTTAAGCAAGTTAGAAAAATTGTTGAATATAACATTGCTGATGTTTCATCCGAAGATGAATGGATTGTGGAAAATGAAAGAACTTTATCTCATGATGAAAGTTTAGAGGAAGACAATTTTGAATAATGTAATTGAAGATCACGTGGAACAGAATGTCTTCGATGATAATAACTTGAATGATTTATTAGCTTATATCCTTAGAGTGTGACAATTGTATGTAAATATATAAAGATGGTGGCAAGTAGTCTATTTTTCTTAAATTTTTCTATACATAAACATATTTATATAAAAATTTAATTTTAGAGTGCAAGTAAAATCTACGATTTGTATTATAATTTTACGATTTACCATTTTTTATTCAGTTTAGGTAAGATTCTATGCTAAGTATTCTAGACAGCATCTCGAGTTGATAAGATTGACCTTATGAAGTGAAGGACGACTACTTATGTCACTTGGTTAGAAGCTTCCCACGTGTACACATGTAAAGCCTCCACGTTTAAACGTTTTTACGCGGAGGGACGACGCTATAAAATTGGGGCTATGCCTATGCCTATACGGTTGTAGGTTGCATCAACTCCCATCGTGTTCAGCTGAGTGTCTCTGCTTCTGTTGCCTTGTCAGTTGTGAAGCCAGTTCTCTTCTTCTCTTATCCCAACCAAACCCTCCCCTCCTTCATTCTTCTCAATTTCATTTTTTAGCTTTTTCCAATTTAGGAAACCCTTTCAATTTCAGCTTCAAATTCAACCCCCCTTCTCATTCACTTTGACTACATACAGATCACACAATGGCTAGTCAATCAAACGTTGAATCAATTCACGATTTCACTGTTAAAGTATGTTGTTGCTTTGCGTATATTTTCCATTTTTCTTATCGTTCTTTTTTTTTTTCTTTTATAATTTCTTGGACGAGATTCACACTAAATGGGTTCATTTTATGATTACTTTATTAACCCTTTGGTTGCAGGATGCCAGGGGAAATGATGTTAATCTAGGCAACTACAAAGGAAAGGTCCTTCTCATTGTCAATGTTGCTTCACAGTGGTACTATTCTCTCTGAATTTCTTTCTCTAATTAAGTACTTCAGATGAATTTCATAGGGTTTTCAGACCTATGTTAAACAAAACTCGCATTTGACATATATGTATATTATAAAAAAAAATGCAAAGGTGCAAGCTTTATAGTTTTTATTGATATTGTTTCAAATCTGATGAACTCAGTATTTTTTTTTATATATATATTTAAAAAAAAAGGGGGAACGGTTAGTCATGCTGGCTTATAAGTTAAAGACCTTTATGCACTTTTGCCTATGCCTTATACATATTTTTATGTTCGATATTTGATGCAGTGGGTTGACTAATTCAAACTACACAGAGCTGAATCAGTTGTATGAGAATTACAAAGGGAAAGGTCTGCTTTTGTCATCTTTTCTTTTGCTGTGGTCATATTTTCTTTCTGATTTGTTTCTTTCTTTTTGTCCTTGTTATTGTTTGTTTTTATCCTAATTCTTCATGATACCATCTACCTTCCGCGCTTATAATGACTAGCAAATTAAGAAGATACAATATTTATTTTGAACTCTTCCTATTGGCTACTGTCTATACGTACTTGATAAATTATTATTAATTATAAACTTAGTGGACTAGGCCATAGATATTTACCAGCCATACATAAGATTCCTTAGTTTTCCAGATGAAATTACTTACTCTGGATCCTTCCCTTTTTTTAAATGCGATCTTCTTTATGCAGGACTTGAAATTCTGGCATTTCCATGCAATCAATTTGGGGCACAGGAGCCAGGAACCAATGAAGAGATAGTAGAGTTTGCTTGTACTCGGTTCAAGGCTGAGTTTCCCATTTTCGACAAGGTAGGAGAACGGACTCTTAAATGGATAAATATCTCCTCCTTCCTGTGTATGTTCTTGATTCGAATACTTTGTGGTTGTGGCATCAGCTTCATGAATCAAATTTTTGGGCTGTAGCTTTAATGAGAACTGTAAGTGGTGTTAGAATGGCTTTGTTGGGCTATAAGAAATTTTGTGCAATCCACACCAATCCGAATTGACACCATTTGTATGTAAGCAATTTTGTGCAAAATCTAGAATTGTTTCGTTGAATGTATGATTCGTTCGTAATATTTCACCTGATGACTAGATCTGTTCGTTCAGTTTTGAATAGTATGTTAAAAAGAACGAACCTGACAAATTGAGCTTAAAAAGGTTGAGTTTTCAATCTTTCAGTTGTCGGAAAATTTGGAGCGGTTGACCGACTCTATCCTTGACATTTCTCCCATTTCCAGCATAGATTGTGTGATGTGTTAATATCCAAATCATTCTAGCTGAGATGTATTAAATTAGCTTCATGACTTTGTATTCCTGTTTGATTCCGTGGGATTCCCCCCCCCAAAGCAATTATAGCTTATGTATTAATCTTAGTGTCTCTTTTCCACTATGTCTAGTCTCAAGATCCCAGCTCTGTTTGTTGGAGTTAGAGTTGGGAAATTAAGTTTTAAATGGATTTGAGAATTTTAATCCTATTGTCTTATTAAAATGAACTGAGTTGTGTTGGCTGGTGTAAACAACTACCTTGTCCACGGATGCAATGAGGTGGTTGCCGAGTAGTGTTAGTTAAAAGAGGTGGCAGGAGGCTACCGAATGGAAAGTTGAACATTGTCTGGAAATTTAATAATTTGTCTGGTCAGTTGGAATATTACTGAATTAGTGAAATAGAATAAGAAGTTGAGCTTCTCAACCTTATCAATTTGAACATGGTAGAGATAGAACAACTATTTTACCTTCTCCATATGTATATATATACTATTAAATATTTACTCAGATTATGTTTGCATGCTTTTACAATAGGTGGATGTGAATGGTGACAGTGCTGCTCCAGTGTACAAGTTTCTGAAATCAAGCAAAGGTGGACTATTTGGGGATAGTATCAAATGGAACTTCTCCAAATTCCTTGTGGATAAAGATGGGAATGTTGTTGAACGTTATGCACCCACAACTCCTCCTCTCAGCATTGAGGTAAGACAATATGTATGATGGCATGGCATCAGTAATATTGCCTTTGACATGCTTGAAAATTTTACACTAACAAAATGTTTCTCATGTTGATTAATCTGCAGAAAGACTTAAAGAAACTGCTGGTTGCATGAGTGATTGGAGTTGCCACTAAATGAATAATGATTAGAATATACGATGAATAAGAAATGTATTGCAGATGTTGGTAGAATTTCCTTCGTATATGTACCGAAACAGTTGCTTAGAATATACCATGAATAAGAAATGTGTTGCAGATGTTGGTAGAATTTCCTTCGTATATGTACCGAAGCAGTTGCTCGTGTACCTCTGAATTACTTTCGTCATCTTTATAAAATTGGGTATCTATTTTATATTCTTACTCGGTCAAACGTGTCCCTAACCTGCCCAGTTCTGCCTCGTGATATCTGTCCATGAGGAACATTCAAGTCGGACACTACTCTATACCGCTTGATCATGCACGAAATGTGAGCTAGCAGCCTGTGATTTCAGAGAATTGTTTAGTGCTACTGAACGCTATGAAACAAATTCTTAGTACTGTTCAACGTGGCACATCATTTATAACCTTCAAAATCTTAATAGTGTGGGTCGGTGATGACCTATGAAACATGGGTGATATATATTGAATGACTAAATTATAAGAATATTTTTGAAAAATTTCTGATGATTTTTATGGGATTTCAAAATATAGAGGATTTTTTTTTTCTTTTGAAAAAAAAGATTACATTGGCAATATATATAGGTGCAACCGTGCAAGTGCAACGATGCTTAACATTTGCCTCTGATTTGAGTTGCGGTGTTTTTACTCATAAACACCTCGCGTAGCAGTGATTATTGAATTGACAGTTACACAGAAGAAATGTGTAATTTAAGTTTGACATATCATATTATAAATGAAAAAAATTATTCTTATGCTATGGAAGAATAACTTTCTTTTCTATATATTTATCGACTTCCGTGTAATTTTAATTTATTTTTTATGAATGAGTGAGTTTTATTCATGATTGTGTCTATGATAGGAGAGAATTATTTTTCTACAATATGAGATTAATAATAAAACTCATTATAAATAGTAGAAAACGGGATTGTATAATCCTAGCGTAGGAGAAGTTCAGCCTATGTTCCATCAATTATTAGATATAATTTGAAAAAATAGATATTAAAAAATCAATTAAAATATTTTTTATTTTTAAAAATTACTTAAAATTGTATACCTTTATTTAAAATTTAAAAATAATTTTCCATTCAAAATGCATATAACATTAAACAAAACACTAAACAGTGATTTTAAGGCACATATTCAATTATTAAGTCTTAAAAACTATATAATGGAATTTGATATAACTAACTAGGTTGTGTAAAAGGCAGTCTTTAATACACGATAGTTATAATGACAATTATAATTGAACTAACCGATTCACGGTATACAAATAGATAACAGGTTGAATACGGAGTGAATTCTCTCGCGTGAAAAAATAGTCATGTGATTATGTTATTTAATCACAATCATTCATTAATAATGAGATAAGAGAGAAAAATATATAATTTTTAAATAAGTGATTGTAATCAAATAACATAACCATACAATTATTTTTTCACATGAAAAAATCTCTTACCGGTTGAATATATGGTAGCATTTAATACCTAACAATAATATAACTCACCACACAAATTAATTGAGTTACTTAGCTACCAACCTTACCTACTTTTGGCCAACCAATCAACATAGTATACTATGTAGCACTGCTACTGACACGGGACACGTGACACGACACGACACTCTGACACGTTAATTTTAAAAAACGTTAGATTTCGACAGCTTAGGACACGCTTTGATATTAAATAATATTTTTAATTTTTGTAGTGTATATTATATTTAATATTCAATAATTTAACAAAAAATGAAACTAAACTTATAATATTTATCAATTTTGCAAAAAAACATAAGATAGTCCAAATATTTATATTAAACTCAATAAAATGGTAATCGTAATCCAACGAATCTAATAGTTGGAACTAAAAACTCAACGCAACGCAACTTTTGAACCTTTTTTTGAATTTTTATAACACGTGTTGGAGTGTCGGGGAGTGTCGAAGAGTGTCAGAAAGTGTCGGACACGACACGTCAAGATTTTTGAAGTGTCGGTGCTTCATAGATAGTATATATTTGATTGTTATTTAATTTTTCATTCTGATTGCATATAATAATTGGTTAACGGAAAAATATACACAATATTAATTTTAAGGGACAGATTCAATCATTAAGTCAGCTGTTATATTTTAGAGTTCATATACCTGTATTTTGTATGGGGAAAATTAGTATTATGTAACATGATATAAAATTTTTTACCCACTCACCCATTGGTTTCTGCACCAATATTTTTTATTTTTTGTTTTTATTACATGTATAGGACCCACGTGCATTTTTGTTTGAGTAGAAAAAATTGTTTAGATTATGTTACATGATAGTAGTTTTACCCATTTTTTATTTATACAAACTAACTTTCAGAGGAATACATTTATTAACAAGTTGATATTTCTATATAATAATAGGAAATAATTGTATCATGCTGTAAAAAATTAGTTGTGTCATGCTATAGATACAATTAATGTGGACCCCACTATTTTTAAAATAAAAAGAAAAAAAAAGTGATAGAGTCTACATTGATTGACTGTGTCTATAACATGACACAATTAATTTTTTATAACATGATATATCTATTTCTCTATAATAATAGAAGAGGGATTAAAGAATTCTTATATTTATTATGAACCGTCAATGTATTTGTATTCGGATGATGTACGTGAAATATTATATCTTGTAAATTAGAATTATAAGTGTTAGATGCAATACAAGTTGGTACGATCTTTTAGTATTTTAATTGGTTGAACGTCTAACAATGGCAACAAGTACATAAATAAATAATTTCTCGGTTAGGGTGTTGTCACTCACATCACATCGGACAAGAATCTCACCACGTGTGAAATCATTACTGGTCAAACATTTCAACGTTCAATCCAATCCTCGTTCCATTATAATGTCTAACTCTAAGCTCAGTTTCTTTCTAACTATTAACACTTCACTTCTTTTCTCAAATTAGACTCTAGCTCTAGCATACCATGACCACCGAATCCACTAAGGATCCAAAATCCGTGTACGATTTTACTGTCAAGGTTTGTCTTTTTTATTTTTATGTGTTGCTTCATACTTAGACTCTATTTTTAAGTGGATAAGATAAACCAGGATTGTTACCTTATTTTGGAGATTTTTTTTTTTTTTTTTTAAGTAAATAAATGTTGTGTGCTTTAATTAAGCCTTTAACAAACCAGTTTATGCTCCTGAAGATGAAGATGAAGATGAAGATGTTAACAAGTATCATCTAAATATATGTATTAACTAAAAAACCTTTTGTAATTCTTCCATTCACTTGCAAGGATGCTAAGGGCGATATTGTTGATCTCTCCACTTACAAGGGAAAAGTTCTGCTGATTGTCAATGTTGCGTCTAAATGGTATCCTTAATTTGTGCTCTGCTTATTAATACTTTTCTTCATGTTTTCATATCTTTATATTGCATCTAGTTAATAACTTTAAATCAGGGTATTTTTATTTTTCCAGATGGAATAGATTCCGTTCTTGTCAATAACTATTCTCACTGCCATTTTCTTAAAGTGTTGAGAATATTTACAATTCTTGTTTGTTGTTTGGGATTGAAACAGTGGCTTGACCAACTCCAATTATACGGAGCTGAATGAATTATATGAGAAGTACAAAGACAAAGGTTTGTACTTTAGACCCTTTTACTGTTTCTTGTTTCTCATTTCAAACTGTAACTATCATAACCTTAGAATAAGCATTTAGGAAGAAATATTATTTGACTGATCGCTATCTACAATTATAAATAATGCCTTATTTAACGATGGAAACTGGCCAAATTAACTTCATATCTATTTGCTGGTAATTTTCCCGTACTGAAAAACTTTTTCTGGGGACACTGATATTGAGATGTCTTATTCTGATTATCTGTGTTTCTTCCTCTATCATTGTACAAATATATTTAACTAATACAAATGACTGGGTTGGAAACCCTTAATTAGGACTGGAGATTCTGGCATTTCCATGTAATCAATTCGGTGAGCAAGAACCCGAAAGCAATGATAAAATTGTGGAGTTTGCCTGCACTCGCTTCAAATCAGAATTCCCCATCTTTGATAAGGTAGGTCCACATTTAAGTCATCTTGGAAAGCTTGCTTGTACTACAAATTGCCAAATTTGTGTTATGATGTTACCCAAAAAAAAATAAAAAATAGTAGAGACTAGTGCTTATCATTACCCTTGGCAAATAAGCTGCTCTTTACTAGAGGAATGATCTGTGTGTTGGTTTGCTTTCTATTTTCTATTTCCATCCTGAACCCCTCATTGTGCTTCTATGGAAAACATTTCCTTAATGATGTTCAACTGCTTTAGGCTGTATATCTAGAAACTTAAAATATTGCTTGACTAGTTGGAGTTAATTGTACAAAGCATATGATTACTGCTATCCTGTGTTACCTTCTGCTAATTCTTTTGAAGAACCATGACATTCACTTGGTTATATATCTCTCTCCTTTGTTCTTGTTCTAGATTGAAGTGAATGGGGACAATTCTGCTCCTCTGTACAAATTCTTGAAGTCAGGGAAATGGGGAATTTTTGGGGACGATATTCAGTGGAACTTTGCCAAGTTTCTGGTTGATAATGATGGGAATGTGGTGGGTCGCTATTATCCCACTACTCCTCCTCTAAGCCTTGAGGTAAAGACATATTGTCTCTATATTATTCTTGAAATTAATTCATATGCTTTAAGTCGCTTTTATAATTCTTCTGGCATCATTTTTATTGTATTGCAGCGAGACATCCATCAGCTTCTGGGAATTTCTTGAAGGCAAAGATACAACTTGGCAGAGAGGACGTGATGAATTTCAAGCATGTCTTCAAAGTTCATTATGTTTCCCTTGTGTAATAGTGGCAATGTTGTGCATAAAATAAGGTTATGCCAGTTCCTACTTATACTTATGGACATAATGTATGATATCTGGTTTTATTGGGATTTTAGCATATGTCATGCCATATAGTGACATCTTCCTTTGCATTCTTCGTTTTCTTTTAGTTTCATTTTTCTGTCCATCTCGCAGCCATAATACATATTCCTTGTTAATTTTTTTTAAACTTAATATTCTCGTCAGTTAAAAATATGAGAAAACTATGAAAGTTTCAATTTTAATGATTCGTTTCATTCAAAGGTTTCGTCATTTTCATTTTTCTTACAATCTTGGGAGGGATAATTCTTTATCTTTAACCCCTGCCTCACTCTAGAAAGAAATTAATTAGGTTAAATATAACGGTTTAATGGATTTCAAAAATAACGAACGAAAAAAAAAAATCAACTTCAAATAAAAGAGACGTGAAAACTAAGATGGATGGTTGCTCCATTTGGCTCATTAATCAGAATAAACATTTCCTACGAGTCATCAGTAACCAATAATTTCCCCAAAGATCTGAGATTTGCGTTGCTTTCACTCTATTGGAGTGACCAATAATGAACTTTATTCGCATTGCAAATATCTGAAGCTCGGAGAAGCAGACAACTGGAAGAAAGACACCTTTCAAAGTGAATGTTTTGTACGGTCGATAAAGTGAAAGAACTTGTTATAATCGGCTCAACAGTCAACAAAATAATATACTTTCCTCTTAACGTTGACATTTTGCCTTTCATTTCACCACACATTTTTGCACAAGTCAAGGTTGTTACTTAACCCCGAAATGATCCATTTGTTACAGTTACAACATAAGTTAGTGCGAACTTGTGTCACCTACCAATGGGGATAACAAGCAGAAGCAGAGTCACAATGCTCCTCACAAATTCAGTTCATATACAACAACAAGAGATATATATACATACAAAGCAGCTATGTCTCTTCCACAATAAAATTTCACCCACGAGTCAAGTCAATACCAGTGTGTGGCTGTGCACTTTTCGTATCTACTGGCCACATGCCTGTTGCAGAAGAGGTGTAGTTTTGATTAGGAGGAGAAGCTAACTTATCACTACTCTGAGGCTCCGAATTGCTTTCTTTTGTACTTGTCCCTTCCTTAGTCTTTGGCTTAGACCCGCCATATAAGAAACTGCACACTACCACCTGCAGCAAGCAAAGCTTCATTCTTTTCTTTTTTTTTTTTTTTATTTGGGTTTGAATCTAAAGCATCCTGAGATGCACAAGAATGTAATTCATTATCAAACATCGTTTACTCCACCCACTCCACCTCATTCAGAATACCTTGCAGTTGTTTAACTTATTGTTATAGCATCATGAGAACATGAATGATCATGCAAGAAGAATAAGAACGACCAATCCTAGAAAGGCCCCTAGATTTTGGGGCAATTAAGAATATACCTGTACTGGGCTTGCAGTGATAAGCCTAGCAATACCACCACCAATAATATGACCATCCGGACTGGAAAGGGAAACACTCATGCCACCTGTTCTATTGCGAGGTCCACCATCTTCAGCAACCAAGTAAGAACCAGACAAGCATAATATTTGAAATCGGCCCTGCAAAAAAGTTTAGTATTGCATCATAAGAACCAACCTTACAATATCACAATTGCTGAAATGAACGGCATTAACTTTCTCTTTTTTTTTAACAGTATGGATACTTAATAAACAGGAACCATAGAAGGGACATAGAGAGGAGACAGAAGGGATGATATCATGATACTTAATAACGTTAAAATTGCTTGTAGGGCATGTAAGCAGTGTTTAGTTCTTTAACCTCATAAGTAGCACTGACAGTAGTAGAAGCCGGCTGACGCAGAGTGACTGAAGAAACTGTCCCAGTTCCCGACAAGATGCATAAAGCCCTTGGTCTCTGCTGTGAAACCAATAATAACTTTGCAACAATGTCCTGAAACAAAGAAAATCTATCATTCCAGGAAATTCTAAATAAATGTGCAACAATAAGTAACACTCTTGAATGTTCACATGATGAATAAAGCAACTAAGCATATTATTTGAAAGCTGCAATTAAAATTTCCGTTCAGTATCATCAGTTTTGCATGAAATCAGCAACGATGTTTATGTGCGAAGTAATCTTCTACAATTTCTATGCCATTACAATCCCAGTCTAACTGAATACACCATCCATGTGAGAGCATTCATTGATTTCCAATTATATAAATCATTCATGAGGTTTGCATGCCATGAATGGTAAAATTAGCATATCAATATCCTGACCTTATTTTTTATTTTTAAAGTCTTTCCATTGTTAGTTTTATGATGCTTTGTGGATGCGCATGGAGTATGGGCTATTGACAACAACTTCTCACAAGTCATGAAAAACAACTTTTTTTAGTTAAGGAAATTTTTTTCTGATGTCGATGTCAACAATGATTTCGGTGCCACTAGACCAATGGGCTATTAAAATTTAAAAAAATCCCACATCAGTAAACCAACATCTAAGTCATATCCTGTTTAGATAAATATAGCCTCAACATCTTTATATTCAGGATCCAATAAAAGAACTCAACAAAGAAGTGCATCATAACCTATATCTCTTATGAAATGGAAGAATAAAACTACCTCCCCAGCTCCAATGGTGATAACATGAGGTGAAAAAGCCATTCCTGCAGAACTGTTCATCCATTCACCTATGAAGAAACAAAAAAAAAAAATGTTAAAACATCACACATTTCAAAGAAAAATAGGAAAGGAAAGCATTTTCTGGTAATACCGATGAGTTGCCATTCAAACAACAAGAAAACAATTGCACCAGAAAAGGAAGGGGAAATTGCAAAACTCACTGTCTAATTTTTCATGCTTCTAAACAAGTTTATTTTTGTTTGGGGGGAGGGAAAGGGGGTGAGTCTAGACCAGAAATTTGAACCTAAACTGCCAAGTAATTAAGTATTGCAGTCTTTACAAAAGATCAACACCTGAAATCTTGATGATGGATACTTGTTTCTGTATAATTGCCTCAGCTTTAACCACTCACATACATGACCAGGAGATCCATGTATTACAATTATGGTCCATTTAGGTATTTCTGGAGCAGTATTTATGACTACCAAGTAACCATATCAAGAGAAACCAAATTACAGAATACCAATAACCTGGACTACCAACATAAAACACAATAATGGCAAATAATAGAAAAAAATTCCAAACAGAAAAAAGCAAAAAGAAAAAAGAAAAAAAGAGAGGAAAGAAATAAAAAATTACCAGTTTAAACTATAAAGCTTCTAGAAACGGAAAAAAAAAACAGTATGAAATGAAAGCACAACCGAACCATCCACCGCTTTTCTTCAGTAGATTATAATTGACCGCAAAATGGAAAATTCAAAAGTAAGTCACAGGATGTTAATCAGAAATTTAAATGGCTGTCTAGTTTTGTATTCACCAAATAACCATAAATTCGGATTTTATTATCCTCATAGTTTGTAATAGACATGCATGTGTATCATGATCTCAACCATTAATTTTCTTATCAACACATATAACTCCTCACTTTTTCCTCTAAAATGAACACTTCACTTAGGAGGAGCCAAATGCTAATATAAAAGATACAATCAAGCAATCAACACAAAATGAAAATTCTCATGTAAATATACCAAGTGTGGCTAGCTGTTGCTTCCTTCCACTTCCAGGGGGGCGCCCTCTACGCCGTATCTGGGAAGGAGTGGTTGAGCCCGGAGTGGAATCAGCAGTGGCAGACATTGTAGAGAGTCTCAAAGAAACTGGTCCATCAGGACCATACTTACGAGGCCTCCCTCTTTTCTTTTTCACAGGCTCACCTGAAGAAGGTACTCCATGAACAGGAACAGGAGAGGAATCTATGCTAATGCCATGAATAAAACTGGCACGCTGAGGCTCTGCTGAAAATGTAGAACCAAACCTGTCATGTGACAAAGCTCTGAACCCAGAGGGTGCTTGGAACCCTCCAGTTTGTGTTCCAGGACCAGACCCACCAACCCCTCCTCTATGCATGTAATATGGAGCAGACCCACCAGAGAATGCCATAGCTTCTCTCCCATCCATGCATTTACTAAGAGATTTGTAAATTCTGACAGATAAACTAACTTCCTGGTACCAAGAAACCAGATGAAGATACTAAAACAGGAGATACTCTTCTACTGGTCAAAAGGAAAAAGCTTTGACAATGATGGAAAGATTAGATTTTTAACCCCAAATATAAACCGAAAAAAAGAAAAAAAGATCTAAAACCAAGTAGCTCTAGATATTCATTTAACAAGCTCAGAGATTTTGTCAAGTGAACATTAGAACAAGGGTTTTGTTTTGTTTACCTAGACAAATTTGAGAACCCCACAATAAAAGATGAGATACGAATGCCCAAGTAGAAAGGAAAATAAATAACCAAAAAAAGAAAGTAGCATTAGGGCTCAAACAAAATCACCATTGAAAACCCACGACAGAGCTTAGTTATTAAAAATGCAGAAAAATCAAGAGCTTGGATTCAAGACAGAAAACTCAAATTAGCAAGGTGGAAGTTCCGGAATCATGTCCGTAACACATTAACAAAACAAAACCCTAGATTTTCAAATCTAGGGCTTTGACAGAAGAATGCAGTGCAGTAGTTGGTGCAAAAGGAAAAAGAAAGGGAAAAAGGAAAAAAGACATGAAGTGGAACTTCACTTGGGACTTGAGATGAGAAGGAAAAATTAAAATAAATTATAAAAAATAATAAGAAAGAGCTTTTGAAATGAAGTGTGTGTGAAACAGTGAAAGAAAGTGGTGAGTGGTGAGGCTGTGAAGTGATGGAAGTATATGACCAAAAATGGCAAAAAAAAAAAAAAAAACATAACAAACAAAAACCTAATGGGAAGGGAGAAAAGCGGTGTTGTGTTGGAGGGACAGTGTGGCCCCTACCAAAGTACCAAACCAAAGACCAAATGTCCTTTTCAGATAGCCAATTGTTAGGGCAGTGAGCCATTTGTCTTTACATCATGTCTTACAGCGTGAATTTTTATTAATACACAATTTATTCATAAATTTACTATTATAAAAAACATGTGAAATGAATTTATGACATCATCTAATTTGATCATTAACTTAAAGAGTTTTCGTTTTATCCTTTAACATAACACAACAAACTTTTCTACACTCACAACATTTTGTGGGGCTCACATTTTTTAAAACAAAAAAATAAATAAAAAATTAAGGCACGCAATCTCTATAACATTACACAATCACTTTTCCTACAACATAACTCTTATAAAACCCTAACTTAAATTGTTAAAATGTTCCTCTTTTGACTCCCCCGATTGAACTGATTTGTAAAACATTGAAAGACCATTTTTTATTAAATTTATTTGAATAAACGTAATCATATAAATTAAACGCTTCTGGGGAGGACAAAATTTGTGTTTGGACAAGTTGAAAAAAAAAAACTTATGATATGATATTTAATTTTTTTCAAAAAAAAAAGTTATTTTTATTAACTTTTAAGAAAAACTGTAATTACTTTTTTATTTTTAGTTTTGAAAAAACTAATTTAATTATTAAAAATATTTTAGACACATTTTTATTTAAAAAAAATATTTCTAAAGCTTATTTGAGGGAAGTATGTATCTTAACTGTTGACTGTTAAATAAACGACTTGATATCATTGCCAGGCAAATATTTCTTCCCAGAAAATGCACGCACTCTTCCCATCTGCATAGATTATAAGTTCTGAGCAGGGGTGATAAATAAATTAGAAGTCTTTCACTCAGCTGGTAAAGACTTGGGTTTATATGTCTAAAATTGATTATTGGAATCAGGTTTTAGACTTGCATAAAAGTTCGTTTAATAAAAATATCTCAGATTCTAATTTAAAAGCCTAACTTTAAAGCCTCTCATGCTGACATAGTATGTTAACTTTTATTTTATATTTTTTTATACTACTCATAATAGTCTTTTCTCTCTCCTCAATCAATTCTATCACATTTTATTAGTTAAAGAGACTTTTTGAATAAATTTATTCTATAATATGTTGTTTGAATATATATTGAATTTATGAATCTTTATACAATTATTGGTGTTGTTAATCATATATTCTGTTTGAATAAATTTTTTGTTATTTTTTTTTTAACAAACTAAACCAAAATTTTATTTTTTGAAAATAAATTAAGCCACATGCCGATAATTATATTCATAACATGTAATAGTTTATACCAAAATGACACATTTAAATACAGACTTACCTTTTTAAGATCAAAACTTGACTTGACTCGACCGGTTAACACCCTTAAATATAAGTGTTTTACATTAATGTTTACATAACAAAATCTATATTTCTAGCGTAACAAAAACCAAAAATAAAAAATAAAAAAGTCTAGAGCTCCTTTTGGTGATCATTTCTTAATTTTTTTTATTTTTTTGTTGATGATCACTTTAGAAAAGTGGGTTTGTTTTTACATCCATAGACTATAGTGCTCGTCATGACTTAATGACCACTTGAGGAGAATTACAAGAGATACGACGACGATACTATCTAGCATAATAAAGTTAAAAAAACGAAAGAATAGCATACCAAAAAAAAAAAAAAAAAAAAAACGAAAGAATAGTCTCATTTATGAAATAATTAAACCAGTTCTCATACAAAATTCCTAGTCTATTTCGATAAATCAATTAAAGTTGAAAGGTTATTTTCTGCTTCCTTTTCTTTTGCTACAAAACCTTACGTAACGTGAGAATTTTTCGCGTCTCTCATAGTTAACCGAAATCTTCTATGGAAACTAAATGATTCTAGTGAACAAAGAGCTTGCATCTCAATTGAAACCGGCCCCAAGTCTTCAAAATATGAATGTGATGTCAATGTTAGATGTTCGATCTTCCTTGAAGTCAACTTTTCCCTACCCCTACTCACGTGCTTATTATACCTTCAATGTAACCGAAAAGAAAGGTATGATTCCAGTGAACGGATATGAAAGTTAAAAATAGAAGTATTTCTGAATACCAAAAGAAATCATATGTATAAATAAAAATGTGTTTGTTTTACCCGTCAATTTAATCAATAATACAAAAATTGAATTTCATAAATAATGTCATTGTTCAGTGCAAGAAAAATGCAACAAATTCAATGCTAACAAGTTATGTAGTCTCTACAGTTTTTTTGTTTGGATAAAAATCTGAACAAGTTGTATTACTAACCTCTGTTTCTAATTACTACTGGAATCGGAAAGGTAGGTAGGTACAAGACCTAAGTTGTTAGACAGATCTTATGAAATAATACTGAAGCATTTACTAACTCCCACTTAAACTTTTTCACTAAAGTTGTAAACTAACCCGAATCAGACTGAAAGATACTATGATTAGAGAATGCAAATATAGGAAAATATAAGATCCATTATCGTGTCCACCAACCTACCTTTACATTCAGAGGTTTCTAGATGTGATTTCTGGGGCATGCCTCTAACTGTAGAAAGAGCACTAATTAATCAAATAATGAGAAACCAAAAAAGAGAAAAGGTACATAAAAGTAAAAAAGGAAAAGAAAATAACCACCATAGCAAGTGACTAGTTTTGAGAAGTGGCAATCATGTAAAAAATATAATAATAATAAAGTTTCAGACATGCTTGACAACTTACATTATTAAGAGAGTCTTACTCCATTGCCATCAGCTTCATTTTTCTGTTAACAAAATCCAGGTACCCCTAGAAAATACCAACATATAAGTAGATGCAAACTAAACCTAATTAATTAGCTAGACGTACAACCTATAATATAAAAACTATCTAAACATTATGTTTTTATAATTCGGATTAAATTTCAGAGTCTCTTACAAATATACAGGGACTATTCAATAGACTTGTTGAAAAGTAAAAGCTTTCAACTGAGTCCTTCAAAAAATTTCTTTTCAATTCGTTCTAATTTCTAACAGAACCATGAAAATGAAGATAGAAAATACTGGCATAATACATAAAGCCGTCAGCCGATGTGGCCCAATAATTCAGAGATGGATGTCATTTATCTTATGCCCTTCTGCTTCTATTCAAGGCTCTATGTCATACAATATATTTCTTACAATGAATAGCTAAACACAAATAATCCTTTTTCTACTTCAGAAAAATAATAATAATAATAATGCATATATCAACTAGAGGCCTCACTGGTTAAATACATTCTTATTATGCCTTCAGTACAATTATAAAAGAAGAGTGAAGACATTGCCTTTTCCACGATGAGTAACATGAGAAGAGAAGTATAACAGTAGTAGAATAGTAGAATATGTCAAGAAGCAGATCAAAGAACTTACCTGAAGTATTCCTACAGCAGCAAACTTGTCTAGTATAGTCTTGTGATGAACTGGATCATTCAAGTTTAAAGGCTTTAACAGCAGTTCGACATTCTGTAAACAAAATTTAACTTCAGATGTTGTCTCATTTTTATTGAAATGAGTAATCAAAGAGGGGGGAAAGTTATAAGCTAACAATTTGGGTTTGTTTAACTGGATGAAACCAGTTCTCTTTAGATATACAATACTTGCTTCATACTTCATCGATATTTAATTCTTTCTATAGTAGTTGTCACCAACCATGGGAGAGGTTGTGGTGATGTAGGAAATATCTAACTTCAACCAATTTAAATTCATTTGAAGTTTCACAATCGCAATAAAGTGGATCCACCTTTGACGTGAAGCGTTCATTCCAATATGTATACTTTAGATCTTCAAGCACTTTGGTTTTACAGAGGTCATTAACAAAGACCTTCACTTGTACAGCCTGATGAAAGGTAGAAAAACATATGAGTACAGGAAAAACAATAATACATAGTAAATGGATGGTCAAAGAAATGAAACACACATGAGAAGACACCAGATGTTTGTCAAAAGGGATGCCAATAACAAAGCCCTTCAAGGAATAGTCAGAGATCTGCATAAAAACAGCTGAAGCTGTCATATCATGGCTTGGGAATATTATAGTTCAAATAGCTAAGAGTTGTACCAATAAGTCATAAAAAAGCATGTCATATACGCATGTATATTGTACTAATTCTGCCATCATAGTGGTTATGAAATTAAAACAAGGGTAAGGGCTAGCTAACATAAAAGGAAAACATGATGCAAGTGAAAATGCTAATGATTGCTCACCTCGTAGCATAAATTTGTGTGTGACTAGACATAAAAGAAGCAAATTTACATCATTAATAGAAAATTCTAAGAGGGAAGAGACACGTTACAAAACGAAAGAAATCACTAACACCAAAAGAATGCAGAATTGGCTAAGGGACTTATGGGCCTCAAGGATGTAGAGCTTAAATTTCATCAAGATTCAGATGAAAGAGGAAAGAGTTCTGTAACAAAAGAAAGCCTGAAAGTTTCCCAATTCTGAAGAAACCTCCAAGAGTCAATAATTGCTTGCCACATGAAAGCTGGAGACATTTTTCCAACTTCACTCTAATCCAATGTAAATGATTATTAGCACAGCATGCAACACCCCCAACATACCAGCATAATTTGAATCATAAATCATCAGATAAGACTTGAATGTGCAGCTGTAAGGGAAAGGGATAATCATCCAATGGCACATCAATCACAGTCTAGCCAATGTGCAGCATACTACGTTGAGGAAATGAAGCAAAGTTAAAATGCCTTAGATACCATACTTATCAATTGATTGGAAACTGTCATTTCTCCCATAGTTCCATGAAACATCCAACAAGATAGACCAGAAATCCCAGACAATTAGCAAATTCGTACAATTGATGGCAAAAGTAGGGAGGCAGAGAAATTTTCCGAATTGGTAGCTATAAAACTGAATGTATGTACAGACACAGACATCTTACAACTTTTCACTATTCATAAGTACAGACACGAAAAAGACAGCAAATTGAAGAGAATTTTCGCCTCAAGATTTAACTTTAGAAAACACATAGTAACACTGGCGGTGATCAGGTTCATTTCTCATTACATTCAAGGCGAGGGTCTTCATTCCACTAACACACTCCACAAATATAATTTTAATTGGAATGCAAGAGAAATAAAAAGCTCACCAGCCTCTCAAAATCAGAAGCCATCAAACCAATATTTGTCTTCTTCCTAACCAGAACACTGTGGCATTGAACATAACAAGCGTACGCGTTACTTACAGAAAATATGACAAACCAAAATAACCTTTTTATTTTTATTTTTTAGTATAAAAAAGGGGAGTTATCTTTATCATCCTTGGTACCTGAAAGGTGAAGCAATTTTTTTATCAAAGTCAGAAAGAGCAAGGCCAACATATTTATCACCAACATCCAAACCAAGCAACCTTCCGCGTTCCTTCCCGGTTGTCTTCACCAAATCATGAAACAACTGCAAGGGTTTCACGTACCTCATCTCATCTACCGATAAAATAATGCTGAAAATTGCAATTGGCATTGGCAATGAGATGAATAAAACCCTAAACTTGAGAATAGAACAGAGCGATTAAATATAAATAAGAGCAAAAACAATCATAGGAGACAAACCTGGTGTGGTGCAAATCTTGTCGTCAATTGTGGCAGAGAGTGCCACCAGTGACCTCTTCCCGTCTCCGTACAGCGCCGGTGCCAAGGGACCAGAACCTCGAGTGTCTTAGCAGGCGCACTGCAGTGTGAAAACAGACGATTTTGAACTTTGAAGAGACTATGATTTTCTGACGTTGCATATCAATTGAATTATCATACTCTAACTCAACTAGTGAGTCTCATATTTATAAATAAAATAAAATAAAAAATTTATGCAAATCAAAACGTCACAACATAATAATTAAATTCTCATACAATCATAGTTTTTTTTTTCTTCAAAAACATGTGGGTCTCACAAAATATTGTGTGTGCAGAAAAATTTTTGTGGTCACGTTAAATGATAAATACAAATCCCTAAAATGTTTTTCATTCATTCTGTATATGATTGTGTAATGTTATAGAGATTCGTTTTGCGTGTCGTAATTTTTTCTTTTTCTTTTTTCTTCAAAAAGTGTGGGCCCCATAAAATATTATGTGTATAGAAAAATTTGTTGTGTCATATTAAATGACAAATGCAAATTTCATACTTAAATGTTAAAATAAAGCTTGAGGAGTAACTCTTACAATGTTATTAATGATTTATCATATTTCTATTTAGGATAAATCTTTTCTTATGTTACAGGCAATTTTTTGTCTCATGCCATAGAAACAATGTTCTGGTGGGTCCCACCATTTTTTTGAAAACATAAAAAAAAGTTAAAGAAAAAAAAAGCTATTGTGAGGTGACAGGAGATGATTTTTCTTCAATGACAGAAGAAAATCATCTCCCTTCTATTTAATGGATCTAATTTATTAAAGGTTTATGTTTTCTTCTTATCTCCTGCATTTCCCCTATGTGAGGAGATAATTACATGAGTTGTTGAATATAAATTGAATTAATAATAAAATAAGATGTAATATTTACTATTATATAAGTTAATTCTCCCCGTATAATTTATACATAATATATATATATATATATATAGGGCTTATCATTTCTCAAGCTGCTTGAAATAATCTTATCTCTGACTAGTACATCATAATCGTACAAAGATGGATCAATGATGATAAAGGAAGAGAGAGAAAAAGAGAATCATAATCATTCAAAGGTGAATCAATTAATATAAGAAAATAAATAAATAAAACGACGTAGTGTTAGAGTAGCTGGAGATAAACTTATCTCAAGCTGCTTGATAAATGTTTTTCCCTATATATATATATGGCTTTAATGTTTCTAAAGGGAATGTAGATAAGTTATCTACATTCGCTCCTAAACGATGTCGTTTTGGGTTAAAAAATTAAAAAATTATAATGAAAAAGATTATTATAACCCTGAAACAAATTATAATTACAAAAACACCTTGATTTTCACCTCAAAACAACGTCGTTTTGAGTTCAATGTAAGTAAGTTATCTACATTGACTGTAGAAAAAGCGAACCCTATATATATATATATATGTTAATTTTTGTAATTAATATCTGTAAAGTAAATTATTTATTTTCGTATATTACAAATAATTTATTTATACGATTTAAATATTATTATATTTTCATATTAATTTTTATAATTAATATCTGTAAAGTAAATTATTTCTTTTCGTATATTACAAATAATTTATTTATACGATTTAAATATTATTATATTTTCATATAAAGTTTTTTTCATGTGTGATGTGTATATTTAGTAATAATTAAGATATTAATATGAGTTATTTATTTCTTTGAATTAGAAATTGATAGGTTTTAATGTAAATTTTTTAACCCGCATGATATATTATTTCTCAGGGTAACTTAAATATTAATGTGGTTTCTTATATAGTTTCCATCCTCTGTAATGTACGTATTTATACTTGTAATTCAAATATTAATACACTTACATATAAAGTTTCCATCTTCATGTCGTGCATATATTTACTCATAATTTATATACTAATATATTTTAAAAATAAATATTTACAATTGCAATTTAAAAATTAACGCCCTCTAATACAAAATTTTCAAACATATGTAATTTAAATATTTACCCTTATAATGTAGATATTAATATAATTTTATATAAAGCTTCAAGTAAAAATTCACTGTTGTAAATATTTAATTAAAGTGACCAAGTAAGAGAACAAAACGATAAAAAGAAAAGAGAAAAAGTTGATAAAAATAATTATAAAGACAAAAATATAATGATCATATGGATATATTATCATTTTCTACAAACATATAGGATACTATCTTAAATTGAAATTTTAAAAGAACAAATATACACCACGCACGTTATTGAAAAACACTGCTGAGGAGAATATTCACATGGCAAAGAGTATTTTTGTAAATTATATATGAAAAAAATATTTGTCTTTTAAAAGAATGATCGTTTTAGTTAAATATAATATTTTTTATTTAAAATTTAAATTAAAAAAAATCTCTCACTTTCTCTTCTCATAATTTTCATTGTTTATATCTTTCTCTCACTTAAAATGACATAATAATATAATAGGATCCTTTCAAACATAATGAATTTAATTAGTTACCAAGAAAAAAAAATGATAAGTATGCTCTTGCGCTTGAGAATTTGTTAAATGATATTGAACGTTCTGATAAAATACTTGATTGTTAGTTTGTTACTGATTATACGGTTTAGGAACTAATAATTACTTTTGTTATATCTTGACTTTAATTGTATCTCACTCGAAAAAAACAGATGCCTAAACATTTCACCCATCGTTTATTACGGAATTGAAAAGTAAAAGTGAGATGTGGAATAGCTAATAATTCATTCGTTAGTGTCCAGCCACTATTGCTTTCAGGTATTTTTATGGGAAACTACCAATGGGCTGACATGCAAATAAATAACTACCAATAACAAGGAATTAAAAATGATAATTTGACATTAAGATGGATTAAAAATGACTGAGAAGCCGATCATAAGAATCAATTGAATCAATTGAATGACCAATGACTATCTACTATGCATGGTTATTGTTGTCTGCATAGAAATGGAGAAAGACTTCGAAGCTCAACACGTTTCTTAGCTGCTCTTCTGAAAGGCTTTCGATTTTGCCACCTTAGACATTCTATCCCACTCGAACACCTAAAATTACCATTATCTTGATTCCTGGTTGCAAACATCTTGCAAGTGAGACTAGGCACATCTCTCTTCTGTTTCTTTCTAGGGTTTGTATGCCTGGGAGATGGGGTTTTAGGCTCCTCAAATTTACTATTACTTAATCTGCAAAGCATAAGAGATAATCAATAAAAAAAATTGCCAATAAATAAATAAGTGCAAGTAAAATGACAGCCTCGGCGGCTAACAGAAATACAAAAATAGAACCATTCTTTCAGACGCCATGTTGGTTTATCAATAAACATAAGGAAGGGGAATTATGCATAATAAAAAGGCAAATCCAAGTGTTGCTGAACAGCATTCAGGACTATATAGAGCCTATTCGCCAACGGAAACCTAACAAATGTTATTAATGTTTCCAATTTCTATAATGATGCAACGGAAGGTGTTTTTCTGCCGGTAATCTGGACTTGAAACTAACACGCCTTCAGAAAGGCTAGCTAAAAGGTAATATTTTGTAAATCTCGTGCAAAACACACGCCATAGCTAAAACGAAAACATATAAAAACTACTCTAGAACTATTTAGAGGTGCATGCAATAAACTGACCTGTCATGATTTGTAGGCAATTCTACTGTATGCGGGTTACATGCAGGACAAATGTAGACCTCTCGTGCGCTTGGTAATTTCATGCAATCGAAGTGATACCACTCATTACAATGATAACATGCAATCATCCTCCTTGGATCAAACGGCTTTCGACAAATGCAATAAAGCATGCATCGAGCTCTTAATATCTGTTGTGAACAAAAAGCAATACTTGATTAGCATCATGTCAAAAACATGATGTAAATGACAATCTCTTAATTTTGATAATACAGAAATGACAATCTCCTACCTTGAGTTCCTCATTCACATCAACTGACAAGTTTTCACCTTCCACTACAAGTTCAAAAACTTTGTTTAGGCTGAGTGCCCCAGAATCAATTGCTACCTGTCCATGATAGATAAATAGTAAAAACCTGCACAAGAGAACGAAAGGACATGGACGCATCACAAAAAATCTTTTAGAACCTTTTTGGCTAGTTCTACCCACTGCAGACACAAGCAATTCACATTTGTAAGTTTCAACATATGGTGATCTTCAGGAGATATTTCCATAGCTGGTCCCTGCCAAGTACTTCAACATTTCAGTAGGCTCAGAGTTGTTTTAATAAAGGAGAAAAATAAGTACTTGAAATAAATAAGGGGTTAGAGTATCCTATTCTTGTAATGCAAGCACAAAAACATATAAAACCTAGCCAACAGCATATACCTCTTTCAGATGCTTCTGAATCTGTTGGATAGTGGGCTTTCGTACACCATTTAACAATCTATTGACTTGAATTTTCCACAAGTTTTTTGCTAAAGCAAGCTCGAGGTCACAATTATCATATCGATCATAGACACCAGCCACTTTGCTAGCCTATATAAAAAAGACTTCAATAAGCAAAACCAACTTAATTGTATCAACCAAGTGATCCAGTTAAGTGAAATGAGAACTATTAAGAATCAATTCAACCCAAAACCTTAAGGCGTTGGATGAGGGCCTTTTTAATAGTTTATATTATTCTCTAACACACTCCCTTACGCAAGAGCCCTTTAGGCTTGAAGCTTGGATATGGCGCAGGCCCAATTTTTGGTTCGATCCTCACTGCCTTCCACTTTCGAGTGGAATTAAAATAAGCACAAGGCAATCCAAAAAATTACGCCTGTGCAATATTCACACTTTATTAGAGATAATATAAACCATTAAAAAGACCTTCACCACCACAGTCAAGCGGGTTCAGGAGAAAGCTCGTAGCAAGAAACCATCACCAATGGACTAAGTTAGACCACCACACCAAGTGGGTCTAACACTATATCTCAACCCAAAACCTTAAGACATTGGATTCATGGGTCCTTTCATTTATATGTACTTCACTTAACCCATTATCAATCAATGTGGGACTCATCACACTTAAATATCCCAACAATATCCCCCTCAAGTGTGAAATCCAACATTGGTATGCTCCCCCTCAACCGAGTACTCATGGGCTAAAGTACTCAACCCGCCTCCTAGCCAAACACCTGGATAGCCCGAGCCCAACCCGGCTTTGATACCACTCCTTGTGGTTACTAAAGCTCTGATACCATGTTAAGAACCAATTCAACCTAAAACCTTAAGGTGTTGATGAAGGTCTTTTTAATGGTTTATATTATTCTCTAACAAGAACATAATCATACTCAGTAGTAACACAAATTGTCCATTAAAAACCATAGAGGATACACACAATGCATATCCAAGAATATATACAAAATTTTAACTACAAATATGATTGAAATAGTATAGGAGAATAGACTGTTAAAATAAATAAATAACATGCCTTGATAGCAATGATCAATTTTTCAGATATGATGCTAATATCTTCGCCAACATTAGCTGATGCAAGGTTCACTATTTCTCTCAAGCAAGATTTGCATGCCAGAGCTTTCTCTACAAGTTGGTTCAAAACATCTCTTTCATCAATCCAGCACCTGCATATACAAGATACACACACACACACAAAAAAAGGATTACAATTTTACCGTCATAAATCTACAGTGAAGGTGAATTCAACTCTTAAAAAAACACCAGCCCAACCCCACTGCCTTAACAATATAGAAAATAAGAGATCAGAAAACCATGAAAGGAACTGCAAAAGTATATGTAATAATGTGAGAGTGGTGAATGCTGGATTTGAGAGTGGCCATAATATGACGTGTCTATTTTAAACAGCATAAAATAAACAGAAAAATTATTTGAATTGTCCTTGGGCATCCAATATATATCTGAATTCTGCTTAGGCCACATGCAACTTAGACAATAAAGATGCCCACTGTGATAAGATCTGGCCCTCTCAATCTTTTCCAGCACTGCAAACAAACTACAAAATGCCCAATTTTCTTCCTTCCCTTCCTCAAACATATGATCTACTTCTTACCAACAGGTCGCTCGACAAAGACATCTAATCATACACTCAAATATTCACAATCCACTATCTTCTTCCCTCCAAATAGAATGAAATGAATCTAGTCATTAATAGTAATACTTTAAACTAACAATAAAATATATCAAGACATCACATATAAACAATATGTAATGGACGATTAATGGTGCCAATGGTAGGGTAAATGCAAATCACGAACCGGTATTACCAATTTTGATTGAAACTGGAAATGAAATTAATATTTTTACAGGTTATAGCAAGTACAATTAAATTATTGGCTCATTGGAACAGCTCATTAAGAAAATTGAATCCATCCAAAGAAAAGCTTGAGCAAAAATGGCCTAGAAAATCAAGCAGACAGCGTGTTCAACTATCAATGCATAGAGCCGAAGATTGTTTTCCCAAAATAAAATGTATCTGGGCGTTTTTTTATAGGGAAAAATGTTTATCCTTTTAAATGACACCACTTATGTCATTTCACTCTCACAAAGAGGTTGGACTCACACCTTTATTTTTTTTGTCAACTCTCTCTCCTCCGTTATTTATTTCTTTCTCTCTCTTAAAATAACACAACTTTACATCCTTTAAAATGACACACACTTTTCCCTTTTTTATAATGCTGTAACTTTTGATGCTGGTGCATTTTGAAAACAAAGCTACAAAATTTGTTTGGTAAAATGATTTCAAGGGTGCTTCTTAGAGTGTCACAGCCTCACAGGTGATTTGACAAGCAAGCAAGGAGATGATTTACAAAGAAATTGTGACTGAAAAAAAAAATCAATTTCTTTTGAAGTTTGACAATTACCCTTTTCTACTTTAAAATTGTATCCATTTATCTAATAATATTACATATAGTACTTCCTCCTTTTATTTTTAAAGCCAAATGTCTCTATTAATGTAATCTGTACAGCTTTTATCATATCTTAACCAAACAACATTTTAAACATTTCACAGCACCTCTAGCACATCAGCTTTTGAAAATCCACAGTATTGCCAAGTGGGACCTAAGTCACCGTTGAGTAACAAAATAAACCTTATTGAAGAAAATTATGTCCAGTTACACATGGTGCAGATAATCATTTAAAGTGAATCACATTACCATGAACAGAAATGTTCAGCATCAGACTGAAGTTCGATGAGAACTTTCAATTCAACGTGATTCTTCCCCAACCTCTGCATAAAGCAAAAAAATTAATAGGACAAATATTCGAGTTTCTGAATTTAAAAAAAAAAAACCAGTTAACTACAGCTGAAATGTCATAATATCCTACCAGAAGGGCACCTCCATTCCGATAATGGGATTCACTTTTCAAAATTTCACAATAAGGGCACTTATAGTTTTCTAGGCATGTATCTTTTGCTGTTAGTCCAATGCACCGCAAATGATAGCTGTCCCATATGAAAGATATTGATGCACAAAACAAATAAACCAACGTAAATTCTTAATGACGAAACAAAGGTACAAAAATAACAATGAAATTTTTTCAGATCAATTACTAATACTATTTCTCCTTAATCAGAAACTAAAGATTGCAAAGAGTAGGATTTGATTTTATTATTTTTTACAAAGTGACAAGAATAATTAAAGCTACCACGTATGTGAAGATTATATGCTTTTGCCTGATTTATTTTTCAGAGCTATGGAACTGCCATTAGTAGAAACAAGGCAAAAGTACTTTACCACTCCATACAAGTGGAACAAGTAACAAATTCCTGATCTTCAGAATCAATAAAGCAGCAGATGCATATGTTTTGTTCCTTCCAATCTTGCAACTTGCCATATATGAAGAACGATCTATCTACAGTTTGTTTTATCTGAAAATTTCAAGGAAGGTCCCAAGTATATTAGTACCCAAACGGTTCATGGAAAGGAAAATACTTTAAAATAAAGACCTTCTCCAGCGCATGAAGCAGCGATTTCTCATTTTGAACTAAAGTTCCTATGTTATCCATGCATCTTTTCTTCCAATTTTCCACCTTCTTAATTTCAGATGAAATTAAATCCAGTTCTGGGCAACTAAAGGCAATGGTATCTCCAAGCTCCTGAATGTAAGCATATAATGTCAGTGCTATGCGAGTGAGCCAGTTTACATGTCAAGTCCTACCGAAATAAAACACAAACTGGCATAGACTTCACCACAGTTAAGCTTTCACCTTTTCAATCTGAATTTTCACAACTGATGAATGATTAAGCGTGATAACCCATTGATCCTAAGACTATATTAAAAAAAAAAAAAGAATAGAAAAAAAACCTTAAACAGAATAAATGCTACAAAATAAAAAGGACAAGTTATGAAGGAACTCAACACAACCATTAAGGTTTAATAGAAATCTCCAATGAGAAAATTTGAAATGAAGAAACTACTATAACAATTTGAAATAAAATACAAAGAAGCTCTTGACAATGATGACTGGTACTTTTTTAGAAATGACACAGCAACAGTCACCCATAAAAGAAAATTATAGCTATGTAATCAAGCCAAATCAATCTGTTGATCCAGAACATGCACAACAAGGCCACCTACTCACACACCCAGAAAATATACCTTGAGCTGCAATGTTGATGACCAAGATTGTTTCTCAGAACTTCCAAAAAACTCATGTACTTGCTCTTGCCACAACCTAGAGCAGAAATAAAATACAATTAAGTAGGCATGTAAAATATTTAAAACAAATAATTGGAAAAGCACAACTTTTCATCCACTCAGTCAACAGTGCTGTACACGAGCATTATATATTCTTGACCCAGATGGCCTATATAATAAATAGGTTATAAAAAACTCAAAAGTGCAAAAATTAAATATACAGAAATTTAATAACATATAAAGAACACCAAAAGAAGGATGAATCGCCATTCAGAAGACTGTAAGCAAATCTAACATAATATATAATCTTAGTTATACAACCAACAAAAAAGACTTACTCATGTTTTCCAATGGCTTCTTCAAGTTGACGATATACTGCTGCAAAGGTCATATTAATAGTCTGCAGATAAAAGTTGTAGATATAAGCTGTAAATACCAAAACAAATTTTATCAAGTACTATAAATTAAGAAAATGCCAGGAAGTATTCTCCTTAACTTTTTGTCCTCAAAGTTCCCTAAATGTCCTTAATCAATCAGCACATTTGGTAACGGATCGATACAAGATGAGGTTGTAATTTTAAGTAAATAATTAAAATCATACAATAAAATTAGTTGAGATAACAAACACTACATCCTTGATAGTAAAAGACATTTCATAACAAGAACGAAAGTAAAACTTGGGGGAGGATAAAACAAAACAAGAAACAAGAAGGAAGTTGAAATATATCAGGAATACAACAAAGTTGTCCAGACTCAAGAGTATCAATAATCGCAACTCCTTGGAGACAGTCAAGAGCATAACAACAGAAACAAACTATAAAAACAATCCTTTTCCACAGCATAGAGGTAAAACAAACATTCTTAAAGATGTGACTGTGATAGCATAGTACTCCAACCAAATACACCAAAGAACGGCCTAACCTCACACTAACAAAATTGTTAGAAATATAATATAAAATACAGAATCATTCATTTATCTTCACCTAATAGCTTAAGCTTTTGGCTTGAATTAGTTTTTGTCATAGTATTATAGGCTATGCGACCATATGGTGTAGAGTTCAATCATTGTCGCCCCTCATTCTTCTAACAAGTATTTAATTGTGGAATTCTTTTAGTGAAGGTAGGAAGGTCAGTGCATTGTCTATTCTTCAAACCCAATAACCTCTTATATGAGGAAGCATGTTAAATACAATATAAACTATAAAATCATTCATCTGCCTTCAACTAGCATCTTAAGCCAAAACTTGACCACTATTGTTTGGGCTACCCATAATACTCGAAGAGGCTTCCAATTGAGAAGAAACATACTAATATTGAGTCTCATACTTGAGGGGGAAATTGTTAAAAATATAAGTGAGTGATAAGTAATTAAATCTCCCATTCATTAGGAATGAGCTAAATAAGGAACATAAAAGTCAAAGGACCAGTATACCTAATGTCTTAAGGTTTTTGGTCAATATGTGGTGCCGAAATCACTTATTTGTTAAGGAATAATATACTATAAAATAATAAAAATATTTTCACTTAACAATTTAAGCTTTTGGAAGAGTTAGTTGCTTTACATGATATCAGAGCTTCTATGATCCAGTGGTCTGAGTTCGATTCTTGTCGCCTCCATTCTTATAATAAAAAGTTTAATTTCCATCAAACCCTAAAAAAAGGCTCTTGGTATGGTGGGCCTATAAATTGTCCATGCTTCAATCTTATAAAGCTCTTGGCATAAGGGGGTGTGTTAAGGAATAATAAAATAATAAAAATGTTTTTACCTAACATCTTAAACCTTTGGGTTGAATTGGTTATCTATAAAAAAATTTAGCTATTTCTTATCAAAAAAATATTTGAGAAAAAGAAGTAAAGTAAAATTAGGGAGAGGATAAGATATTTCCAAAACAGAAGAAGTAAAAAAGCAAGGAAAAGATTCAGGAATGCAGAAAAGACTGACACTGACCAGTCTCTTTGTATATCACAAAAGGAAACTCTCTTGAAACAACCATTAGCATGATGCCATAAACATAATTATATCCCAAAGTAAATCTAGCCATCTAGGGGCATTCTAATCCAACCAAAACCTTTTAAAACAGACCATTAGAAATTGTTCCAAATTAAAAGAGCACATCCAGTGCTCACGAAGAATCCCAAAATGTTTTGATCCATAAGATAGTAGCCGCCATACAATGCAAAAATAAGTGACTACTACTGAACTAGACCCACAAATAACATGAATTGGGAGGCGCTGGAAATTATAGGAATCTAGTAATTATATAAAGCAAAATGAGCATTTTACAGTTCATTCTACATGTCGCCCTTTCTACTCACGTGTGACATGCGGTCAGGCTCCAGGAAGAAGAGCGTGGGATAACCCTATATGTTTACAGAATTTCAGCAGGCTTCTTCTGTAACATAATTAATACATGCTCAAAGAATGATCTCTTACCATTGATTTAAAATAAACTTAAGTAAATTAAGCACTAACTTAAAATCAATAGTAAAAAATTTCTTCAAAATGCAATAATTTCTCGAATGGAGAATTTTTTAGGCATCCAAGGGAAGATTTTGTAGTGAGGCACATCCAAAACATGCAGGCGTGCTGCCTTTTCCTTATTTGGCATACTTGAGACACTTCAAAATTTAAATGTTCAAAATTTCAAACCCCTCTCTCATTTTCCAACCCTACTCTTATTTTTCTTGGACTTCTCTCTCTCACAACCAAAAGCTCCTAATGGATATATTATTGTAGATACATTATATGTTTTTTTATTCATTTTAGGTTTTGAAGTTGAAGAAAAGAAGAAGTGGAAGAAGTGTTTTATCTGAATAATACTTTCTTGATTCATTGAGAGACCCAATGGGTCCTTTTTATATTGAGTACATCCAACTACCTCAACTACTTTAATAAATATACAACCACAAACTACATCAATAAATATACATCTACCAACTACATCAATAAATACTATCTACAATATTCTACATATTCTACACTCCCCCTCAAGTTGGGAGATATATATTGATCATTCCCAACTTGCTGATCAAATTCTCAAAGGTCGGCTTAAGTAATCCTTTGGTGAGGATATCCGCCGTCTGTTCCTTGGTAGGTATATATGTCAAGCATACACTACCGTCTTCTAATTTCTCTTTGATAAAGTGACGATCAACTTCCACATGTTTTGTTCTGTCATGATGAACAGGATTTTGAGCAATGCTGACAGCAGCCTTATTATCACAATATAATCTGATAGGTAGGGAATAAGAGATCTTCAGCTCCTCCAGAAGCCTTCGTAACCAAATTCCTTCACAAATACCATGGGCTAGAACCCGAAATTCCGCTTCTGCACTGCTTCTTGCAACAACAGTTTGTTTCTTACTTCTCCAGGTCACAAGGTTTCCCCAGACATAAGTACAATATCCTGAAGTAGATCTTCGGTCCATTGCAGAGCCAGCCCAGTCTGCATCTGTATAGATTTCAATCATCCTTTTGTGCCCCTTTTTAAAGAAAATTCCTCGACCAGGGGTATTTTTGAGGTATTTGAGAATTCTATAAACAGCACTAAGGTGTTTTTCCTTAGGAGAATGCATGAATTGGCTAACCATGCTCACAGCAAAAGCAATATCAGGACGAGTGTGAGACAAATAGATTAATTTTCCCACTAGTCTCTGGTACTGCTCCCTATCAACATCTTCCCCGTCCTCAACTCCCATCTTGATATTAGCTTCAATTGGAGTCTCTGTCGGCTTGCACCCAAGCATACCTGTTTCTTGCAACAGGTCTAGAATGTATTTTTTCTGAGTTAAAGAAATTCCTTCCTTACTCCGAGCAATTTCCATGCCAAGGAAATATTTGAGAGATCCAAGATCTTTTAGTTAAAACTGGTCAGCTAAACATTTTTTTAAAGAGGTTATCTCCTCGCTATCATTACCAGTGACAATTATGTCATCAACATAAACGATCAGAATAGCAATTCTTCCTTTGTCGGAGTGTTTAAAAAATAAAGTGTGATCAGTCTGAGCTTGGGTGAACCCTCTTCCCTTAACAGCTTGAGTAAATTTCCCAAACCATTCTCTGGGAGATTGTTTAAGTCCATAGAGAGACTTCTGCAACTTGCACACAGAACCATCCCCTTTTTCAAAACCAGGAGGTGGATCCATGTAAACTTCCTCATGGAGATCACCATTCAAGAAGGCATTCTTAACATCTAACTGTTGCAATGGCCAATCAAGGTTGGCGGCAAGAGATAGCAGAACGCGGATAGTGTTAAGTTTGGCAACAGGAGCAAATGTCTCCTGATAATCTATCCCATGAGTCTGAGTAAATCCCTTAGCAACTAATCTGGCCTTATACCTATTGATGCTATTGTCTGCATTGAATTTTATTGTGAACACCCACTTGCAACCAACAGTTTTCTTTCCTTTAGGTAATGTCACAAACTCCCATGTTCCATTTTTTGTAAGTGCATCCATTTCTTCTAATACTGAATTCCTCCATTTTGGGTCATCAAGTGCTTCTTGGATATTTTTGGGTATCCTGGTACTATCTAACATAGTGTTGAAAGCACGAAAACATGGAGACAACTTTTCATATGAGATATAATGGGAAATAGGATGAGCAGTGCAAGATCTAGTACCTTTCCGAAGAGCAATAGGCATATCAACGCTGGTTGTACTAGTACATTCAAGTGGGTTGATGGAACAAGGACTCGAGTCAGGATCCTGGCAGTCTAGAGTAACTTCATGTGTTTTGCGCCTGCTGTAAAATTTTCCCCATTTACCAGGAGGATCACAAGGAGGATCATTAGATTCAGGTATAGTTGCTCCCCCTGTTTCCTTCCCAATAACTCCACCTGTTTCCAAAGGCAAAGGTAAGACAGCAACATCATTTGGTTTCCCAAGCTTATCTTCATCCATACCAATACCAATAGACTCCCCCTGAAGAGAAGTCGGGGAAAAAAAAGATTGTGTCTCATAAAAGGTAACATCCATGGAAACAAAAACCTTACGGAGAGAAGGTGAGTAACACTTATAACCTTTTTGATTAGGGGAATATCCTATGAAGACACATCTGATGGATTTAGGGTCAAGTTTGGACCTTTGATGTGGAGGAATATGCACAAAAACCACACAGCCAAATATTTTGGGAGGAAGAGAAGAAAGAGCACTGAAAGAGGGAAAAGATTTAGTAAGACAGGATAAAGGAGAATGAAAATTTAGTACCCGAGAAGGCATCCGATTAATGAGATAATAGGCTGTCAAGACGGCTTCCCCCCACAAATATTTAGGGACATGCATCGTGAATAAAAGAGCTCGAGCAACTTCAATTAGATGTCTATTTTTCCTTTCAGCCACCCCATTTTGTTGAGGGGTGTTAGGACAAGAACTTTGATGAATAATTCCATGTTGGTTTAGGTAATCTCCAAGAACTGAATTAAAATATTCAGTACCATTGTCTGTTCGCAGAATTTTGATAGAAGTCTGAAATTGAGTTTGAATCATAGCATGAAAGTTTTTAAAAGTGGATGCTGCCTCAGACTTATCTTTTAAGAGATATACCCAACATACCCTAGAATGATCATCAATGAAAGTAATAAACCAACGAGCACCCGAGACATTTTTTTCACGAGCAGGTCCCCAAATATCACTATGAATCAATGTAAAGGGAGAAGATTCATGATATTTCTTAGGAGAATAAGTGACACGAGAGTGCTTTGCAAGCTCACAAATATCACAAAGAAGGGAACTTGGCTTTTTATTGATAAATAAGTTCGGCAATAACTTCTGGAGATAAACAAAATTTGGGTGTCCCAACCTACGATGCCATAACAAAACATCATTACAGTCATCTGATAAACATAGAGAGTGGTTCGAAAAAATCCTCTTTTCACAATGAACATCTGTAAAATAGTATAGCCCTTCTTCCTCTCTAGCACTGCCAATCATCATCCCCGAGTCCTGTTCTTGAAAGATACAAGCATTTGCAGAGAACTTAGCAACACAATGCAACTCAGCAGTAAGTTTGCTAATAGAGATGAGATTACAAGTAAGAGAGGGAACATGAAGTACTGAGTTCAAAATAATATGCTCAGAAAGTTTAATGGATCCCTTTCCCGCAATAGTGGAGAAATTCCCATCAGCTGTTCTTATTCGTGACGGGTGATAGTAAGGGGTATAGGAGAAAAATAAGGTTGCATTACCTGTCATGTGATCAGAGGCTCCTGAATCAAGGATCCAACGATTACTATGTTCAACATGGAATGCCATACCTTTTTGAGCAACATGACTAGTTGCCTCAGCAGGTTGAGACATCAATTTCTGAAAAGACGAATTTTCAAAATTTTCAACGTCCATGGTTTTCTAACAACAGGTACCCAGAAAAAAGTTCCTCCAAATACGATTTTGACCCTCAAAACAGGAAGAGGGTTGCTCGCAAAAATCAATGAATGAGAGCAATCTTGGCTACAGTTAAACAGTAATTGCTACAGTAATGAACAGTACTGCTACAGTAATGAACAGTACTGCTACGGGTCTTCTGTGGGCTGGCTCAGAATCTTGTTCTGAACCTAATGGTGGCCTTGGTTTCGTGGTTGGAGGTGTCTAGGTAAGGATTCTGGCTTGGGCAGTGGCTAAAAACGAAAAAAAAGGAATAGGAAAATGACTTAAAAATAAATCAGAACGGGGAAGAGACTGGAATATAACCAGCTCTTGATACCATGAAGAAAAGAAGAAGTGGAAGAAGTGTTTTATCTGAATAATACTTTCTTGATTTATTGAGAGACCCAATGGGTCCTTTTTATATTGAGTACATCCAACTACCTCAACTACTTTAATAAATATACAACCACAAACGACATCAATAAATATACATCTACCAACTACATCAATAAATACTATCTAGAATATTCTACATATTCTACAGAAGTCTTCTAATAGACCGTGCATTGCATTTATACAAACACTGATATTTTTAATTAAATTTTAGTGTTGGGTTGTGTCCTATTAGAAGTAACATAAGTTAATTCAGCTGCAATAATTTGCTGTAACTGATCTCAGATCAGCTTTGCTGCTCCTGCGGCTATTTCGGTTGAGTTCTGTTAGTGCTGAGGTGTATCTCAGCTTCTGTTAGATGCTGAGCTGTAATCTGTTAAGTCTGTCTCAGATTTGTTAAGTTTTAGTTTGAGTTTGTTATTGTAGTTAAGTTCTGTTGGCTTGCTCTGCAAGCTTCTCCTGTACCACTACAAATAACTCTCTGCTGATGCAGACTTACAATCAAGAATAACATCGGAAAATTCATCAGAGCAGTGCTCTCTTTCTTTCCTTCTCCCTTTATTTACTTTTCTTGCACTTTCTCTCTTTTTGTATGATGTCACCTTGCTATTATTTGTAAATTGTCTTGTTGGTACTTTTGACCTTAGATATGTAGTATAATTTTTCTTTTGTCAAACTATTATAATTTCATAACAAAAGAATTTAAATAATATCATTAACGAATTTATGATATTATGATTTATTTTAATATAATTTCTCCTAAGCACACACGCTCGTTAGGTGAAAAAGAAGAAAAGGAAAAAGTCTCTTGTAGTATGATATATGATAGATGTGTTAACTGTAACTCGGAAAGAATAAGAGATAGTAAAGGGGGCCACTAGGCAAATAAATCTCAACAGGAGTAATCTAATCATTCACGGAGTAGTGCATAGAGACCTTACAAATCACAGGATCCCAAAAAGAACCAAGCCAAGGGAAAAAGTCCAAATTGAGAGACAGCCAGAAATACACCTCCATCTGGCACTGCAATCCTTTCTATCAAGAACTTAATCTAAGAAATCCCAACTCAATCTTAAGCTTTCTCCAAAACCAACTTAAAATTAAAACCACATTTTATCCTTCTAAATTGCCCACAACCACAATCACTATACTCTTGCATTTTATTTTTTCCTTCTAAAAGAAGGGTCAAATACCTATGAAGGATACTCTTTCTTTCCCTTTTTATCTATTTATAATTTTTTAATTTCCACACAATAAGTGTATGCCACCTTCAAGTATTTAATACATCAAACATGGAGTTACCAAACTTTAAAATAACAAATTAGACAAAAAGCAAAAAATTACATAATATAGTACCTGATAATCAGCAAGAATATCTTGAACATAAGTCAACTCGTATCTTCTAGAACTGCGAGGTCCAGAAATCCCATCTAATGCTCTCCTAAGCCATCCAACTCCATCAACTAATACTTTCACCAGAGCACCAGAAGCAAAGGAATGAGAAAGACCTTCTGCAACCTCCAAAACATCCTATATGATCAGCAAGCACCTCTCATAAATAAGTATTAAGGAGAACCTTCCCTTTTTTGGATAAGAGAAGAAATTTTAAAAAGTTACAAAGATAAGGGCAGATAAGAAATCCTCCTGAACAAAAAGAATAAAGCAGAAAACAACCCAGAAAATAGAGAAATTGAATGGAAAAAAGCAGCTCAACCCCTCAACATATCTGTTAGTTAAAATCCCATTAAAAAGGCCAAGTGCTTTACAGCAAAATAGATGCCAAACGCCTAATATTATCCAAAATCAACTGTTGTACCTTATATGCATATAGTTCAGAAGAATGGAGGAAGAAAAAAAATAATAATTGAAAAAGAATCTTTCACAAGGAAAAAAATTACGAAGCAATAACCAATGTATACAAAAATTGAGAACACAGCAACATACAGTTAAAACAATTAGAATCCTGTCATTCATTTGTAATTGAATTGCAACAAGGTGGCCGGCTATGATATGAGCATAAAACCAGGTATACTATAAAGCATCCAGATGAAAGATCCTATCTAACTAGTTAATAGTGTCAAGAGATCTAGTTAATACCATTCCCTATTTAATTTTATCAAATTAATCAAACTATTAGAGCAATGAGAAATTTGTGTGTGTTTGCAGTATCAATTTGGAAGAATGTGCATGATAAAGGCACTATCTAACTAGTTAATAGTGTCAAGAGATCTAGTTAATACCATTCCCTATTTAATTTTATCAAATTAATCAAACTATTAGAGCAATGAGAAATTTGTGTGTGTTTGCAGTATCAATTTGGAAGAATGTGCATGATAAAGGCACCGAGGTCAAACACTGAAAGGGTGAGTGGAGCAGGAAAGCATACACTTAGAACAAAGGAAGTCACGAAAAGACAACTCTCTGCAAATGCAATACATAAAAGCATAAATTGTGACTAAAGAAAATTAGTAACCTCTAAAGAAGGATAATGATTGCAGAAAGATAAGGCTCTTTGGCACCATTGCAGTGTATAACAAGATGCTTGAAGTTTTGAAATCTCGTTGAAGTCAAAACCAAGTGATACACCAGATGTTATGGCAGATTGGATCCTTGCAATCAAATCTTCCAGTTTAAACATTAAACCGCTGCTTATTCCATGGCCAGTGTTATCCAATTCAAAGAGGCACCTAGCATCATCTAGTTCAGAACATGCTTCATGCTCCCATATTTTGCAGTTCTTCAAAACTAATTCAAGCATCCTTCTTTCTTCCAAAGATATTTTAAGATGCTTTGATTGAGAAACCAACATCTAAAAGAAGAGAATCAAATTGTCATATTTATACGATGAACATATTGTCAGCAAAAGTAAAACTGTAAAACAAACAGGACAAAACAAGAACCTGCAAATCCTCAACTTTCCGCAGAGAATTTGAAGCACAAGTAGAAGAGACTAAATATGGCTTTGAATTCCTTAACCAGGAATTAGCTTCCAATAATGCATCCTTGACATCATTAAGTGAAGGAAGAATAACAAATATGTTTTCCGAAGCTCTACAAAAGACCAACAAACGCAAAAATTATCATCAGCCAAAACAGGCTAGTTAAAGGTGGAAAACATAAAATAAACATCTCAAGCATTGTTGAACCTGATCATGTCCTCAAAGTCAGAAATTGGAGCCTCATGTGAAAGAATCTCTCTAGCCCTTTCCTCCCAAGGCATGGCAATAGCAAGCACATAAGATAATTTGATGAATTGTTTCTCTCCCTCAATTTGTAGCCTGAATAATCAATAACAAAAGCATGTAGCTGAAAAAAATAAAAATCTAATGATATGTCAGTTTTGATGAGGGAAAGGAGTTAAAATTACATAGTGGCCTCACTCAACAGTTGCTGAATGAATTCGAGAGGCATCTTAGTATCATGTGCCTGTACCAATTTCACATAATTTCAATCAGTTTTCAGTGTTGCAAGAATTGCTTGAGCATATAATATAACAAAGTTGATTAGCCCCTGAATACTAAGAAACCTTTATCTTTTAACATTAAAATAGAGAGAGAGAAAGAGATGAAAGAACAGCTGTAGTAAGAACAATAACTCACCTTCAAAGCCTTTTCCCGGCAATTAGCCTTCTTCAGCTCAATCTCAACTAATGGCAACTCATCAACTGCAAAATATAAACCAAATCTTGGGACACTGTAAATCAACAAGAAGAAAATAAACAAACACAGTCAAAAAATATGAACTATCATAAAGCTGGAAGAATCCCCAATACCTTGAATTTTCAAAGATAAACCTTTTTCAAAAATGATCTTCAAATCATCAACTGCATTATGTTGTTCTTCCTGCGCATGAACTCTACCTAAAACATCATTAAAGTGGGAAACCCATGAAACAGCATCCGAATGATATTGCCTTAGAAGCTTCAACTCTGGTACATCAACTGTAAAATAGTCCCATTCCTTAAGCAGCGAACCAACATTCTGCATATTTCCTTAGTTAATATAGTTATGCCTTTTAACCATCACAGAAAATTAAGAGAGGCGAAGAAGATACAAAATGTAAACCTTGAGATTCATAGGACCTTCTAACATTTCACGACATTGAGTACTACAAGATTCAGCTTGACTTAATAGATTCTGAAGCACATCTATCTCTGGGAGTTGAACTTGAAGATCCACAATCTATTGAAATCATGAATTTTATATTATAATCTCTATGTAACTTATTTAATGCACAATATGTGAGTCTGTCAGCTTATAACGTATATTACACATAAGAATAACTATTCCATAAAAAAAAAAACACATTACAAACACAGTAAGTTTATATAAATGCTAGACACATGCAGTAATTCAGTAATGCATGACTTGTCCAGATAATTAAACTTGCATGTCACTTCATTGTTACATTAATAAAAAAAAATGCAAGTTCATATATTAATTCAATACAGTAGTAATAACAATTATTTTCCTCTGTTATTGATAATTGGTGATTGTCCACCTGTCACACATGAACTTAAGCTTTTGCTTTAACAATTTGTAACAGTATTTATAAACATACAGCAAACTTTATACCGAAAAGAACATGGCTTGAAATATTAACAAAGCCAAAGTAAATGCACTATTTTCAGAATTCTTATTACCTCCAATTTTAACTTGTAAAGAACATCAACCTCTGATGCAGTAGGATGTCTCACTGAGATGCACTTTCTAACATTATCCAGCCATGCCTGATGGATCTCAAACAAAGAAATCATGTTAGCAGCATGAAAAATAAAACAGTGCATAAATCAACAAGCAAAGACACTAGAGTACAGCACAACTGCTCAAGCACAAAATCTGGGGCAGTTAAGAACATGATCCAAAACTCAAGATTGTACCCAGGAATAGAGGGGTAAAATTCAGGTAACCTCTTTCCAAGTCACTCATTTGCTCATCATCTTATGTAGGATAAAATGTCCATTGGAATTTTTTTATGTTTAGCACATGGGCATTTGTTAGGGTTACTCAGGTTTACCCGGATTGCAAGACAATGTTGATATTATTGCTGAGGTAATGTCTTGTCCTCCTACACATAATTCTATTTTCTCTCAATAATGAATTTTTTTTATGAAGAAAAAAATATATAAAATTAACGAAAACAGAAGGATGAGAGAAAAGCCTCCCTGACACAAACTTAACGCCTTCCAAACCCTCCAAGTTCATCAAAAGTGAAATACGTTTGGTGATTGATCTCGTGTTCTCAATGTTGGGAGGACTAGGTACGGAGGAGCTAAATGAAAAACACAGGGAGCCCAAAATCTTTTGCAAGGGATATTCCCACTAATGGGCTAAATGAAAAATCACAAAAAATGGGCTCACACCACATCCCAACACAAAAACTTAAGGCAATGATAGCGAGTCTATGGGTTTTTTCCACTTATATGGTCCTCACTTAGACTATTTCTAACTGATTGTGAGGCTTCCCACTCACTTGAATTTCATTTCCAATACTCAAAACAAACAGGGGTTGGACCCCACTATAACTTTGCAAGATTCAGGAATTGATGGAAAATCAACCGAAGCAAGGCAATGCAAGATCCCTAGCACAAGATTCGTAATCATTTCCATCCAGGTGCTTGGGAACAAAAAAATGTCCAGTCTTGAGGAAACGGAAAGCTCTGTCAAGTTTAGCCAAGTAAACTGGGCATTAGAAAAAGGTAAAATCCTTGAGTCAAAATCCAAAATAAAAGTATCAAACCCTTCATAATGCCTGTTAGTCTGTTACCCTGTCTTCTGGCAGTTTTTCGACAGAGATCTCACTATGCTAAAATCACATCCCAAACACTAACAAGGAGCGCACAACAAATAAACAAATCTCAACTCCTCCCAAAAAACCAATCTCAACCTAGGTCTAGTGGGACCACAAACCCAACTGAACCACCATTGCCATTTAGGCATTTATCTTTGACAGCTAGCAAAACTGAGACTGAGTAAACCACACAATGCGATCAAGTTTAATGGCCACCCTAATGCCCCAATTGGAAAAGAGCAGGGAAAAATTGCTTCAAAATATAAACAAAACAAATTGAAGGTTAAGCATAGAACAAGCAAAGTGAAATGTGTCAAACTATCATGCATGGCGACACAACACCCACCTTAGTTGAAGAAATTTTCCCTTCTAATTTCTTACTCTCTTTCATGTGGATGGGTAAGCCACAAGCTTTGGAGTATAAAAGTTCCAACTCAGACATCTGGAATAAAAAATAATAATCCAATCAAATGGGTAGGGTAAATGTCATCATATCATTATAACTATTAACTAGCAAGAATATAAATTCTTATCAGATATAATTACGACCAATATAAAGTTATGAAGAAAAGTCGTATGGACTATGGACAGTCTAGGAGAAAATACCGTTGAACACACAGATAAAGCAGTATCAATCTCCTGATTTAACAACCTTGCTTCTTCGGCATATTCCTGCATCAACATAAGTTTAACCAAAAAAGAAAAAACAACTGGCAGAAAATTGCAACCATCAAAAACACTATGCACATTTTCCGATTATTTTATTCGAAAAAATAATTGCTTTTTTTTTCAGCTTCCTGAGAGAGCATTTGGAAAAAATTGATTGTTTCAAATTTAATCTGTTACCAAACACTGACTATAACAGTTTATTAAAAAAGCACCTTCAATTTATGATAACGAGGCTCATTGCATGGTGCAGGATTAAATCTCAGTAACTCATTGACAAATTCTAAATGAACTTTTTTTACACTTGAGTCCTGATGACACAACCATAACTCAATTTTAGTTACACAATCTCTTATCCCTTCTGCCCACTTCTGAGCTTCAATCAAATTCTTTGCCATATCCCGAACCTATATTCCAAAACAAAGCAGAACTTAGTTGAGTACAGTACAGAATGTTTTTATAGGAGTACATTCAAAAGAAATAATTAGAACTCACAGAATCCATCTCAGAACCAGCCCAAAGAAATTGTTCAGCTTTCCTTAGTGCAGTAACAAACGCATCCCTCAGAAAAACATTCTTAAGAATAGTATTAGATTGCAGAAGCCACTCTGTAGCAAGTTGAGCGAAAGTAATGGAGCCACCTTTCACCTACACACATCCATGAGTCTCAGGAGGCAATTGTAAATTTTTTTTACAAATTCACAATTGTATGCATAACAATGTAGATAACAGCATACCACTTACCGGAGAGCAGCACAGTCAAAGCTATAGAAGTATGAGGACATTAAATATTTTGATTGCAGAAAGATAAGTAATCTAACTCACGGAAACAATATTATAATTTGGTGAAAATGTGAAATTGGGGGGATTAAAAAGAAACATGTACATATATATATATGACCTTTTTGGTCAAAGCACTCAGACATGAAGACTGCCTTCGTACACTTCTACACTCAGCTTTATCCTCAGAAGTATATTTGTCCATAGAAAATGCCAAGTCATACAATTCTGCAAGTGAATGACGATAGAGAAGACGAAGTTTTACGGTTTTGCACTCACAAAGGTGTTCCCAGTGCTGCACAAACAAAACAAAATTCAGTACATCAAACAAAAAAAAACCATCTGCAAGGGAATAATCTCAGACTATTCAAATCCTAGAAAATTGACTCTGTCCAAATGACTTCCAACCAATATAATATTAACATTACAAAACACTTGCAATCTAGTTTAAAATCCCTAATCCTACATGATAGATAAATTGATTGGAAATTATATGCATACATGTGTGTTTATAAAGCCAAACTAAGTTTAAAAGAACAAAAATCACTAGGTACAAAGACAGTGCAAACTTCAGTAAGATACCAAAGATAGAGACAGAAAATAAAAACCAAGACACATGTAATCCCATAATCAACTAACCTACTTATGCAAATCCAGACAATAATAGTGATCCTCATATCTGTCATGCAATAATACAATTTTTTCCCCTGATCAGAACTAGTACAAATTTTGTAAAACACAAACAGAATCACAGAATATACTTTACTTATCTTCATTTACATAAGATGTAAACTGTTAGGAGAAATATAAATTCATTAATATAGCCTTCACCTAACAGCTTAAGCTTTTGAGTTGAAATGATTCTTTACTTTGCATCAGAGCTTTTGTGACCAAATAGTCACGAGTTCGATCTTCACCACCCCCATTCTATAAATAAATAATTAAAAATTATGGAGTTTCTTAACATAGCTAAATAAGCTTGTGCATTCTCCACCATTCACGCCCAATGGACTCCTGTGTGAGGGAGTGTGTTAAAAGAAATATAAAACTATTAATATAGCTTTCACATAATAGCTTAAGCTTTTGGGTTAAAATGGTTCTTTGCATAAACACACACAAACTACAACCTCTTAGGACAGCTTGGTTTTCTGATACATTCATGCTGGGCATCAGGCAGAATAATGAAGAGAGCCTGCTTCAGTTGAATGTTCGATTTAAAGGTGCTTATATATCTATTGGAGTCTTCCAATCTTAAGTTGAAAGGAATAAGTTGAATGATTCAACAGAGAAAATGTATATACATACACTATCAGTGCTGATTAGCTTTTTCCTTTAACTTTGACAATGATGCAATGGTGGAAGTAAAATGCTCGATGGAAATCAAACACATAAACAACACCTCAATCACATTCATTTACCTCCAGACACACAAAAGATGATGGCCTGCAACGGCACCCAACAGCAGAAAGATAGAGATATTGCTGGCAAATAATGCATGCTGGATCCTATACAAGAAACAAGTAAATATGATCAGAAAAGACAAAACTAATGAATTGTCATTTTATATTACCATAGGTTAAAAATAAACCATACCTCTTCAGTTCCCACATATTGAGGACATTTTCGAGGAGCCAAACGAGAAGATTTAATTATACCATTTTTCCAAAGTTTCTCTCTACAAGATTTTTCTTTATCCGATATTCTCAACAATTCCTTCTTCAAATAAGAAGACACTCTGCTATCAACATCACCATACTGAAAACGATGAAAATCAACACAAGAGAGTAAGCATCAACAAATTAAACTTTATTAACACGAAAAATATTAGTGCACTCTGTTGAAGTAAAAGTAGGAGGATAAGAAAATCCTCTTAAACAAGAAAGTCTAGAAACAACATAAACAACTAAAACTGCATAACAAGGCTTTACATAAACAGGTAGAGATTTTGATGTTTCCTTATGGCTCAAGTAAATTATTTGACATATTTGGGAGCCCATCACAGCTGACAAGTACATGTCCCCCACACACACACATATTTTACTTTTCTTTTCTTTTCTATTTTGCAGTAACCTGTCACTTTTTTTTTTCAAGTGCATAAGAAATACATAAAGAAAATAGGTCAAGGGTATTATAGTTTGCTAGACTTGACTCACAAATTGCATACTTCAAATATTAAGGGGCATTTGGTTAGTTTTCTTGTTTTAAGTTTCAGCTGATACGTTTCCATTATAACAAAAATGCTATTTTTCATTCTATTACCAGTTTCAAAATTTTGCAAAAAAATAAACACATATAATGAAAACAAGGTGGCATTTAAGTAACTATAAAGAAAAAATATCAACTGAAAATTAAAACAAGAAATTATTACTTCAACAAATGCAACAAAGTCAGAACATGTTCAAACCTGAGCTACTACACAAAGAAGCTCCTCATGAGATAAGACAGCAGTTTTGTGATACCGCTGATAGAGATCTGCTCCAAATGCACCATATGGTAGCCAGTCAGCAGGAGCAAAATTGACTGCCTCCGCACAATTTAAACCTGAGAACACAAACAAATCATACAAAGCTTGACATACTTTAGATTGAACTTAAGATGGTAATTTTGGATCAAGACCAAGTGTAACTGCATACCAAGATTGAAACCTCCATGATAAGATCTGGGGAAGGTAATAACAAAATTCCCAGGCTCCTGGTGAACATAAAGAATGAAAAGAAACATGTCAAAGATTAAACATATACAAAGAGAAAGCAATGAAAAACAAAAGTAGTATTGCTACTGTATAGATTTCCTGAAAAACATGCATGGAGGTACAGTGAAAAGGACCAAAAATTTACTTGAAGTTAAACTCACTGCATCTGTTTTAGTTGCAATTTCAATGCAAAGAACATCAATTGCAACCCACAATTTTCCAACAAATTGAATTATAAACAACCACTTACTGTGGAATGCTTATTTATCTTCCGTACAATATCATTTACAGCAACCTAACACATTTGTCTTACCATTTCACAATTCCAATAAAATCATGCATTTACAATAGCAAACTAAATAAAAAAGAGTATCCAATAGTAAGCCAGGTATATGAAACCTGAAGTATACTGTAGACAGGAACTCCATTTTCTTGCAAGACAGATGGGTTTAACATAGTAACAAGCTGAAAAAGCAGATCAGGCTGCGTATCAAAAAGATCAGGAAGACTGCTTCTCATCACCTACAAGGAAGTGGATCATTTTACTGACATTATCAACAAAGAGTTGTCCACTCACATACATAAGAACTTCCGTTATCAACAAATCGTTATCCTTAAAATTGACATTTAAGAAAACCACAAGTATATGTGAACTATACAAATAAATATAATCCCAAAGATAAATTAAAAAATTTCATATTTTGGATTTCAATATGAAGATATAATACATACCATGTAATAAATGTAAAGAACCCCTTGGGATACACCACCCCAAAAGCTAGCTCAAAGGGTGGGAGTGCTCAAGGCCTTATAAACTCCACATTAGTTGCTCTTCAACCAATGTGGGACTATATATCTCAACAATAAATAAATAAATGCACATAATTGAAATGTAGGCAATACTACCGAAAACTTAATAAAAAAAAAAAACTACCCATTAAACCCCAACTAGAGAAGGTAGGGTAAAGGGTAATCCCTGCACACAGCTATACCCTTAAATATTTGCAAAGAGGTTGTTTTCGGATTCGAGCTCATGAACTTGCGGTCACAAAGGAGCAATTTTACCACTACTCTAGGCTCGCCCTCTTAAACACATAAAAATGAAATAATTTTACTTTCAGCATAACTATCTTCTTTTTTCACGGGAGACCATTAGATAGAAATTATTTTGATCATATAGCCGTCCAAATTTAATAATCTCAATCATAGTAGTTAATTGTGCCGCAATAGCCCCGCGAGCCGCGCCGTATAGGCGTTGCGGTGCCTCACCGCAAGAAACCACACCGCGCCGCACCGGAACGCAATAGCGGCCATTGCGATCGCATTTGCGGCCATATTGCTGTCATAAGGCAAAATGTCAAATTTGTCCTAAATTTAAATGTGTAATAGAAAAAATTTAAGTGTTTTTTAGTCTATCTGTGTCTCTCTCTATCACTTCTGCTATCTTTACCTTTAAAAAATGTTTCTTTTTGTCATTATTTCTGTCATATATCTATTCCGCTATTTCCGCAACCGCAACCCGCTATAACGCTATAGCGTTTTTTGGGGTTGGCCGTGACATGCCGCAATCCGCATTTGATAACTATGATCTCAATTAATGAGTATTAGTTTATATAATTGAAATTTCAATATCATTGTCAAAATCACATAAAATTAAATTAAATGATAACTTTCAATCACCACTTCAATGCAATTATGAAAAGATCCCTCTACACTGCATACACCTATATTTTTGTATATTCATTATATGGGGGAAAATCAGATGCCCAAGCATGTCATGTTTCTTAGTATTCCACTTCTTCACTTTTTTTCTTTTAAATTAAAAAAAATGATTTCAATGAAGAAGTTGAATCCATTTGAAAATATTACCTTACTATCTTAATTATTTTACTTCCTTGTCGTGCGCATATACATCATGTGCACCCACAGCTACTGTGTGCATGCACATGTCTGTGCATAAAGACACTAGCAAAGCTGCATGGGTGAATAAATGGACTTTAATAGCAAGTATAATGAAAATAAATTCGGCTCATTCCTATGGAAACCTTTAATCCTACAAGTACAAGGCTGGAAGAAGCAAGCAACAGACTTAAAAGTAAATTAAATACATTTAAAAAAATGGGAAGAACAAGTCATAGTGTATACTGTATAGATATAACAAGAAGCCAAGACCTACCTTCTCAAAAGCACTGGCTTGACTACCAGGAACACTGTACCAGCACTTTGGCTCTCCCCTAAAACAAAATAGAAATCAAAACCGAATTGCAAGCCATAGAAAAATGAAATGAGGCATGTAGCACTCTAAAATCGAAATATATTTTTAAGGGAATAGTGTTTGTCCTTTTAAAAGACATAAAATTGTGACATTTTAGTCAAAACTACTGTGTTTTATGGTGAGAAAAATAGAAATCGAAGTGGAATAAAGTGGGAGGTTTTTTTTAATTTAAGTTTTTAAATAAAAAACACTAGTTTTAACTAAAATGACTGTCCTCTAAAAGGACAAACATATTTTCCTATTTTCAAATATATTTACAAAATATCCAAGACCACAAAACACATTGCAAATGCTAGCAGTTGATGTTCCACGCTATGACTCAATGATAAACAAAACCAAAGAAATTGGAGAGAACAAATGCAAAATTCATGAAATCTTAAATGAGCAAATAAATGTCAGCCACATTTAAGGCTTGGGCAAATTAAGGCCCCAATTTGAGTGTCCAGAAATCTGTGATCTTTCCAAAAGGAAAAATGTGGCATAGTTTAAAATTTAAATGATTAGAAGTTCACATTAGAATGTAGAAGCAATACAAAATTAAACAAGAATCATGCATCTTTGCAGGAGAAGAAAACTGTATGAGACAAAACTTGAAACTAAAGTAGATATGAGAATATCATAGAAAACCATACATTTCTTTCTACTTCTTTTATTTATTCTTTTTTTTTTATTTTGGCTACTTAAAAATTAAACATCAACGTCAATTGAATGGAGGTAAGGTAACACATGATGATTAGTTGATTCACTTTCCTGTTTCCATAAAACTTTTACAGATCTCTGTATATTCTGTATGTAACAAGGTCATTCTTGTAACAGGACATCAAGTTGTCTAATATTCGTAGGTTTACACCAAGGTTCTAAACTGAGTCCTTCTCTTCTTTTTCCCCAAGTTATGGATGAGCTAAAAACAGATATCCAAGATGGAGTGTCATGGTATTTGCTATTTGAATATGATATTGTGCTAATCGAAGAGATCAGAGCTGATGTTAACAAAAAAATTAGACTTGTGGAGAAGTACACTAGAGACTAAAGGATTTACATAAAGTCGGAGTAAGACTAAGTACATGAAGTATAAATTTGCTATGACAAAAGGATGAGATCAAGATTCCGTGCAAATGCTAGGATAGGATGTACACACAAAAAAAATGTTTTTAGATATCTAGGATCAATATTGCAAAAGAAGGGAGATTGATGAGTATGACTAGAGAATGTTTGATGAAATGGCATATCACATCAGGATTTTGTGCGATTGCAAAATCCCTCTAAGACTAAAAGAAAATTTTCATAGAACAACAATAATGCTTGCAATGTTATATGGAGCTGAATCTTGGTCAACACATAAGTAGCATGAACATAAAATGATAGTAGTTGAAATGATGATTTTAAGGTGGATGTATGGTCATAGAAGAATGGATACGATAGGAAATGAAGATATCTAACAAAAGATGGGAGAAATACGGGTAATTGAAAATATGAAAGAACACAGATTGAGATTGTTTGGGCATATTCTTTGAAGATCCCTGGATGCTCCTGTAAGAACATAAGTTTATTACCCAGAACATGACACAAAGAGAGGAAGGGATCAGAACTTACGAGGGAGAAAGTAGTAAAACAAAACTTAATAGAGTGGAAAATAAATTCATGTATGGAGTGAAGGAAAGCTATCAACATTGTGGAGGGTTAAACTCGTTATTTGTCATATTCCAGATGACCCTTTTTAGTCATTTTTCCCTATATTTATTCATTTATTTCTCTCTTGCTTATTTTTCTTTTACCTCAATCTTTTCTTGCTTTTTATTTGGGTTCATTGACCACTGACCCAACTAGTTCAAGATAAAGATGATGTTGACATTGAATAAGTCATACTTAAAAAAGTAAATGTTAAGGAATTGCTTCAATACCAAGCAAATGAGAGAAAGGGGTTCGGGTAGACAATTTGGAGGACTGTTACGGGCTTTTTGTAGAAGACTCTTTGGTTGGAACTAAAGTAAAATGCTACGAGCACTTCTGTTGATCCCTCTATGTTCTTAGAAGGAGGGTTTTTCATTTTCCATGTTTCTTTCATAATATTTTTGCTATAGAATCAACAAGTTTAAGCGGTACATCAGAACTACACATGATTAATAACAAGTTTAATACAGTTAAATCCTCCCTAATAGAACCAAATCTTGCTCCTATGATCGTGTTATAATTCATTGAACATGTTTGCTTCATAAATTGAAGAGATTCCAGCTCTACATAGCCTTAAATTATCCTATTTACTACAGGGAAAAACAGCCACATAATTTCTGAAAGAAAAGTTTTTGTTTTTTTCTTCTTCTTCTTTTTTAAAAACAAACAAAAAATGATGCCTTGATGATGTTGATAATTAATGCATTACAAAAAGAAAAAAGATCATTATCATAAACAGCACAAATAAACACAACTAGAGCATACCAGTGTAGATAATTTATCGAGTAAAAGCAGTGGTCCTCAAAATGCCAGCAAAAGGATGAGAATAGCATCCCAATATATAGCCAGGGTACCATAACACCAGTGATATTTTGATGAACTGCTCGAAGCATTGATCCTTTCAACTTAGGCAAGTTATTAAGATTCCATGGGTTAGTTAAGTATTCTTGCCATAACTTTTCATCGATAGATTGTGGTTTCTGATCAGTTACACGCGGGAAGCCACTCCCACAGACTGATGTATCCAAGTCATTTCCATACATAACCTCAACCTCACCAACTGATCCCTCTACAATCTCCCAAAACCTTTTCTCTATTTGCACCCTTGAAACAGTTCCTGGTCCAAACCATCTCTTCCTTGACCGGTCTGCAATGCGTCTAAAAGCTTCCAACGAATAATGCTTCCCAGGCACAAAACCAAAGCTGTCCCTATCCGAATTCAAGCAGTTTAAACAATACCAATTTCCCGGAGGAATTTGCTTCAGTGGAGGGGAAAGACAATAAATATGCCATCCCTTATCACACCTATCACACAAAAGCATGAGTTCCCCATGCAAACCACTCTTGCATTGCTCACAAATCTGATCATGTTCTTCTTCCTGCACTTTACAATCCTTAACTTTCAAACAATCTACACCGCGTTGATGCCTCTTGGACACCGCCGAAGATTGTACCCCGTGATCACTCTTGCGGTCCTCTTGCACCCCTTTCTTACAACTCCTAATTTTCCCCCGATTCATCCGATTATAGTAATTCTCGTAATCATACAAATGCTCACGGTACAACTGACACAACACATGCTTAGCACAGTCCGAAATCTTGGCGGCCGACCTCACAAACCGAGCAACATCCCCCCATTTCTTCTCGTCGACAACCTTATCATAACCGCGAAAACGCTTCACGGCATTGAACAGCTTGCACAAGTCCAACTCCTCCCCCTCGAACACAACTTTTTTCTTGGACTTCTTACTAGAATGATCCTGTAAAAACCTAGAGTAGTCCAACTCAAAAGTCTTGGAGTCAGTTGCAGCAGGACGTGCCTGCAGCTTGTGAATTGCCTGCGTTTTGGTAGGGAAAGTGAAAGTGTCCAGATCCAAAGCAAAAGGGGGTTTCCAACTCTTAGGAGGTACAATCCTACAAATTCCATAAGGCTCAGCCTCAGGTCTAATCCTGTAAATATACTCCAAAGGATCCTTGAATTCATCCTCTGTTGGATAATACACAGGCCCCGCTGGTATACTCGACGATGTAACACTCACACTTGGTCCTACCACACCTTTCTCCACAGCCCTAGGTTTTCCCTTCCCCATCACTAGTCTACTATTAGCACCACCAATTCATCAATGCGCACACTTCTCTTTAGAGATCAAAAAATACAGAGAGAGGTTGCAGTTTAGTTACCTTTCACGAAGTGAAGTCAAGGAGAGTGGAGACAAAGATGGATAACAAAAGCGCACTCTTCTCTTTTCTAGTTGCGTCTGTTAACTAAACATATAAAGGGAAATACCAAATAGCCTCCTTTGCTGTACGACGCATAGCTTCCTGGGAAAGATAACAATAAATTCAATGGTCTCGTTAGGTTACCTTTTCTGTTAGCGAGTGAGGCCCAAAAAAACTCTCCTTCCTTCTTTTTGGGCCCGATATTGCGGACTTGGTAGTTGTAGTTCTAGCACCCGAGAACCGGGCCGTGTTTTTATCGTTAATTTTATTTTATTTTATTTTTTATCAATTGAACCTTTTAAATTATGTTTTCTATATTTTTTTTATTTTTTTTGGTAAACATGTTTTCTATATTTTAAATAGGGGAAATTTATATTTACAACATATTTTCATTTACAACTTCTTACAACCATATCTTAACCGTTGATTTCCGTCAATCAACAGTTAAGATTTTCGCAAATCAAATTTATTAATTAATTATTAATTTACAATAAATGACAACCGTTGATTGGCGGAAATCAACGGTTAAGATATGGTTATAAGAGTTTGTAAACTATTTGGGTTATAAATATAAACCCTCCCTTCTAATATAGGATAATTTTATTTAAAATCCGAAAACTATTTCACCACAAAGAAAATTCATAATTCCTATCTTTTTGGGATTTTGAACCTATAAGGAATCATCAAGTACTGTCCTCTTCTCAAATTATCATAATAAAGGTGGAGATTCCAAATCAATCATTTTTATCGCGATTGATGCTTGTTGGTAATCCATCTATATTGATAGTCTAGTTTATGACCACTATGATGAAGAATGAGATTATAAAGATAATTACGTACACGGTTCGACTCGATTTTTTATACGAAATGGAAACGAATAAAATTGAAAAAGTGGTTCAGATTGGGGTAGTTAGGTTTGATTTGATTTTTAGCCTAAACCAAACTGAATCTATATAGTAGTTAGGTTATTGAACTGAACCGATTATAAAAAGATGGTTCAAATCTTGAATTGGTTCGAAGAAAATTGTTCGGTTCTTAAATCAGTTTGAGAAAATATGGTTCTTTTGGTGCAATTCAGATTGATTCAAAATTTATTTGATTGATTTAGCTTTTTTGCACACCCATAACGATGGTAAAGTTCATTTATGGTTATTTTATCTGCAACATGATAATAGATAGAGTCTTGAAGATGTGATGTCAATTACCACGGTGAAGAAGATGGAGCTGAAAACTAAAAAACATTCTCAACCTAACAATAGTAACAAGTCATCTTGTATTTAGAGGTGGAAAAACTGGCTCAACGCGTCAGGTTGGCCCGTTTAACCAACCACAGATGGCGGGTTGGGTTGAGATTTTCAACCTGCCAACCCATTTCAAGGGGTTGAATAAAGGTGGGTCAAATCGGGTTCAACCGTCATGACATTTTTTTATCTTAGTACTCTTTTAGAAAATATAAAGAAGAAAAACTTTATTTATGACAAAAGTTATGCATATATGGAGGCAAAAATAAATTCCTAGAGAATGTCCGACTGAATATTAATATACATTTAAGTTTGAGATTGGAAAAAACTAAAGGAAGTATGAAATTAAATTAAATGATAATACAAAATATTTTTATTTTATTTTTATTTTTTAAACGATTTAACCCACCATGAAACATAACAAATTGATATTTTTAACCTACATTCAAGAGGCAGGCCAACTTGCCCTGTCTCGTTTTTAGCAAGTTGGCGGCGGGCAGGCTGACCCATTTTGTCACCTCTGTGACTTGTATTCAATCCATATGGTTCAAATGTTACTCAATATGTTCTGTTATGGACTATATCTATATCTTAACAACCTCTTTAACAGAAGATTAAGGAGAATATTACAACAACTCAGCCACTAGAGGATTAAGAGATAAGATTTTTATCTCAACAACAACATCAAATACGTTAACAACTTAGAGAAGGTATCTAAATCCAACAAGATAAATTCTATAAATAGAGGCTAAAGATACACACTTTTGACTAATTTACTTTAATATCATCATTATGCAAACACACTCATACCTTGACTATACGTTTATTGTTAATGCACAGTTATTGTTACGTTGGCTATATGTCCATGTGATATTTAACTCTTATAAATATCTTTGGGCGCAAAGATCCGTTACTGTGAATATTTACGGTCCACCGGAACCGAACAAGTAACATTTAGTACTCGAAAAGATGCCATTTAGGTCGATATTCATAAATCATATTAGAATGCCAATGATACACTTAAAACTGATTCATTAAGAATGACTTAAGCACTTAATAGGTTGATTGAAGAAATCTGATATTAATTAGATTTATGACCTTTCGCATGCACAAAGAAATTGACAGTTTTGAATATTAAAATTTGGGAAAGTTTGTTAAAAAAATTAATTATTATGGCTTATTTTTGTAACGAGGTACATGATTTGTTTCCTTGTTGTCGATTATTGTATTTATTTTCAATTTTAAAAACAATGGGAATAATTATCTACTGACAAATTTTCTCGCTCCAGATTACACCCCTCAAGTTGAAAGGCTGTCGACAAAAAGTTCTTCTCAAGATAATAGATTGATTGGGAGAGCCTCATTCATTAATAATGACATTAATATATTCCTTTATTCAATTTGAACATAAAACTGTAACTCTACAATTTTATAGTAAAAATAAATAAATTCGACATATACTTCAAACCTGATGAGTGATGACATTAACAAACAAAACTCATAAATTTGGCCCCCCAAAAAAAAAAATACATGAAAGCGAAAAGGCATAACAAAACCCAAATCAGGATAGGAAATTCATAGAAACAGAGAAGGCACGCACTGTATATATGTGGATGGATGGGGTCCATATTTGTCTTTCAAGTTTCAATATTCAAAGCGAAGAAGACGAGACGACCATATAAATATAAAACTTATAAAATCCCCTTCGCTTCTCCATGGTATAACCAAATTCCATATACGCAATTTTGAGCTTACCATGGCCCAAAAGGGACCTCAACCTCATCCTCATGTCATATATAAATATATAAATGTGTATATATACATATGCTCATGCAGTTTCACCTTCCTCTTCATCAAACTCGTCTTCCACTGCTGATGCATCTTGATACTGTTGATACTCAGCAACCAAGTCATTCATATTACTCTCAGCCTCGGTGAACTCCATCTCATCCATACCCTCTCCAGTGTACCAATGCAGGAAAGCCTTTCTCTTAAACATGACCGTGAATTGCTCCGAAACACGCCTAAACATCTCTTGGATTGAAGTAGAATTCCCCATGAACGTGGAGGACATGGATAACCCTGTTGGTGGGATATCACAAACACTTGATTTTACATTGTGTGGTATCCATTCGACAAAATAGGATGAGTTTTTGTTTTGCACATTTATCATCTGTTCATCCACTTCCTTAGTGCTCATTTTGCCACGGAACATGGCCGAGGCTGTTAGGTACCTTCCATGTCTTGGATCTGCGGCACACATCATGTTTTTAGCATCCCACATTTGTTGTGTAAGCTCAGGAATGGTGAGGGCTCGGTATTGTTGAGAGCCACGTGATGTTAAGGGAGCAAAACCCACCATGAAGAAATGTAGGCGTGGGAAAGGGATAAGGTTAACCGCTAGCTTGCGAAGATCAGAGTTGAGTTGACCAGGAAAACGAAGGCAACATGTTACTCCACTCATTGTTGTTGAGATCAAATGGTTGAGATCACCAACTAGACAAGACAAGTAGGGAAGTTATGTCAAATCAACTACTGTTTATATCTTCACTCATCACTAATTTCAAATGCAATTATTAGAAAGAAGAAGAAAAAAATGTCATGACTCATGAACAATTATAATATTCTTGAGTTTTAAATTTCAATGCTCTCGTGTCTCAATGTGGAAAATTAAAAATGACTATATGAGAAAATATACACACTAGAAATCAGGAGTGAGGAGTTCCAACACTTACAACTTGGATTTGTGAGCTTGAGGGTTCGGAAACAGATATCATAGAGTGCCTCATTGTCAAGTACCATGCATTCGTCTGCATTCTCAACGAGTTGATGAACAGAGAGGGTGGCATTATAGGGTTCAACAACAGTGTCTGAGACCTTAGGGGATGGAAACACTGAGAAAGTCAACATCATCCTATCAGGATATTCCTCTCTGATCTTTGAGATTAGCAGGGTTCCCATTCCAGATCCAGTTCCACCTCCCAGTGAATGACAAATTTGGAAACCTGCCATGTAACAACTAGGATAATGTCATCCATAAAGCCATTATTAACAAATCACAGCTTAACACATTGAAGAATTTGGACCTGGTTTCTGAACCATGACTTGGTGTTGTGTTGCATAACAAATCTCATAATAAATTTTCTTATTTTAACGAGAACCTGAATTAATCAATGGAACTACACGGAATTACCTTGCAAGCAATCACAATTCTCAGCTTCTTTGCGAACAACATCAAGAACAGAATCGATAAGCTCTGCACCCTCAGTGTAATGCCCTTTAGCCCAGTTGTTTCCAGCTCCATTTTGCCCAAACACAAAGTTATCAGGCCTAAAGATTTTCCCATAAGGACCAGAACGCAAGCTGTCCATGGTCCCTGGTTCAAGGTCCATCAGCACCGCTCTAGGAACATAGCGTCCACCACTTGCTTCATTGTAGTACACGTTAACCCTCTCAAGTTGAAGATGGGAATTTCCTACATAGCTTCCAGTGGCATCTATCCCATGTTCATCACACATAACCTCCCAAAACTTGCCTCCAATTTGGTTGCCGCATTGACCCGCTTGAATGTGGAGGATTTCTCTCATTTTGAAGGAGTGTCCTTGATATTATGAAGAAAAAATAAAAAAATCAACAAAAAGCTTCAGAACTTTAACAGTAAATTAGATGGAGTACAAGATGAAATGAATGGGAGGGGATGGCCTTTTGTAGATGCAATGCAAGAGGGAGGATAAGATGACAAGATTGATAATACTATTGGTAATGGTAATTCTCTTTCTGTCAAATGGAAAAAACAAAAAGAAAAAAAGGATAAAAGCTTTAAATTATTTGTCCATGTGGGTTTGTCCATGTCAAACACCAAGGAGACTAATAATGAGCTGGATATGGAAGGGGACAGCGAGTTGCTTATGGGCTTATGCTAACTAGCTGTTTGAATTATCAGTCCTTCCTACCACTTGATATCCCATCTGTCAATGGGATTCCTAGTTTGGTCATCACCATGCTTTTCCACAATGATATGACAATGAATTTTCACCTCATTTACTGGACAATTATCGAATTATTGTACACTTATAGGTCGGTTTTTTTATAGGTTTGTGATAGAATTCGAATATGTTAAGAAATTACCTTCGGTTATTTTTCTACTAAAGGTTCTGTCCATAGGCTATTCACAAGCTTCTGGATGATGTTTTGACAAATATGGTATCCATCTTACCTCTGTCAAAATAGATTCAATCAGGAAAGAGAATTGAGATTGAGCCATATCAAACTTAGGTGGGAAGCATCTAATAATTCTTAAGTCATTCACTAGAGATGAAATTGTGTATATTATTAGTTATATAGGGCCTTGGTGAATCAGTATCTCGCTATAGAATAATAATATGAATTCAATTATTTGAGCCATCAGAGTTCGCTGACAACCTGTCTTTTTCTCAAGACAACTATTTTCGCACCCAATAAAGTAGTTGTTGGCTACTTGTGTAGGAATCCTAAGTTGGTCTTCATTAAATTCATGCTATCGTTCTCATGTCCTCTTGGGTAAAGGCATCAAAAACCATAGAATTGCCCATTGAACCGTAAGTGCCGGTGGAAGAGCTGCGTAGGGAAAGGTCGTTTCTACATTCTTTTCTTTACCTTAGGGGTTAGCGTTGATATAAACGAAAAGAGCTATATATAATAATAAGACAATGTCGGTAGCAAATCAATTAGACTACATGTAAATTATATATAAAATGTTAACATGTTCCTCGAATAAATTTATAACGAGAGTAGCTAACGTGGTGATGATTGAGATATATTTACTAAGTAGTGAACAGCAAAGGTTTAAACTTTAAAGTAGATGGAGGTGACCATGATCTCACGGATTTAGCTAGAGAATTATAAGCTATTGAATTAATGGTTTTCAAGTCATTGGATGAAATAAATAAGGTAAACCATCAGCTTCTAATAGTAAATCCATACTTGAGACGAATAGTTCCTTACACAGCAACCGCCCCAACCTCCCTTCAGTATCCAACCAGATGCATTTTGAGACGTTACGGTCACTTTCAAAAGGTCACATTCTGAAACTCACATGAATAGTGCTTCTTCTATGTTTATTTAGTTCATGATCTGTGTCATCATACTTCTCCAAGGAAATGCTTTAGAGCTGACATTTTAACCAAATGCCATCACATGTTGGGTGATTTGAAATCAGTAATTGCAAAATGACGTTGATATTTTGGTTGGTTAAGATGTATCCTTCCAACAGAGCACAGATTATGAAAAGAAAAACTGAACTACAAGGTAAAAACATAATATAGCTAGACAAAATTTAATTAATTAAAAAAAAAGGCTCATGATGCGAATATTCATTGGCCCGATTCTAGAACTAGTTTGACAAAGAAGTTCTAGCAATTGGTACCTACCATAAACCATTGATCTATTGCCATTTCTGATACGATGATTAAGCTTATGAGATTTTGAAAATTATGGCATAAATTGAACACCAGTTTGATCAGATCATATTTTCAATGAAAATCACATGAAAAGCCTCAAGGCAAAAATTACATCACAGTATTTCTTTCCTATGTAATCGTCTACTTTAGCTTACAACAGAGGACAAACAGGACTACAACTAAAGGTCCACTCCACACAAATTTCCAACCAAAAAAAAAAAAAGGACTACGTGAGGTGTTTGATACAATGACTCAAACACGCTGGCTCGTGTTTTTGATACAACGAGCCAGCGTGTTTGAGTCATTGTATCAAACACCTCACGTGCCTAACTTAGGAGGTGCTGCCGCTCTATAAACTATCCGCCCTTTGGAGGAACCGTAATGGTTACCCTCAACCTTGATTTTGTCATCACGGTTTTTTCGGTTAGGACCACTCTATAATGACTACGTTGAGGTGTTCATAGAGTGGCAGACATTTTCTAAAGTATTAAGATTTATTATATATTTTATAGCCACTCAATAAACCCTAACAATCCAAACGAAGTTCTTTCGGATTTTGCCAGAATTATAGCCTAGGATCAAGTCCTTGTTGTCGAGATCTTAGAATAGAATTTAAAGGCAGTAGAATCCGTCAATTGGTAAGTAGTTTGGGTAGTTTATATTAGGTTAAATAATAATTCTCACCATTATATCTTAAAAAAATAGAATTTTTAAAAATAAAATACTTCTCAAATTTGGTTAGGACATAATTCTTATTATGCAAAAATGAACTGAACTATTTAAGTATAAATGGTTAATATTGATTGAATTTATAACAAGTCTTAATACTCAAGTTTTCTCCCACATAACAAAAATAAAATAAAAATAGATCAATATAAATCTGCTGTATTATTTGACGATAGGATATTCCTACTACCTATTTTTTCTACTACCACTCCACTATCACTTTAATCACCATTGGATTCAAAAGTTATTTTTTTTTCTCTCTCTTCATTTAACTTTTCTTTTAATCAAATGGTGATTAGAGTAGTAGTAGAAAAAACAGGTAGTTAGAATATCCTAGCTCTTATTGAGATTCAAAAAGATTCCACGCTCTGTTCAAATAATAAGTAGTCAAAAAAACCAACCCCTCGCTGGCAATAATTACATGCAACTGAACATATCATTTTAGTCAAACCTGAGACACATATCAGTTGCTATATGTTATATACATTGTACATTCCTTTACAGATAAACAGACACATATTAAGCACTATAAGCTATCTTGTCAACATCTTATAACGTTGCACGCAAGTCATTATTTGCATCATTCTCAGTCTACATTCCTCTTCTTCGTAAGCACAAGCATAAAGCGAATATAATTCAGCTTAGTAGCAGCACTCTCTGAACACAGGATCTATGTTGTTTCCCCACTTGTCATTATACATCCCCAAAAGCTTGTCAGCTGGGGTCAAACCTGCCCATAGTATGATGTAATCCACGTGTAATTATGACAAAAACTAGGGTAGCCAAAAGTCACAATTCCTCAATATACAATGTTTGAGAGTTAACCCTGCCCTAGATTTTTATGCTCAAAGCAAGGTGAACAAATGAAACTTAGATACCTGTTCTAACCACTTCCTTCAATGGATCCAGAAAAACGGATTCATTTAAGCCTCTTCTGTCCAAGCCATCCTGCCAAAATAATAGATGCTTGAACTATAGCTAGTTCCAAACTTGCAGATAATAAAACCAGCAAAACAATTAGCATCAACATTTAATTAAGACACCTTTGCCCACTTCAACACATCTTCGGCAACATGCCGCATCTGTCTACCTTGAAACGGAGTCCTTAAACCAGTAACAGGAACCTAAATATACATAAAGCGCAATAAGTTAGGTCCTAGTTCAAAGAAGAGGGCTAGGCCAAAACTACTACATTCTCCTGCATTTGATTTTTTTGTGATATTTTTCTCATTACCATATTCCTTAAATTCTGTCTGTCTTCGGGGGTCCAATCATCGATCATATCTAGGACATTATGTAGTGAAACCTCGTCGTATAATAGACCTACCTGACATAGGAAAGATAACCACCGTAAACTAACGTTAGGTTGAGATAATAGCATCGATTGTGTGCAACAGGCATATAAGAGAGTCTGATGAAATTATTTAGGACTAATTGTTATTTTACTTTTTTGGGTGAAATTAGGACTAGTTGTTAGATGAAAATGCTATTAGATATGGCATGATGAGGTGATGAATAACATGGTTAAATCAGAAATTAGCTTTGCTTATTAATGCCAGCAGACACTATATTAATAAAGTATGTAGTTTCTGTTATGTACAGGCGAATATTTTAGACAACACATCTCACCATATACTCGGTAAATACATCAGCATGTGACATTTGATAAAATCACTTCACATGCCTTGGCAAGTTTCACAAACTTTGATCCTAAATTCCAGCTATATGATGTTTTTTACTTTGTAAGATGAACAATATTGGATTATGCCGTGTATAGACAGACAGATCAAATTACCCAAAAAGCCGGAAGAGCACATAACATGTCCAAAGGGCCCCCGTCAGCACCCCTCATTTCCATGTATCTCTTTAGCCTGACCTGCACAATATTTGATAATGGACTACCTTAGTATACGGCATTTAGATATATTCAAAATTCTTAATGTTGGTTATCCAAAAAAAAAAAAGTTCTTAAATGTTGTAAGTAAAACGTAGTCTCAACCTCAGGAAATATGGTTGTCAGATGATTTTCCCAGTCATTGAGTGCTGGCACCTGACCTGGAATGGCAGAGAGTTCCCCTGCCATGAAGTCCTGTATAAAAATGCATAAACTAAGTACAACTATGCTGCAAAAAATCACCAACTTAGGATTTTTAAAAAATACCACTCATCATGTGAATATTAAACAGTGTTGAAGGAAATTAAAGAATAGCATGAATAGTTGTTTAGTGAGATATTTTAGAGATGAGAATAGAAGATAACCCGGAATGACATGCCACCGCAGTCAATATATTTATTTTGTCGATAAATGAACATCATCGGCACATCAAGAGCATAATCAACATATTGCTCAAACCTATAAGAAGAACAGACAATCAATCAGACTTGATAAATAATTTTTCCTTTCTACTTAAAAAAAATATTAAATATTTTAATAATTCCTTAATCATTGTCTTCAGACTAGTTGGTAGCACCCTATTATGTCTTTCTCCTTAAATTGTAATAAAATAAAAGTAAATTAGAAAATATTAGAGACATTACCCAAAAGTGTCATAAAAAACAAAAGGGATCATGCCAGTGCGACGTTTGTCAACCTTATCCACCTTATGGCTGTTTGCCACACCACAAAAAAAGTTGAATACAGAATAGGAAACAAATATTTTGGTGTGAAGGTGAATAATGATTCATATACAGACCTTCTTATACTGAGGTAACCACTTGGAACTCCCTCCTTGAAAGGTGAATTTGCAAATAAGGCTGTTGCCAACTGGTTTAATTGTCATAAAAGTTAGATACAATAAGGAATCAGGAAATTCTCAGTAACATTAGACTGAATCAGAATTTCTCACAGGCTGCAGAGCAAGACTGGCACGCATTTTCTTGATCATGTCTGCTTCAGAACTGTAGTCCAGGTTGACCTAAACCCATAGTTAGTTTTTATCTGTTATTTTGGGTGCAATAAAAATATTTCAAATGGAGAAAATCATTTTACTGAACGTAAAAAAAAGGGATAAATTTACCAATGGACCTAACTAACAAAAATAGTTCCTTGGCTATACCTAGTAATTGAAGTATAAAATTTATCTCACCTGAATAGAGCACGTCCTTAACAATGAGTCAATTCCAGGTAAGCCAAATTTATGGAAGTAATTTTGCATAATGTTATATCGTACCTGGAAGAAGTCAATGTACGAGTAAGATGTTGAAAAAGGATAATAGAATATAACTTTATGAACGAAAGCTGGGCATAACAATTGAGGAAGTAGGGAAATATTACCTTAGGCATTCGACGTATGTCCTCCAGTCTCCATTTAGGCTGAAAACCTAACCCCAAAAATCCAATTCCCATTTCCTCTGCAACAGTTTTAGCCTATCAAACAAGACATAATAGATCTATCACATGGCCAGAACTGCCTTCAAAATGAAGATGGTGTTGCAATCCATGGTATGGTAATAGTAATACATTTCATGTTTTTCAACAATAAAATGAAACTATCTTGGGATTCCCGTCATGCCAGAAAATTTGACATACTGACCTGATAGAGGTGTGAATTAATCTCATCACAAGTTTGATACAATGTTTTCAAAGGAGTACCACTAAGCTCAAGTTGACCACCAGGCTCTAATGATATGCTTTGCTTGCCCTGGGGTAGAATTTTTAAGATATAAATGTCACACATGCATTCCCTTTTAATTTATATGGGTGTCATATATAGATTTCAAATAGAATTGTTGCAAATAAACATTAAAGCACAAATTCTACCTATAGCTAACTCCATATCCAAAATCCAGCATACAAGGCTCAAAATTACATAAAGAAAAATAAATTGAATATGAAATTATTAATATAGAGGGACTCACCTTTTTGAGTCCTATGATGTTGTCACCTTCCATTATTTTATCCAAATCAAACCTCGCAGCAATGCCATTGAGTAAAGCTGATATTTGTTTGTATTTAATTGGACGTAAAGTTTCAAACTCAAAACCAAACTTCTCATGTTCTGTACCTATTCTGCAAAGACCATATTCAAGTTGGTTAAGTCATACAGGTATACAACATTTGTGGTCTGATATTGAGTAAGAAAGGGAAGAACCTGATTAATACCACCTCAAGTCTATATCAATCAGTAAAATAATGATTTGAAAACAAATGGCAATTAGGCAACTCAGAGATCTCGAGTTGGAAAGAAGATGTTATCACTGGTGGCCTTAACTTATACATTTACTCCTAGTTAGCATTAACCCCTAGTTAGTTGTAAAGTAACCTTAGTTGGTAAGTTAGTTATGGAGTTAGTTAGATGTGAGTCTGTATATAAATTGGTAGCTTTATCAATTGTATCGACACTTTTTTAGCTTTCAATAATACGAATATACTTTCCATTATGAATCTTCTCTCGCTCAGTTCGTTCAACTCCCTGGGTTCTGATATGGTATCAGAGCTAGAATCTACTGCATTAGCGGAAGCCATTGTATTCCTTCCTCGAAATCCTGGTGGATAACCATGCTTAGAATAACATGTTTCCACTGTGTGATTATTTCGTCCACAGTAAGTGCAAATTCTTATACCTCTTCCTCTTCCAGTTCGAAATCTGTTTGGAACAAAGGTTCGAGTAGGTTGCTGACCAACAGCATAAGTTCGATTTGATTGTTGATCAACAGCATATGCCTTTGTTTCCATAACAACTTCAGTAATATTCTCAATGTTCTTCTGGCGTTCCTGTTGAATTACCAGTGAGAAAGCTTTGTTCAAGCTTGGTAATGGCTCAATCAGCATGATCTGAGAGCGTACATGTGAAAATTGGTCATTCAGACCTTTTAAGAACCTTATTACTAGATCTTGCTCACGGCAGCTTTACAATTTATCAGCTGCTCCACAATTACACTTTGGTAATGGTTGAAGATTCTCCAACTCATCCCAAAGCGTTTTCAGCTCAGTAAAAAAGTCACTCACGGTTTTCTCACCTTGATGGAGACGATGAATGTCTTCATATAGATCTGCAATTCTAAAAACATCAGTCTGTGAGAACCTTTCATTTAGATCCTTCCACACTTCATGTGACTTCTCCATCCAGATAATTGATCTGACAATGGAGGCTTCAACCGAGTGGTGAATCCAGGATAACACCATTGTGTTGCATCGATCCCACGCATCGTAGGTAGAATTACTCTTTTCTGGAACAACAAAAGTTCCATCTGCAATACTCAACTTGTTCTTGGACTTCAGCGCCATTTTCATCGATCTCAGCCAGGAATGGAAATTTTTGCCATTGAGAAGAGGAGTAACAAGAACCAGATTTGGATTTTCACCAGGATGCAAGTACAGAGGATTGGCTGGGTTCGTAAGATGATCAGGGAGGGAGCTTAGCAACCGATATTAAATTGACATGAAAGTCTGGAACAAATAATGCATCCAGGAGATGTAGAGTATTAGACAAAATAATCGTGCCTGAGTAATGTGCAGAGACCTTGTGCCCATTTGGAAGTATAATCACAATAGGATTAATTTTCTTAACAAAGGAAAATTGAGAGATCACTGATCCTATATGATCAGTTGCACCAGTATCTACTATCCAATAAGTAGGAAACGTACCATTATTGTTGATGTTATTTGCCATTCCATGTGTGGTCTGAATCATATGTGCACTATGATTTTCAACACTGTTACTTCCATTTTCACTATCAGCAACTCTTGACTGATGAAATGAATCAATCAAATTTTGATATTCTCCTTGACTAATGGTAACTGTATCAGCTACATTGTTGGAATGATGCTATGGCTGCTGAGTTACAGGCTTTGCAACAAAACAACACTTGGTCTCTCACTGCTCTACCTCCAGGAAAACATCCAATTGGATGCAAATGGGTTTTTAAAACAAAACTCAAAGCTGATGGCTCACTTGAACGTCACAAAGCACGCCTTGTAGCTAAGGGATACACACAACTTGAGGGTGTAGATTTTCTGGAAACATTTTCTCCAGTTGCAAAAATTGCTACAATCCGAATTCTCCTTAGTGTTGCTGCTGCTAGAGGATGGTACTTGGAACAACTTGATGTTAACAATGCCTTCTTACACGGAGAATTAAATGAAGAAGTCTATATGTCCTTGCCACCTGGTTTTCAGTCATCTAAGCCTAATCAGGTGTGTCGCTTACAGAAATCTCTGTATGGACTGAGACAAGCGAGTAGGCAGTGGTACTCTCGCCTCAGTTCTGCTCTAATTTCCATTGGCTATGTGCAATCAGAAGCTGACCACTCTTTACTCATCAAGGCTACTTCCAATTCTTTCACAGCCCTCCTCATTTATGTCGATGACATAGTATTAGCAGGGAGTAGTTTGGAAGAAATCAATCATGTCAAGAAGTTCCTTGATTCTGAGTTCAAAATCAAGGACCTGGGCAAGCTACACTATTTTCTTGGCCTTGAAATAGTGAGGACAGATGAGGGTCTCATAGTTAATCAAAGGAAATATACACTTGATTTGATTGCCGATGGTGGAGTACTTGGAGCCAAACCTTGTTCAACACCTATGGAACCTGGAATCAAGCTGGCTCGTGAATCAGGCACAGCTTGCACTGACCCAGGTGAATACAGAAGATTGGTGGGGAGATTACTCTACTTGACAACTACTAGACCTGATATTTGCCATGCTGTTCAACAGCTCAGTCAGTATGTTTCAAGCCCCACTGATTTACATATGAAGGCAGCACTGCATGTTCTTAAGTATCTCAAGAATGCTCCTGGAAATGGCTTGTTTTATTCCTCCACAAGCACATTGATACCCAGTGGTTTTTCTGACTCCGATTGGGCATCCTGTTCGGATACAAGAAGATCAATCACGGGCTATTGTGTGTTTTTAGGTGACTCACTAGTTTGCTGGAAGTCTAAAAAGCAGACTACGGTGTCCAGAAGCTCCTCCGAGGCAGAATATAGAGCACTGGCCACACTGACCTGTGAATTACAATGGTTGAGTTACATATTGCAAGACCTGCATGTTGCTGTATCTCAGCCAATATCAGTGTATTGTGACAACCGATCAGCAATCCATTTAGCACACAATCCAAGCTTTCATGAGAGAACAAAGCACATAGAAATCGATTGCCACCTAATTCGAGAAAAGATCAATTTGGGATTGATTCATCTCCTTCCCATTCGTTCTGCAGCTCAATTGGCAGATCCATTCACCAAGAATTTGTCCCCAGGGCAGTTCCAGACTCTAATTGGCAAGTTAGGACCGGTGAATATACACCATCCCACCTGAGGGGGGATGTTATCACTGGTTTTATAAGTGGTGTCCTTAACTTATACATTTACTCCTAGTTAGCATTAACCCCTAGTTAGTTGTAAAGTAACCTTAGTTGGTTAGTTAGTTATGGAGTTAGTTAGATGTGAGTCTGTATATAAATTGGTAGCTTTATCAATTGTATCGACACTTTTTTAGCTTTCAATAATACGAATATACTTTCCATTATGAATCTTCTCTCGCTCAGTTCGTTCAACTCCCTGGGTTCTGATAGAAGACAAGGAGAATAAATAGAACATGGAGCTATACAATTAATGGAGCCTTATTACCAGGATGGCTATGCAGTAAAACAGGACAGTCAAAAAAATGAATAGAGCCATGGGATCACTTTTTTTTTACAAGTATTGAATTGGTAAACTTTAGGCACATAAACCGGATAAATTATTGAATAAATTGTATTAAAGGAAACAAGAAATTGTTGTGACAAACAAACAATATTATGATATTACTTCATGGCATCAAGCTTGGAAGATGGAACACTAGAGCAAACTATAATTTACCCCTCAACCCATTTAAAATGTGCAATTTGAAGTTGTTCACCCCATGTTCAATCCCCCTTTCCCATAAAAGGCAAAAAAAGATAAACATTAACAAAGGTCTCTTATATATGGAGCACCGTTGCATTGGGTCTCCAATGAAGTTCGGGCACTGGATAAGCATAAGCACAGTGTGTGCTCATATATTACAAGTTGTGTGCAGTGTGCTTCAGAAATGATGTGTTTTGAGAAATGGCAAAACTAAAAAAGATTAGTGTGTAGGTTACCTCCACTTTTCTTTGGGCTTACAACCAGATAGGAAGTAGTCAATTAGATCGTCTTTTGTCAATGGCTCTGTGGCCAAAACAGTAGCCTGATCAATGGCGGGACCAGTAGCAACAATAACTCTTTGCCCTCGTCTGCATCTTAGTCCTGCTCTGTCTTCGTGCAAAAACTGATTATGTGTGGAACTACTGCACAGGGAAGACAAGTTAAAACATATATCTTCCCTTCGGGTTGACTCTACCTTCCCCCAAACCACAGGTCTTGACGTCGATTTCAGGTAAAGGAGTCCCATTCCGCCTCACTGAAACAACATTTACAGAGTTATGTTCTGAGCCAAGTAAAGTAACAATAGTAGCTCAAATAGATGATTCTTAATTGCAAGTCACAAGTTAGTTGTTGTCATTCCATCTTTCACTTAGTTTTTAAAAAGTTATAAAATATATATATATATATAGAAGGGAAAGAAACAGAGTAAATAACTCAAAAACCAATATCTTTTCTTCTCTTGAAAATGAGCAGCCGGCATATATGAACACAAAAAAAGCAAATTAAGCTAACGTAAAGAGTAGCTAGTGAGCTAGCATGCATGCATGCAGAGAGTTACTACGAATACGAAACAAATGTTATAAGCAGATTGCAATACAAAAAACAAACCACAAGCGAAACGCAGTGGGTATTGCTGTCTCCAAGGCCTAATTAACAGACAGAAAGAAAAGGGAAGAAAAGAAAAAAAAACGAGCAATTTTGGTCGTCCTAAATTTAGTTCCCGGGTTTTAAGCTACACATATATATAGATAGATCGTACGGAATGGTATTATAGTCTAGGTTGTGCTACACGTGTCGTCCTAATGACAGGTCACTTCGCTGGCTCAGCTCATGATATCTATAGTGGTCACCTTATTACCTTGACAAGTGTTATAAGTTCCACTCTTTTTGAGACACATGGTGAAACCTTTGAGGTCGGCTGTCGGTGATGAAGGACAAGTTTAAATCGCATACTCATTTCAGTAAAGTTACTCTACTCCTAAACTTACATACTTCCTTTTACATTGATTATTTTAAATAAAAGTAAATACCATTTTTAATCCCTGGCAATATCGATGAAGACCTTTTCAATTTCTAACAATAAAAAAGAGACAAATTGGTTTCTGAAATAACAAAAGGGAGTCACGTTGGTCCTTCTGTTAACTCCACCGTAACGGCCCAACTAATGGTGCCCATGTGGCACGTTAGTGTGCTGACACGGCTTGGACGTTTGACAGCATGGATTTACAGAAGACGACGTTTTGTGCGAAATGGGTTGAGAGCTTTCGAATTGAGCGGATGACGTCGTTTCTTGGGTTGACAATAGTCATCAATTACACTGGATGTTACCGTAGTTAGACATCCATATTTCACTTAAGTTTTTCAACTTGTGAGGAACCCCATTGTTTACCTCCGAAGCTTGGTTGAACGGTGAGCATTGTCAAAGACGATGGTTTCTGGTAAGACAATCGAGCGTGGACAGTGAAGGATTTGGAACGGCTGGTGCTTTGGTGGTTAAGGAAAGTTCGATTGTGGGTGTTGTCTTACATGCACTAAGGTACGTGTTTCAGAAATCCTTCCATATATGTGGTCCCCCCTCACTACATGTTGTGTATTTTTTGTTGGATATGGTCCCCCATGTGTGGTCCACTGTCTGTTTATTTGGTTAGGGTTTACAAAAAACAAACCCTTTTATGTCTGTGGTCCCGGTTTGAAAAGTATTTTGGCATTTTTTAGTGCTTTGTGGACCCTGATGTTAGTCCCTGTATTGCATGCATATTTTGTAAAGGTGACATATTTTTGCAATTTACTGCCCTGTATGTTTACACGCCAGTGTTGAGTTATATTTGCAAATGGCTATTGTTTGTAAAATCTAATTGGTTGTTAACGTTGTGAAGTAAATGTCATGTGGTCTTTGTTTTTTTTTTCAGATGGATGAATATATAGTGATAAGGTATCATCATGGGGGTGTGTTAATCAGAGATGATGAAGGGGTCCTAACCTATGCAAATGGCAAAGTAGTTGACTTACCTGAGATGGATGCTGACTTTATCAACCTGTTTGACCTTGATACTCTGTTCAAGGGTTATGGGTATGAGACTTGTAAGCAGATGTTATGGCTCATGCCAAACGCAATGGATTTAGACGTAAGTTTAAGGCCTCTGAGTACGGACTCTGATATTGTGGAGATGGTTAAGGCTGCATTAAGTAATAGAAACTTCATAGAAATTTATTTTGAATATTGCATTACAACCCCTGATATTACTGCACCTGCACCTGTGGGTGGCAGTGATGGGGATCAGGATAATCAGCGTGAGTCATTTGGAAGTGGATCTGATTACATTTCCTCAGGTGATGAAGATGATAGTGGAAATGGTGATGGGTTTTCTACTGATTCAGATGATAGTGTGGAGGATGAGCCATATATGCCTCCTCCACCAGGGTATGAAGAAGAAACAGAGAGTGAAAAGGAGTTAGAGTGTATAGGTAAGGCTACTGGAAAAAAAAGTGTAACAAGAAGAAAAAAAAGGTTGTTGAGGATATGGTAGGGGAAGATACAATGGAAGAGGAGGAGAAGCAAATGTCTTTCGAGGAGGATGGGTATGGGTATAACTCTGAAGAGTTGAACACCCCTCCTTCAAGTGGTGCTGAGGAGGCTGAAAGGGTTGTCAATCCAAAGTTTAATGTGGATGAGGTGTTTGGTCATGTACACTTAGAGCTGGGGATGGAGTTTGCGAGTTTGCAACACTTTAAAAATGCTGTCAAAGACTACAATATTAGTCTAGGAAGAGAATTCAAGTGGGTGAAGAATGACAAAGTCAGAGCCCGAGCCAAGTGTAGTAATGAAGAATGTGATTGGATGATTTTTTGTGCTTGGAACAACAAAATGGCCGCTTTCCAAGTAAAAACTTTTAATGACTCCCACACTTGCTACAGACTTTTCAGAAACAAGAGGGCAAGTAGGGATTGGGTTGCAAATAAGTTAGAAAAAAGGCTAATGACACAGCCGAACATGACAAGGGCTGAGGCCTATGAACATATGAAAGAGGAGTACAAAGTCCATGTCCATTTGAAGAAAGTGACCAAGGCACTTCATAAAGCCAAGGCCAGAATTGAAGGGTGTGAAAAAAAGCAATATGCAAGATTGAGAGACTACTTAGGAGAGCTTTTGAGAAGCAATCCTGGCTCTACATGTCAAATGCAAGTCATACCACAACCTGATCCACAAGCCTCTCCCATATTTTCTAAGTTGTACATTTGTTTTGATGCATGCAATAGAGGGTTCAAAGCTGGCTGCAGGCCCTTAATTGGTCTGGATGGATTTTTTTAAAAGGATATTATGGAGGACAATTGTTAAGTGCAGTTGGGGAGGATGCAAACAAGAGCTTCTATGTCATCGCATATGCAGTAGTGGATAATGAAACAAAAGAGAACTGGAAGTGGTTTTTAACCCTGTTACAAGAAGACATTGGCAACCATTCAGTGTTTGGGAGGAATTTTATTTCTGATCAACAGAAGGTTTGTTTTTCTTATTCATGACAACACCTGGTCCGCACCAAGGCCTGCCTCAAGAAAATGACATGCTGCTGTATATGACCTGGGAGTAGTGCATGAGCCAACTGACAAGGACTGCATATAATGTGACTGACTTTTTTTGTAAATTCTGACCATTATGTTATTGGAGGCCTTATATAGTCAATTTTTTTTTTTTTTTTGAATTCTGGCTATATTGTATTTTGAGGTCTTTCTTTTGATTCTTGGCAGTTGGCTTTATTTTGTAATGCACTATTGGACATCCATGTCTTCAAATATCATGAAACTCAAATGCACTTCTGTTGTAATGCACTTTATGTTTTTTAACTGAGATATGTATCTGATGTAATGCACTTCTATTTTGTAAATTTGTAATTCATACAAATGCAATGAGGTCATGTGCCTATTTTTATCTGGTTAGGGACCAATAAGGGCCCCGTGCTTTTTATCAGGGACCAAAAAGGTCACATGGTAGTATCATGTTCCAGCAAGTATGTTAGTGGACGATTGATGAATGTTTAAGCATGTCCATTTTTTATGTTTTTAAACTGAACTATGTAATTGTAGTTCTTCAACATCCACGTCTTCTGTTTTAACAAATTGGACACAACTCCTGTATCTGTACATTCTGCACTTCTGCTTTGTAAACTTGGTCTGCATACAAATGCAGTGAGGTCATATGCCTATTTTGTCTGTTTAGGGTTTATTTCATCAATTTGGGCGATTTTGTCTGTTTAGGGTTCGATTGAGCATTTTGGGGTATTTTCATATTTAGGGTTCATGATCAACCCAAGAAACGACGTCGTCCGATCAATTGGAAAGCTCTCAACCCATTTCGCACAAGACGTCGTCGTCTGTAAATCCAAGCTGTCAAACGTCCAAGTCGCGTCAGCACACTAACGTGCCACCGGGCACCTTTAGTTGAGCCGTTACGGTGGAGTTAACAGAAGGACCAACGTAGCCCCTTTTTTGTTATTTCAGGGACCAATTTGTCCTTTTTTTATTGCTAGGGACTGAAAATGCCTTCGTTGATATTGTCAGAGACTAAAAAAGGTATTTACTTTTTAAATAAAAAAGAGATAACGTTTGTTTAAATATTTTGTTTTTACGCCTTATAAACGTAAAATGTAAGTTTCTACCTATAATAATAGAATTATTATTTCCTTTTCTCTTATCGTGATAAATCTGAAATGTTAATGTGTATTTCTTATCTTGAGAAGCGCCCAATCATCCGTTTGCACTTTCCATTTTATCATTAGCCATGAAAAGCGGAGAAGAAAATAACAGGAATTGAAGGAAATTTTTCAGGAATTAGTGTTTATTGTGTCATTTTAATTAAAATTATTATGTTCTATAGTGAAAAAATAAAAATTATAGTGAAAAAGAGAGATGAATATAAAAAATTACATTACCTACAAAGAATTCATTCCAGCATCACCTTCCTAACAACTTTGATGAAATTAATACTTAGCCAAGGAAGTAATAGTATCTCTGACACCCTCTAAATTAATTCAACTTATATTCTATTAAAAGTGAGTAATATTATATTATGAGTGACTGAGTAAAATTATTTTTTAAAAATATATTATAATATTTACTAAAAAAGTTATTTAAAGATAAATGTTTATTATTCATTCATTTTTATATGTAAATAAAAATGTAACTATTTTTTGAAAATAGTGTTTGGAGAGTTACTTTTTATTTATGTACGAGTATGATTAGGGGTGGCAATACAGGTATTGACCCGCAAGTTGACCCGAGATCTGACTCGTCTAAACGCGTGTCATGTCAATCCACGGGTAGGAGCGGGTCATGTACGGGTTGTATAAATGTAACACGTTTTTTTTTCGTGACGGGATACAGATCAACCCGCGGGTTCACGTGTCAACTCGTACAAGGTTATTTTTGTAATTTTTATTATTTTTATATTGATATATATAGTCATTATTATTTATATATTATTAATTTTATTATTTTTATTCATTTATTTTTGTAATTTTCTCAAAAAACAGAAGCTAGTTTATTTTTGTTATTTTAAATTTATTTATTTTTTAAAAAATCTCACTTTTTTTTAAAATTTTAAATTTTGCGAGTCGTGTCCGGGTTCGTATTTTTTGACCCATTTACAAAACGGGTCGTGTCGAATAGTGTACGTGTCGAATGCGTGTCGTGTCGGGTCGTGTCGGGTTGATCCGTATTGCCACCCCTATGTATGACACAATACGAACAGGACTAATTAGATTTTCAATTAAGGGGAAAATATATAATAATTTTTTAAATAAAAAAAATCCATACTCCAAGCACCTATGCTTTGTCCTAGAACATTTGTTTTTTTAAATTTCACAATAAATATGACGCCTCTTTTCAGACTTTAGAGCATGTTTCGATGTTTTTTTCCTTATAAGAAGAATAAAATAGATTGATTAATTATTCTATAATTGTATTAAGGATGGGTTTATTTGAACGAAAAAAATTAAAGAAAATAAGTAAATAAGTGATATATATATATATATATATAGAGAGAGGTAGGATCCTTTGACACCGGTGTCAAATTTGAAGTTTGACACCTCATCTGAGAGCCGTTAAATCGAAAAAGATCAACGACTTTGATTTGTAAGCATGTGATACCATTGATCTTTTTTAATCTAACGGCTTTCAGATGAGGTGTCAAATTTCAAATTTGACACCGGTGTCAAAGGATCCTACCTCATATATATATATATATAAATAAGGTCAGAATCATTTTACACCAGTGCAAGTTACATTCTCAATCTTGTCCGTTGATCCTACTTATATGTAAGGGCTCAAATTTTTTTTAGTAGTGTGAGTCATTGGATACAAGTGGATCAATAATCAAGATTGAGTGTAAGACTTCTAACTCTTACACCGGTGTAAGAATATCTTATCTCATATATATATATATATATATATATATATATATATATATATATATATATATGGGGAATCTTTTTATTATGTTGTTGGAGATAAATTATCTTATGTTAGTGAAACAAAATTATAGGGACCACAAATGATTGGAGAAAAAAAATAGAGGTGATATTCATCTTTATTATGTGTGTGTAGAAATATGAGTTATCTCATATAATGAATGAGATAAATATAACCTTAGGTATATATATATATATATATATATATATATATATTAGAAAAATATTTCTGCAGTTACTGCAAATAAGTTATCTGCATTTATTCCCAAAATGACGTCATTTTGAGATTGAAAAATTAAATAATTATAATTATAAAGACTATAATAACCCTGAAAAAAATTAAAATTACAAAAACACCATAATTTTCACCCAAAACGACGTCGTATTAGGCTTATTGCAGATAACTTATTTGCATTAACTGCAAAAAAAGCGAATATATATATATATATATATATATATATATATATATATATATATATATATATAGGGATAGTTCTGCCTACTTTTAATTTGTCTACCCCTCTCAACATCGTTAGATTAATTCTCATCCAACAATGAGGATTTACGTGATAAAATAAAAGGTTCAGTGGATGTTCTTTAAAAGGACACATGTTGTGTCCTTTTAGTGACTTACACAAAGTCAGACTTGTCAGACTTTGTGTAAATCTAAAAAGTTATTTTTTTCACTTTACACGTTAGCGATGTGACTGGAGAGAAAAAAAAAGTAACTTTTTAGATTTACATAAAGTCTTATCGGTCAGACTTTGTGTAAATCACCTAAAAGGACACAAGCTTGTATCGTTTAAAAGGATACTTCTTTTTTCCTAAAATAAACTATTTTACCCCTTTTCTCATCATTGCCTCCCACCCTTTTTCTTTCCTCCCCTTTCTCTCTATTGATAGAGACAAAGAAGCACACACGATCGAAATCATCAGAATATTAGGAAAAGCCAAGCATGATTACATGATATAATGAGTTGCTGAAAAAAAAGTACCGACATCAGTAAAATTTTCTCTATTCAACAAATATAGATCTTTCAATAGTCTAAAGAGTAAACATTCAAGCTGTCAGTATCACTTAGTTTTAACTTTGTATGTTTACTTATAATGGGGGAGATATTTCTTTATATACATCTTGAATGCGTTACATAATTTTTCTAAAGGTTAATGAATTCCAATACATGATTTCTCAGTTTAGGGTCTTTTATTTTTAGTTTTTTTTAGGAATGGATTGTAAAAAAATAATTTGTGGAATTTGAAAGGAATTGATAAATTCCTTTTGCTGTGGAGATATTTCGTTGTCTTCATCTTGTCTCGCTAAGGAAGATAGAAAGGGGAGGAGAGAGAAAGGGTGTAGGAGGTAGTGAAGATAAAGAAAGAAGAGAAAATGATTAATTTTATTCTACAAACATCTACCGTTGGATGAAATTGTAATCTAACGGTGTTGAAAGGAGTATATAAGAGTATGCACAATAACCTATCATTATATATATATATATATATATATATATATATATATATATATATATATATATGGCTTTAATGTTTCTAAAGTGAAGGTAGATAAGTTATCTACATTTGCTCCCGACGTCGTTTTAGGTTAAAAAATTAAAAAATTATGATGAAAAAGACTATTATAACCCTGAAATAAATTATAATTACAAAAATACTTTGATTTTCGTCTCAAAACGACGTCGTTTTGGGCTCAATGTAGATAAGTTATCTACATTGACTGTAGAAAAAGCGAACCATATATATATATATATATATATATATATATATATATATATATATATATATATATATAGAGAGAGAGAGAATAACATCTATCCTTTTAAAGGATATAAGTTTATATCCTTTTAGATCCTAACCGTTGATTTCCGTCCATCAACGGTTATAATTTATTGGATTAAAATTATTAATTAATTAATAATAAACTTGGCCCATTAAGTTTGGCCCAATAAATTATAACCGTTGATGGACGGAAATCAACCGTTAGGATCTAAAAGGATATAAACTTATATCCTTTAAAAGAATAGATGTTTTTCCTATATATATATATAGAGTGATAGTTTTCTTATGTAGTAGGAGATAATAATTATCTCTTACTGACTCATTTGTATAAGTGGGATCCACTTTCAAGGAAAGAGAAAAAAATAGAGTGAGACCTATCTTAAATTTGTGTGTGTAGAAGATAAATTTTTTCTTATGTAATATAAGAATAATAAATCTCATACATATATATATATATATATATATGTATATATATATGGGTTTACATTTCTGCAGCTGTTGTACGTGCATCAATCAAATACTTGCCATATATATACTTGAAAGCATTAAATGCAGGAAATCATAATCATACAAAGGATGAAAGCATTAAATGTGGAGAATCATAAACATACACCTGTCGTTGCTGTACGTAAAGCGGCTGCAGACATGATTTTACCATATATATATATATATATATATATTAATTAATTATTAAATCTCAATAAATGATAATCGTTGATCGGTGGTAATCAGCGGATATATATATATATATATATATCTTTTGACACCAGTGTCAAAATTTAAAATTTGACATCAAATCCTAACCGCTGATTACCGTCGATCAACGATTATCATTTATAGAAAATTAATAATTAATTAATAAGTTTGATTCTCAATAAATGATAATCGTTAATTGACAAAAAATTAACTATTAAAGTTTGGTGTCAAAGTTCAAAGTTTGACACAAATATAAAAGATCTTATCCCATATATACTCCAGCAAAATTATTGGAGTTTTTCATCTTTTCCCTGAAATTTATTATCAATATATAGTGAAATGTAATTTTCTCTAGATTAAGGGATGAGTTTTATAAAAGTTATGTTGTAGGAAAAGTGATTGTGTCATGTTATAAAGATTCGTTTTCAGTGTCGTAGTTTTTTTTTTTTACTTCAAAAAATGCGAGCTCCACAAAATATTGTGTGTAAAGAATTTTTTGTTGTTATGTTGCATGATAAATACAAATCTCTTGAGGGATATCTAGAATCGTTTTATCTGTCCCGTGTGCAGCTATATGTTCTTCTCCTCATCCACGTAACTCTCAATGGTTGAAATTGCTCGGTCGACGGCGTCCCTATTTTATTAGCTTGCCGTGGCAATAACCCTCCTTACATTCCGTAACTGCATCAAATTGTGGTAGTTCAGTTGGTGCATGGGAGCTAAGCAGGTGGAGATGAGAGTAGGTGTTCGAATCTCTTCAATACCATCTTTGGAAGGAGTTTAAAGACTTAATCCTGAATCCGTCCCGAATCGAATTAGTTAGAAGCAATGAACCGATTGTAATATTTCAAAAAAAAAAAAAAAACATTATGTAACCGCTCTAACATCTTTTACCCCGTCGTGATCTCTATCATTGAAAACACTTATTCTGGGACCCAACCACAGTGCTTTTTAGTGTACTGATATTTTCTGAGGTAGAAAGAAATAACCAAGTGATGAGTAAATAATAATAATAATAATAGGGGATGTTTACAAACAAAAATATTTATCACCTTTATAATTAATTTAATCTCCACTAATTTTCGTCAATCTAACGATTATAATTTGAAAAAAGATATTATAACAACTAAGTTAGGGTTGGCAAAATGGGCCAACCCGACTCGACCCGGCCCAACCCGCATTCAACCCGTAAAAAACGGGTCGGGTTAGGGTTGACCCGAAAAAATAAACTAGCCAGAAAATCCAACCCAGCTCGACCGAGCCGGGTTAAGGTTGGCTCGCGGGTTGGCTCGATAATCAGCTCGCAGGTTGGCTCGAAATAAAGCTCGCGGGTTGGCTCAAAAAAAGCTCGTGGGTTAGCTCAAAAAAAGCTCGTGGGTTAGCTCGAAATGATGCCAGTGGGTTGGTTCGCGGGTTGGTTAGCTCGAAATATTCGCTCGCGGGTTGGCTCAAAAAAATTGATTTTTGTGGAACTAGTCTTATTTGTTCTCCAACACTGCTAAAATTATCAACACTGCCAAAATGTTCTAATTTTGATCTCTTCAAAGGTAAAAAGAAAAAAGATTGAAGTAACAAATCTTATACTGTCAACAACATAGAAGAAGAACAATGAATCCATTTTCATATATATATTGGGGAAAAATAAAAAAGAAAGATGAGAAATATAGAGAAAAAGGTATTGCACCTTAGGAGTAGTGGATTGCGTTTGTCAAGAGAACAGGCAAATAGACCTGAAGATGCAACGATAATGGTAACAGGGTGAACAAGCTATCCAAGGGAACAGAAGAATCTTAGGGTTAAGGAAAGTGACGAGTGACGACGATGTGAGCGTATGACAGTTTTGGAGTTTTCATATTATTATTATTATTATTATTATTTTTAATACAGTAATATTATTATTTTTTGAATTAAAAAAAAATACCCAACCCGCGAGCTGGCCCGTTTGACCCGCGGGCTGGCTCGTTTAGGTCTGGGTTGTATCAGGTCGGGTTGAGTCGAGTTGGCAGCTCATTTAGGCCAACCCAACCCGACTCATTGTCAGGTTGACTCGTTTTTGCTATCCCTAAACTAAGTTGTGTTATTCTCAAGTTACTACCAATCAATATCACCGTTAGATCGATTATATTGATCCAACGGTTATATTTATTTTCATCTTTGTATGATCATGATTTCCTAAATTTAATACTCTATATTTATTTCTACCTTTGTATGGTTATGCTTTTTCATATTTAATACTTTAACTTTAAATATGGGGAATCATAATCATATAAAAAAAGAAATAAATATAACCGTTGGATCAACATAATCAATTTAACGGTAAGATTATTTGGTAATAACATAGTAGTAACATAACTTGATTGTTACAATATCTTTTCTTTATGGCTTTTTAAAAATTATTGAATTGTATTTATTAATTAATTATTAATTCTTAATAAATTCAATAAATTATAACCGTGCAAATCGTGAAATTTAATAATCCTAAATGCTTAACCTACGGATTAGGGTTCTTCTCGTATAATAATCCTGAATGCATAACCTACTGTTCTTTTCCCAAAACATGCAAAGCATGAACGCAAATCCTCTTCTCTTTTTGTAACTGACCAAGTCAAGCTATTACCTTTACACATTTATTTTCTCTCGTCTAATCATTGTCATCCTCACTACAGCTAGCCGAGACATTTATGGTCTAAAGGGCTTGGAGGTGGAGGAACGACGGGATTGAAACGGGTCTGGTATTTGGAGTTATTGTTGGGCGATTGGAGAGAAAAAAACGAAGAGGAATTTTCTGCACTTTGAGGGGCTGTTCTGCAACGTCTTTGGAGGAGCTAAAAATTTGGTTTGGGACTTGGGTATTCTTCGAATCAAGTAAGTTGAAGAGTCTCCTTTTGTTCCAATTTTCTTTCGGCCTCACCGTATAGAGGAGAGACCTTAATTTCTCTATTTTTGCATGTAAGGGGAGGGACTGGTTGTTTCCGTTCTGTCCTTGCATGCCTATTTTTCTTAGAGGACTTAAGATTTATAAAGGGGAGTAGTGTAGTCAAGCTATTTGTTAAATTGTCAAGGTGAAATGCATAATTTATGACTTCAAAATTGGTCCATTCTCTAAATTATTATGGCATGTATGATTAATTATGAGAATGAGGCGCTTGAGACCTGTCTTATATGGGTTTGTTCTTATCCTTATTAATTACCTTGGGCCAAGGATGCTCGTGACCATACCATAGGAAGGCTGACCTTGATAAATTAATGGTCAAAGGAAAGTAATGCATGGGAAAATGTACTAGGAAAAAAGATATATAATTTGAATTCTGCAATGGTGGTTAGCTTTCGACTTGTATGCCTAGAGAATGATGAGTTGAATCTCTTGGTGTTGTCAAGGGTTGCCGTGTTGAAAACCAAGCATTGCATGTAGTGTTTTTAGGTTAGATGATAATTTTAATGATTGAGAAGAGAAATTAGTTGACATACACATGAGCAGCTCCAATTTTACTCTTGCATGTCCGTAAACCTCTCATCAACTGAAGCCACATTTCCTTCCTTTCCACCTCTACTTTCTTTTCTTCTTTCATCAACATTGTCAAGCTCACCTTTGCTTGTCTATGAATTGCTCATCAACTATTCCCACAAGCCTTTCCCTAATATAATCAAGTAGAGATTTCAAGAGGGGCTGGAATTATCAAACTAAGTGAAGAGGATTTCCTTGCTGAAGCGGCGGGTCTTAGTAGATGGAAGACACGGGAAAGCTTTGAATTGGATAACCAGCAGCCTGTGAAGAGAAAAAAAACTCCTTCTCTTTTCTTGAATTTTTGGTAATAGGGGTTTGAACCGTTTTGCAGTCCTTTTCCCCTTCATTTCCCCCACTTCTTCTTGTCCCTTTCTTTTTTACTTTTATTTATTTATATATACATATATTTTTATTTCATTTTATTTTATTTTATTATTTTATTTGTGTATTTTTATTTATTTATTAATTAATTAATTTATTTATTATTTTTTTTGTTACTTTTTTTCAACCGTTTTGTATCTTTCATGTGGGTTCATCTACCACCGACCCCAATTAATTTGGGATAAAGGTGTTGTTGATGTTGATGTTGATGTTGAGGGGTTTGAAGCTAGGCTACTGAACTTAAGTGACAAGTTTGGGTGAGAATCTCATCCTTGCTTCCTTACTCTATTTACATGATTTATTAACAAAAAAAAAAAAAAACCTACATGGCTGAATTGTATGCGTGTGTTATGAGAGAAAGTGATGTGTATGTGTGTAGTCTGTTTTAGGGTGCAAAATGTGTAGATGTTTTGTATATGATGGTGCTCATATATCATGCCTGGCGAAATAGAGGATACATATGCTCTAAATATGTTCATGGTAAGTACAATGGAATGTCAATGGACATTGAGGTACAATCTCATACATGTGATTGTTGCAAAGACTTTGGAATACCAATGATGGCCGTGGGTTGCGACAAACCTTATATTTTGTGCTTGAATGATCTTATTGATTGTAATACTTGCACTGCATTGAAATTGAGAAAAAGAATCAAAGAGGGTTGATTCTCACACATGTGAGGGGACTCCGGTGCCATTAAGATTTCTTGTACAATTGTCTAAATGATGGGTAGACAATTCGGGCACATAATTGGATGGATGAAAGGATAATGAATTTCCTTTGCTGAATTACTTGTGTGAATCTTGAGTGGAATATCTCCTATTTATATGTATCATTTATGAACTTTTAAGCAGGTCTGTAATCATTCCTTCCATTCTAACATTTATGACCAAGTCTTTCGATTTATTGAGATTTTCAATCTCACTCTGTTTTGTGAACTCTAATTGCTGGGCCAAATAATCTAAGTGCTGGACCAAATAATCTAAGTGCTGAACCAAGAGAAAAAAAATGCCCAATGGATAGTCATTACTTATGTTAGCTCTTTTTGATTTATGTCCATGGATGTATAAAATTGTGTTTTGGTGTGGTTGAACTGTGAAAATGTGTAGTAGGCCAGATTTATGTTATTCCATGTAAAAATGATGTAAAGTCAAAGATTGCACATTATTTCTTCGGGTCATACATAACTATGAGTATATATAAATAAAGGGTAAAAGATTTCTCCAGTCAATGGAGATAAATTATCTCCGGTGAGCCCAAAACGACGTCGTTTTAGAGCAGAAATTAAGGTATTTTTGTAATTCTAATTTATTGTAGGGTTATATTAGTCTTTATCATTATAATTTTTTAATCTTACAACGGCAAAACGACGTTGTTTTGGGCTCACTGGAAATAACTTTATATCCAGTGACTGGAGAAATACTTTTCCCATAAATATATTTTGTGAACATGGATAATGATTGTAGAAACCCGGTCTCTTTTTGGGATATGAGGTCAGATATATATCTATGCTAAACGCAGAAAAAGGACTATTGAAAGGCTGATATGGTGATATTACTCATAACAATTGTTTATGTAGGCAACTGAAATTGATATGTACCATATAATAGGGTTAGGGGCTGTTGGCAAGGCTAATGTAATGATACTGTGATGGAAGGCTTACTTGAGTATGTGGCTGAATTAGTTATGCGTGAATAGTGTGTTACAGTGGTCATATTTTGAATCCAAGAGAGAAAGATTATATTCTTTTTGAAATGTAATTGAAGAGAGAAAGATTATATTCTTTTTGAAATGTTGTAATGCATGTGCTGTTGATAATGTATGAAATCGAGCTGTGAATATTGGCAAGCCATAAGTGAAGGGCCTGAGCTGGAATTAGGACTTGCCAAAACAGTCAAAGATTATACGTAGTATTGATGGTTAATGGAAAAGCATTGACTCGCTTTGTGATGGTTATTGTGGGTATATTAAGTGTTTGTAAATGTGTTGGTCTATTATGATTTGAAATAAATAAACAAGTTGGTCACCCTTGGGCTGAATTGATTGTCATCTTTCACCTTAAAAGCATTTAGAGGCTGGTGAAATTTCTATGTGATAAATTAGGACTCTCAATAGTCTTATTGGATGACATCAGTTTCCCTTTCATGAGGGTTCCTGAAACTGATGATTATCAATTTATGTTTGGTCCGTGCTCTTACCATTGGGACTGGAATGTTTGAGTTGTAAGCTAGGGGTGTGCATTGCGCATGATAAAATAGGGGATAACAAATCGGGTCGAAATAGGGTGTTACACTTTAAATCTTACCTTGTATTTCTCCCCATTTTTTCCCACTCTGCCAATCCAATGTGAACGTAGTTGAGTGCTTCTTTGTTTTTATCTATTACCATTTATGCTGATAGCCTAAACATATATATGCATAGCAGGTGCTCGAAGAAATTCCTTATAAACAAAACTCATGGGCAAGAAAGGAGGGGCAAGAAAATTGCCTAATTTAGAATCTGGTTCTCGCACCACAATATCATTGAGGGAAGAAGCTACTGGAAAAATACTAACCAAGCCAGCCTCTAACATCAAGTCAATTTTGAGATTTGAGCACATGAAAAAGCTAGCAGTATGGGCCACTAATGACCCTCTGATACCGTCTTTGGGTGCCTTCTATGGCCAGCATTTTGCCACCCTTGGAGAGGCCACAGGAATACCGCCTGATCCTTCTTTAATGACTTGTCAAAGGTTTGCTTTTACACTTTATTTCCTTTATCATTCTTGCTTACAGATTTTGTTTGTTTTCCATGTACTTAGTTATCATTGTGTTTCAATGCTTTTATTAAATTTGAAAATTTGAACTACTAGAAAAGGTTTATAAAAATATGTTCCGAACTTTCAAATAGTATTACAGAGCAATATGATCCATATATTATTTGGGGCATGCCGTCCAATTTTCTTGTGCTCCTCTATGCTATCCTATACTTTTAAGATGGTTTAGTTTATAACTTGTTCTGCTTACTTGCCATATATTTGTTAACATTTTTAAATGTTAACATTAGCATCCATGTGGTATATTGTTGAAGCATTTGGTGATATTTTATTAAAATGTAATTGATAGAATAAAGAACGTGAGATAGCTCTAAGAGATACAAAAGCTTGAAGTTACTTTTAAAAGGCTAACAGGAGCATTTATTTATTGGATTTGTTTGAATACCTCGGATTTGCTTTCTAGCTTATCTTTAAGCAGTTGATATTTGGAAATTTAATAAGATTCAGCATGAAATATTCTTAAATCATTTGACTGCTCTACAGATGTGAAACTGTTCTTCATCCCGGCTTTAATTCAACTGTACGAATTGAGAAGAATAGATCAAAGGTGAGGCATAGGCACAGGAAGTCTGGTAACGTCACTCAAAATAATGTAGTTTACAAGTGCCATTTTTGTTTCCATCAGAATCTGAAGAGAGGGACCCCTAAAGGACATATAAAAAGAATATGCCCATCAAGAGATACATCATCGTTAGAATCAACACCTCCTACAAAACCCATCACACATGGGTCTTCAAAATTAGAGAAAAGCATTATAAGCAAAGATGAAGCTAATGAAATAGATATGTTTACTTCACGAGCTTTAGCTAAGGACGTTGCTCTTATAGACAGTCTGGCAACTCCACCAAGTACTAGTACAACAACCTTGTTAGAAGGAAAGAAGAGAAGGAGAAATAGTTTGACATCTAAGAAAGCAATTGAAATGTCAGGCATGTCTGCAAAAGTAGAAGTAGCAAAATCTCTGAGCACAGCAAGCAAAAGAAGAAAATCGTGGACTAGTTTAAAGGAAATTGCTCAGAGCAACCAGCATGAGAACAGTCAGGTTGTTAATTTGACAATCCCATTTTTTTTATAAGCAGCTATATTTTTTTTATATAGGTCAAATTCAATTGTATTTCATTTTAGAGTATGGCATTTTGCTTTCTCTACTGCAAGCAATTTATTTTTTCCTGTGTTTGATGCTCTGTAGAAGGCATTTTGTTCTGCTATATATATATATATATAGCTTATCATTTCTCAAGCCGTCGGAGATAACTTTATCTCCGGTTACTAAATCATAACCGTACAAAGATGGATCAATGGTGATAAAGGAAGAGAGAGAAAAATGAAATCATAACCATTCAAAAGTGAATCAATTAATATAAGAAAATAAATAAATAAAATGACGTAGTTTTGGAGTGACCAGAGATAAACTTATCTCAAGCTGTTTGAGAAATGTTTTTTTCCATATATATATATATATATATATATATATTGTAATTTTAATTTATCTGAGTGAGCACCAATAATTTGGTTGCTGCATTTGCCAATTGAAACTGACTCTGAATTTTTAAAAAACAAGTGAGATTAAGTTTGTAATTTAGCTTGTATCAGACTAATAAAGCAAGTTAGGCTTAAATATTTTACATAATTCTAATTAAACACTCTTCCCCATTCTTAAGAGATAAAACTATTTTTTTACTATCATCGCGCACCTTTCGAATATGTATGGACAGAAGGGTTTAAAAGGATTAAATTTTTATTTTTAAATAAATATTTTCTTATTTGATAACTTTAAAAAGAGGAATAAAGTAAGCTATTATTATGTAACTCACGGTGACAAAATGTTTCGTAGCACGTAGGTCGAATCACGCGATGCATCAAAATGAATGCAAGTAGGGGTGAAATTGGGTTGGACCGGTCTACAGGGACTTACGATTCGGCCTATGTTAGGTCAGTCCTGACCTAGTATATTTCGTAACATAGGTCGTCGGGCTTGAGCCTTTGAAAAAGCTTGTATAATAAAAAGGCCGTAGGCTCACTTTCACAATGTTTGACCTATAAGTCTACAGGCCTGGCCTATATTATACTATTTATATTAAATAAAATAAAATAAGTATGCCTTGAAGAAAAAAGAAAAGATATAAATTTAATCAATTGCAATTATTTATAACTTAATTATATTCGATTATATTTTAATAGAAATCTGAATTTATTTTTTATGTAAGAGGAACCAACATCTCAACATGTTAGATTGTGTATATGAATATATTAAAAAGTTTTTGGGAGATGTTATACTTACTACAAGTATCATGATGTGTTTGTTGGATTCTTGTAGTTATTTTAATTTACATAGTATGGATTTGTTTGTTGGATATGATGAAATATGTTATTTAGTTTGAATATTTTGCTTTTAAAAGTGATTTAAATGCAGATTGTATGAGTTTTGTTGCGATTCATGATTCTGTTTGGACGGTGAAATTATGATTTTCAGTTTAACAACAGAATTGAATTTGAGTATTTTGTAAAGTTGGTTCATGATTCTGCTTGGAAGTTAAAAATTAACAGGCTAACGGATTAGGCCAGACATTTGTTTTTTTATAAATGGGTCAAGCCAGGTTAACAGTTAGACTCGTAATAGGCTTGAGCTAGGCCAAATTGAATTTTTTTGACATAGGCTTGGACTTTTCAAGGCAAAGTTTGGCCATCTCAACCCATTTTCACCCCTAAATGCAGGTTGTGTGGACTTATGGGATAAAACATAACTCGTATGAGTTTGACTAAATAATACAAATTATTATCGTGTTATATTACACGTTGACCTCGTGACCTGTATATTAATTTGCAAAAAAAGAAAAATTGTCCAAAAAATAAAATAATTAAAATTTTGACGATTTTGATTTTTGACACAAACTATTGTGCATTATGGGTCAACCGGTGTGTTTTGTTCAATTTTTTCCTTTTAGTTTTAGTTTTTAAAAAATCAAAATTTTATTTTTACGTGCAAATTTGTGTGACTTGCGGCACGCGTTCGGTCAAGTTTGAACAAAAATATATTGTATTTGAGTTGGATACTTTGACTCGCAGGAAAATATTTTTAGTGATCTTGTTCTCATGTGCTACTTTCATCGAGGAGAGATTGACACTTGTATAATTTTTTTTTCTCCTCTCTCTTAATTAATTGTTACATTTTTATTGATTTGAATTATTTAAAATTTGATGCTCTCAAAGCATCAAAACTCTTCTCGACTCGCAAACACGAATCCGACTAGCTGATACCATGCTTACTAATAATTTCTCTTAATTTAAAAATGGATTTTAAGATAAGTTTGATAATATAAATGTGATTGCAGGTCTCAGCACATTATGCCAAGTGGCAAAATTCTAGCAGTGCATCTTAAATCTCACTCATTTCCTCATTTTTATTTTCTCACTCGATATAAATTATATTAAATTGATATTATTATTTTGTTATTAAAAATCAAATCATTTCAGTCAAATAAAAACTAACAACGTAGCATTAACACATTTATTATAAATCATAAACTTTTCATTACTAATAATAAATGTGATATTTTTGAATTTTGAGATTCCAAAAGTTTACGACCAAGTGGGAATCATTTAGAATTTTAAATATTATTTATCTTAAAAAATTTATGGTCATTTCTAATTTAAAATCAATTTCTGTTTTAGTAAATAATTTATTATTATTGATAATAAACTTGACTAATGTCAAAATAGTAATATCGATTCAGTCATTTTATTAAAATTATTTTTATAAGATAAATATTTTTTGACAAAAAAGAAAAATTAAAAATAAACCATAAAATTATAATTGTTGATAATAAATTTAATATTTTTAATATTAATTTTCCATTAAATAAAATAATGATAATAATTCAATGGCCTTTTGACCTTGATGATGTGATTATTAAAATGTATGACCGGAACAATTTCCAGGTCAAATGTATTGCTTGAATAGTGCATAACGACGCGGCTGGTTGGCAGACGTTTCAAGATATGACACCCTTGATGCCGCGTCCACTACAAATTCCGTGAGTGGACATGGACGTGATAGTGGAAGAGCCGCGTCCCTTGCAAAATGAGATCTACAAGGAAGTCTTACATGAAGAATTGCACAAGCGAGCAAAATTATTCTCAGCCAAGTCCTCTATGAGTTTTAAAGAACCATATTGATGCGATGGAAGAACAGTATTGGGACTGAGACCCATTGAAGACTTGTCATTGAGATCCAACTCTATCTCTTGTCCTATAGATAAATCTAGAGCCCAGCAAAACTATTTAAAAAAATAAAAATAAATAAAGAACACAGAATTCAGTTCTTTGCAAGAAGTGAATTTGACTCAATGCTGAATGTCGTTTATCATTCAATTATAAGCTTTAAATCATATTGTTACAAGTAAACTAATCTACACAGATGTTTGTCTTGGCTTCCAATCAGCTTGGAAATATCATAATATTGCAATGATTTTCAAGGTCACACGATATTCAACCATGGTTCAGCTCCTAGAGAGGACTTGGCTGAGAATAATTTTGCTCGCTTCTGCAATTCTTCATAAAGAGACTTCCTTGTAGATCTCATTTTGCAGGGACGCGGCTCTCACAGTATCACGTCCCATGCCCATTGATAGAATTTGTACTAGACGCGGCACCAAGGGTGTCATGTCTTTAAACGTCTGCCAACCAGCCGCGTTATGCACTATTTAGACAATATATTTGACCTGAAAATTGTTCCGGTCATGCATTTTAATAATCACATCACCAAGATCAAAAGGGCTAATTCAATACATTTATGTAAAAAATGAATTTAGAATTGAAAAATAAAATAAAAATGGTGCACAAGTCTCGCGGGTGGAATTAGCGAGAATAATATAATTCCAAACAATTTTCAATTTTTTTATTTCATTATTTATTTCAAGAAGTTCAAATTAAAAATAATTCGATATTTATAATTTTTTATTTTTTTTAATTATCGTATTATCCGTACAAACAAAAATACCTTATTTGGATATTTATAACTTTTTACTTTTTTTAATTTTTTTTCATTATCGTATTTAACCGTACAAAGAAAAATACCTTATTTGTTAAAGTAAATTAGTAATTTTGTTTCTAAATTTTCTTAAAATTTATTTTTTAAAATTTCTTTATTTATATACATGAGTTAATTTTAAAATTTATAAAAATTAGTATTAATTTTATACTTTTACATTTTAATTCTAATTTAATAAAGAAATTGTAAATTTAAAAAGTGTAATGATATTGTAACAACCAAGTTGTGTTACTAGTTACTATCATGTTACTACCAATCAATCCCACCGTTAGATCGCTTACGTTGATCCAACGATTATATTTATTTCCATCTTTGTATGGTTATGATTCTCCATATTTAATACTTTATATTTATTTCCACCTTTGTATGGTTATGATTTCTTATATTTAATGTTTTCACTTTAAATATGAGGAATCATAATTATGCAAAAATAGAAATAAATATAACTGTTAGATCAATATAAGAGATCTAACAGTGAGATTGATGGATACTAATAACACAACTTGCTTCTTAGAATATCTTTAGAGTTTAAGAATTGACTCATTAAAATTACTATTTCGCCTTGTCGGGCGAGTTTTGCACTGAAAATTGTAGCACAAGACTCAGAGAGGGCAATCGTAGTTGAAAATTGAAAGCGTTGTGGGTTTTGTGTTGTGTCTTGTGATTGGGAATCCATCGCCGAGAGAAAATGGTGAATCGGCGCTTCACTCAGGTGGCGACCAGCGACGATGAAGACGAAGCGCCACCTCAACAATCGAAGCAGCTCAAGCGGAAGAGGATGAAGCTTCTAGAGGAGGACGAGGATAACGAGAAAACGGAAATAATAGAGGAACTAGAACCGCCGCAGCCTCCGGAGGACGCTAAACCCATTGGTGATCCCGTTAGGTTTTCTGGAAAAGGAAGAGGAAGGAGGAAGCATTACGAGTCCTTCGAATTCGATGGCAACCAATATACACTTGTAAGTTTTTCAATTCCTTTGAATTTTGAGGAACTTGTTCTGATTCTGGTTTCTGCAGGAGGATCCTGTTCTTCTCGCGCCCGAGGATAAAGAACAAAAGCCATATGTCGCAATTATTAAGGTATTATTCATTTTGCTATCACTTCACTGTATTGTTCGTGATACTTTTGGATTAATTGATATTTGAGCGAAAACATCTTGTTGCGATAATGTTATAGAATTAATAAATTCGATTGGTTTTGCTGGAGGTAGCGAGCGCATAGATAACAGAATCACTCTTCCCCTTATCAAAATACATGTTTTGTTATATAAAGGGTTTTCTCCTCTTTCATTTCCCTTATACTAAATAAATCTCCATCTTCTGATGTTGCTCTGCTATCAGGACATTACGCAGTCTTGTAATGGTAACATGATGGTGATGGGGCAGTGGTTTTATCGTCCCGAAGAAGCTGAAAGAAAAGGTGGTGGAAGCTGGCAATCACGTGATACAAGGGAGCTGTTTTATAGTTTCCATCGTGATGAGGTTCCTGCTGAGTCTGTTATGCACAAGTGTGTGGTGCATTTTGTTCCCATACATAAACAGCTTCCAAATCGTAAGCAACATCCTGGGTTTATTGTACAAAAGGTTTATGATACTATAGAAAGAAAACTGTGGAGGCTGACCGATAAGGACTATGAGGATATTAAACAGCAAGAAATTGATGAGCTTGTTCAGAAAACTCTAAAACGTATGGGTGAACTACTTGACATTGAGCCTGAAGAAGTCCCTGCTGATCAGGAGGACCTAACGAAAAATAAAAGAATCTTAAGGAGAAAGAGCATGCCATCCCTTGATGTCTCAAGGGAGGAGGAAGGAACTCTAAAGAGTGACCAACATCCAAAGCCCGAAACGCCAGGGAGTTGTGTAAATAATGCCTCAGAGTATTATCGCATATTAGTGAATTTCAATGCACTAACTGGAGATACCCGTCGTGACAAATGGTTGGAGAGGTTGCTTCAGCATGTTCAGTATGTATGTAATTCTGATGATAGCATAGAAAAGGACAAGGGATTAGGAAATGTCAATTCTGATGAAGTCAACAAAATCAATAATGGAAGTTCTGAAATAGTGAATGACTGTCAAGACAAGGGTCAGAAGGTATAAAAAACCTGTATTATTATCCATTATCAACTATACATTTTCTCATCTTGTTCTCTCTATTCCTCATTTCCTTAAGGGTGTATGAATTCCATCTGTATTTTTTTTCCACTCTGCAGAGTTCCAAGTCTTTTATCTGGCCAGATGCTGCTGTTTCAGCCATAGTTGCTCTCGAAAAAGCTTCAGATGATGCTCTTTCATCAGATTTTCTGAAGTATAACCAAAAGTTACGGCAATTAGATTTTAATCTCAAGGTCAGAAGCTGGCCTTCTGCATACATAAATGACACGCTTGAAATATTTATTATTAGTGTTTGAGTCATTAAGATAATTTCATATTTCTGCTACATTTTAAGGTAGGACTTTTGAAATTGTAATGGTTTTTTTTCATATTATATATTGAAATGAATGTGTAGGTTGAAAAGCCTGAAACAAAAGTATTATCTTTCTATTCATGATGAAGAAATGATAAGCTAGAAGGTTGGATGATCAAGCTGTTGCAAACTATATAATTTAATATGCAAACAAAATGCACAATATGTATGTTTACGTGCTGTATCTCTTCTGGTCATGCAAAACGAAAGAGAAAAACCGGCTAGCTGTAACAATAATTATATTTGCTCAATTTTTATCTATTTTTTCACCATCACCTCAACCAATGCTCTTGTGATGTATTTGGCTCAAGAAATCAATGCAAATATGTTTGTATATGTTTTTCTGCTGTAATAATGATGAATTAGTTATATTATTCTTTTTTTTTCTTTGTGTTTTTGGCAGAACAATGCACTGCTAGCACGCCGCCTATTGAATGGAGAATTGGAACCTTCAAAAATTTTAAACATGACACCCAATGAATTGAAGGTATGATGGATTTCTTTTTATAACAAAAATTCGATGGAACTTTTAAACTTTCTGTTGAAATGATGAACTTGTTTCATAGATTTTCTTCCACTATTTTTATTTAAACCAAAAGCATCTGGTTTTTGTTTTTATCTCAACCTACTCCAGTAGTCTCCAGCATATTCTGCCCATTTGAGTTATTTCTTTTTCTAAATAAAAAGAAAAGAATATATTTCTGGGTTGAAGTTACTGTGGTATAATCTTCATTTTTCATAATATAGAAGAAGCTGGAACATTCTCTTGCCTAAGGCTCTCTTTTATTTGAGAACAAATAGAGAAATTTCGATCACTTTCTTCGGGGAAAGTGGAAGATTTAAAATCTATTTCCTTATGTCCTTGATCAATTTTGATACCCTTTTCTTTGGATTTTCATGAAGGTATCCTTCTATGGTTAAATAGCTGTAACATTAGCGTAGTGCATAGTATTATTATAACTGATTGTAGATGAACCTTTGGCCTTCTAGAAACCATTCACGTGGAAATTTTAGTCCTTGTTAGTGCTTGTTTTGTTAGGAATAGCTTTTGTATGTGGACTTTACTTATAAAAGGCATAGGGATAGTGAATATACATTAGATAAATTTCTCGGAATTTACTTCTTAAAATGGCTTGTGCTTTTCACGGGTTCTTTAAAAAATGTTGATATTAAAAAAAGCTATTTGTGCCTTTTTTCTTTTATTGAAACAGAAAAAATACAAGACACTTCACAAAGCAACTATGAATTGAAATAGTAGTAACTTCTGTCTTCAATTTTTAAAAGCTGCTTTTGAAAAGATTAAACTGCTTATTGATTGATGGGCCTTTACATCATGTTTACAAAAGGCAAAGGAACAAGAGAGGGGGCCAAGGGAAACAAGGGGGTCCAGCCCATGATAAGATTGCTGAGTTGGCAGCCCCAAAGGAGAATAACAGAATGAAGGTTGTTAAGGAGATAGAAGGGAAGTTGGTTGAGAAGGTGGACAGATGGCAAGCGCTGAATGGTGAGTTAGAATTGGGAGAATGGGAGTCCGAAAACGGTTGAATATAGTGGAGGGAAAGGAGAGGAGGGGAGGATTGTGCAGTCTGAGTAAAGTCTGGTATGGGAAAAGGGAGAACTCTACAAGACGGGTTGTTTCTTGTAGGGGGAGTCTGAGAATAGCAGTCATTTTTATCTTTGTACTGTTGCATTGGCTAGGAGTGGTTGTCAAATTTGGATTATCGAGTCTGTAGAGTTTTAGTGTTCTGGAATTGTAATTCTGTAACTCTAAGGGGCTGTTTTTCCCCATTTCGTGATATAATCCATTTGTTTCCCCAATTTGTGTGTTGATTTTATTTGTGTTACCATCATTGATTGTGTGGTTTCTTGTGGTCATCTACCAAATATATGAACTTAAGGAGGGTTTGACTGCTGAGGAAATAACTAAGAAGGAGCCTGATGAGTCGCAACACATGCAAGTAAATTTTCCCCCACTTTGATTTTATTATATGTTAAGTTGTGTGAAGATATCTGTTGATTTTAGCTTTCCCATCCCTTAAAACAGATGACAGATGCCCGCTGCTCAAGATGCATGGATTGTAAGGTTGGCTTGAGGGAGATTATCCATGCTGGACATGGTGACCGTTACCAGGTTTGCATCTTTTTTACTTTTATCCAGAATTCCAAAACTGTGCCCTGCACTTTTATGGCTTCGTTTGATTGCTTGCTGCTCTACCTTTTTAGCTGGAATGTGTTGCCTGCGGCAATTCCTGGTATGCCTCCCGGGATGAGGTGTCTACGCTGACCATTGATGCATCAGATTCAAAGAGAAGCATAGGCACAGCTCCATGGGCCACTGCAAAATTTGAAGATGTTCAGAAGAAGCTGGTGAGCCCCCGTGAATCTGAAAAGGCAGCTGATAACATCTTTAAGAAAACAAGTGAATCATATATCCCTGTTTTGGACGCCCAGAAATCATTTGGCAAGTCCAGGAAAGATGACAATATTGAGGCTTGACATGCTGATTAAGCAAATGTTCTTGGGTTTGTGTAATGCTTCAAATAAATTACTGATGTTACCTCAGACATCATAAGAGTTATTTACATCATAGCAGTAAATTTCTTTTGACTGCAACTTTGATTTGCTAGGGTAAACTTTTTTTTTATCGTTGATAAACAAAATAAAAAATGAATAAAAGTCCAGCCTTTTTTTTTAAACTTCAACTTATCTATCTCCATCCCAAAGTTTAGGTAGAAATAGAAACTTGGTATAAATCGACATAAATTAAGAATATATATATTTTACATCACTCGAGAACACATTCTCAGAGTGTTCATAGTATTATGAAAGAAAAAAGGGGCTCGCGTACATGGTCCTGTTCTTGAAGGGTGCATTGTAGAAGCCCTGAAGCCTCTGGTTTTTCTTCCCAATAAATCGATAAAGAAAAAACTCAGCCTTTTTGGTGTGAGTTCAAGATTCCGTTGGTTAGATGTGACTCATAGTACATAGTAGTGTTATACCAAGGTTGAATTCAACTGTGCTGGGTTCCGAAGATGTGTTCCCCGGACTGAGATATTAGGCTTCACCGTGACCTAATTTTTCAAGTCCTATTTCAATCCATATCAGGTGATATCTTCCAAATGATACAAATAATCTCATGATTGCTGCAATAGATTATTTTTCATGTGATTATGTCATAATAAAATTATTGGTCTTCACCCTCGAGTACCCATATAACCTAACATGATAATGTTATATTTATTTAGCTAACCGATCATGTGTTTATGCATTTAACTTAATTGCAGCATTCTCCACCACAGTAAAATGCGCCGTGGTCCAACAATTGCAGCAATGAATTATTCTCCTATAATGCTGCTAATTTAATGGATCTTCACCTTTAGGAATCCATCTAACCTAATTCTATTCTATAATCTACCACCGACAGTCAATTGAATTTGGGTTCCCGCCACGCCAAACGAAGCTCATGAAACCATCTTCTGTTTCTTACCATTTTACGCTTATTCTCTACCCCTCCTCCGGTTCTTCCCAAGAAGACCATGACACTTTGACCCAGTCAAAATATCAATTACGAAGGGGCATCACTGTCAACAATTATATTACTTTTTTATATATTTGGTGAAGGATGCGTCGTGGGTACTTGCATAACACAAAATATTTTTGTCAAGAAGATTTAGCAAAGGACAATATCAGTATCACCAACATTTTTAATATCTTATTATCAATCACTAATAATCTTTTTTCAAGTACTTGGAGGGTGGAGCGGGAGTATATCACTATATCTGAGTATGAATTGGACACGCACAATGAGTTGTGTTTAATATCTGATCATCATATGCACAGTCAATTAATTATTCATTTCATGGAATTCCGGTCTTGATATGTCATATATATGACATTTAAATATAATGATTTTTGTTTCAGACGATCACTCTTATAACTGATAACAAAAAATGAGAGAACTCGCAGTTAAACTGTAAGACATCCTTAACTTGCACGATTTTTTATTACCATTGCTTTGGCCTTGGATCACTGGTCCTGGTCCCGCATGCTGAGTGAGACACACATAAATAATAAAAAGAAGAGAAAAGAGAAACACAGCGTATGATGGCGCTTGGAGGACATAGCTTTTTTGAGTGGGGACATGTACACAAGATTATCAGCTAGCTGTCTTTTCTTTCTCCTCATACTCGTGTCGTGTGTGAGAGAGTTCACTGCTTCTCTCTCTTGCGTTCTCTGGTTTTCGTTACTGTTTCTAAGTTCACTTTTGGGCAGCACTTGTCATGCAGTTTTACAGATTCTTCTGTACGGTCCTCTCCTCTCCTTTCCTTTCCTTTGAATTTTTTTTTTTTTTTTTTCATTTTCTACTGTTATGGTTTGGTATCAAGCTCAAGGTGAACTTTATTATTGTCTTTAGGAGCTGAACCATGGTTGAATATCGTGTGACCTTGAAAATCATTGCAATATTATGATATTTCCAAGCTGATTGGAAGCCAAGACAAACATCTCTGTAGATTAGTTTACTTGTAAGTTGTAACAATATGATTTAAAGCTTATAATTGAATGATAAACGGCATTCAACATTGAGTCAAATTCAGTTAAATATCTCTCTTCTTGCAAAGAACTGATTTCCGTGTTCTTTATTTATTTATTTTTTTTAAAATAGTTTTGCAGGGCTCTAGATTTATCTATGGGACAAGAGTTAGAGTTGGATCTCAATGACAAGTCTTCAGTGGTGGGTCTCAGTCCCAATACTGTTCTTCCATCTCATCAATATGGTTTTTTAAAACTCAGAGAGGACTTGGCTGAGAATAATTTTGCTCGCTTCTGCAATTCTTCATGTAAGAGACTTCCTTGTAGATCTCATGTACTGGAAGATAATATAGAAATGAGACGAGGTTCCCTGTATCAGAATTCTGAGGAAATAATAAAGAAAATAGGTACCATGGGTGGAAGGAAAAAAATAGAAATTTCATGTAGGAGTAGTGACGCCTCTTTTTCAAGTAGCATTGTTGATTCTTTATGTGGTTCAGATGATGAAGATTCTGATGAGGTAACTTCAGTAATATCTCAGAATTCAAATTTGAGTTCACCATCTGTTTCTGGTTCTTGGGCTTGTATGGCACACAACACTTCAAATGACTTTATTTCATTTTGCATGAATTCAGATGTTTGGGATAAAAAATCTAGTGATGTTGAAGGGATAGGTTCTATAAATTCATTCACAAAGTCAAAATCTTTGACAAGCCCAGTGAGTTGCATGCTGGAAACTACTGAAGTCAAATTAACTGGGACAAGAAACAGGACTTATCAGAAATCCTTGCTGAATGACTTCTCTAACACAGCAAAGCATTCTGACATTATTTCCGAGTTTATCAATAGAGACATCCAATATTCAGGTCTAACATGTTCACCTGTTCATCTGCACGGTAATCTCAAGTTGAAATATAAACAAGGACTTCCATTTCTTGAGTTCAAGGTAAAGTGCCCTGAAGATGTCTTTGTGGCAAAGACATGGAGAGCAGGTAATGCTTTCAACTGGGTATATACCTTTCACTCCATTGGTAATAATAGAAAGAAGAGCAATTCCGCTGGCTTGGGATCTCATGATTTTGAGAAAGATTCATCAATGGTGGCACAGATGCTGGTTTCCTATCATTTATCTTCAGAATTAGAAGGCGGAATATTTGACAACTCTATGGTGACAGAATTTGTGTTGTATGATCTTTCACACTCAAGAAAAAGTGCTTCACCTAAAATAAAGTCCTTTGTAGGAGTAAAGGGAAAGGAGACCCCGAGTTCAAATTCTTATCCTTGGTTAAGCACAGAATTGCATTCGAACCTTGAAATTGCTGCCATTGTGTTGCAAATTCCGTTTCACATGAGAGAAAGCTTGAAATACAAAAGAGGGGATAGAGTAAATAGTAAAACATATTCCAGACTAAGTGATCTCTCTTCAGCAGTAAAGCATGGTAGAAAAGGCCTTATTGACAGAAAAGTCATGGAACAAGTGAAGGTGGTATTACCAACTGGCAAACATGGTTTGCCAAATGGGGAAAGTAAGGGTCCCTCATCATTACTTGACCGATGGAAACATGGTGGAGGTTGTGACTGTGGTGGCTGGGACATGGCCTGCCCCCTTATTCTTTTAGGCAATCCTAATATTCAACTTGCTGAAGACCACCCTCTTCTGGAGGAATATCAACCACTGGAACTTTTCGTTGAGGTAAAGCTTTAACTTCACATAAATTGTTTCGTGAAGGAAATGAAACACTAGTGAACCGTTGGGATCTACAAGTCTAATATGATTCCGTTAGGGGATGAGGGTCACTATATGAGTTATACCTCTAGCACAGATAAAGACCAAGCTAGAGAGTATTGTCCCAAGTATGAATAATGCCATCAGAATGGGGGGAGTGAGTGTGTGAGTGAAACTTCTAGGCTTGTAAACTAACAAGGTAACGATACATGAGGTCCTTTCTCTTGTCTTAAGGGGGTGTTTATAAGAGGGTGAGGTATCTGCCTGGAGTGGGTTGGTGAGAGGGGGTCAACCCTCCTCGGGGACTGCTAGGGGTGGCTGACACTGCTGTGATAGCAGTGGTGCAGTCTCTGCATCGGAGGTGTCAGCATATGATGCTGGGGGTTACTATTTATGGTACCTGGGGCGATCTCCCACAGGGTTGGTATCCCAAGGTGAGATATTTTAGCGTCTCATCTAAGTCACCTAGGGGACAGGAAGGAAGGAGGGTTGGTAGTGACAAGTCAACAGGGCTAATGTGGAAGAGGTAAGGGGGTTTGGGCCTAAGTCGCTGGACTGCTTAGAAGTGGTCCATCCGAAACAACTAGTTCTCTAATTTAACCTCTTGATACCTTGAGGTGGGTGCATACGCTTTTCACATACACCGCTCAAATTCACAATTGATATAAGATGAAATTCGGATAAAAAAGAAAAAAGACACTGACTCAATGATTGGACAACGAACTAATTCCATGAGACATGCATCTACATAGGATTTTAAATAGCGTTGTGTTTCTAATTGGAGCTTTTTCTGTTTTATTCAGTGTTGTAGTTTTAACATTCATGCTTCATTTATGAGATTGATTGTTTTTTTTCTAGTACTTATCTCGTCTTTTGGTGCATAGGGAGCCAAAGAAAGTACTCCTACCTTGGGCTTGAAGATAGTTGAAGAGGGGGAATACGCAGTTGATTTTCATGCACAATTATCCCCGTTACAAGCTTTCTCAATTTGTGTTGCCATTTTGCATGGCACATTTCCCTTCAACGGTGTAGGACAGGAGAAAAACCAAGAGTTATCTCAATGCAATTCATTGAAAATGCTTATTGAGGAGGAAGTAGAGTTGTTGATCAAATCAGTCACAGCAGAAGGGAAGAAAACAATGTCCAAGATTCAGAAGGGAATTCCTCGGACCTATGTGCTGAACCCACCTTTTTCTCCTATTGCACGTGTATAAAGTGTAGAGTACAAATGAATAGGGGACCTTGGCTTGCTGATAATGGCACTCACATCAATATTAAATAGGAGGTGCCCCATCCCTATGTTATGATTCTGCTTATTTGAAATGGGACTGGGTTATTACTTATTATGTCAAAAGAATATTATTAATTCATGGAGATAAAGTGGAGTGCCTGCTGCTAATGTCAAAATCATTCTTTGTAACACCAAATTGAACGGAATATTGTGCATATTGTAATGGGATTGGTAGAGTGGAAGGGGGAAAAATTGATAGGAAATGGTAAATTAGACTTCCAGTCTTTATATTTTTCCTTTTTGACTGGTGGAGAATCATCACATTTGACAAGATATTAAAATAATTCGCCGTTGCCGGGGATCGAACCCGGGTCACCTGCGTGACAGGCAGGAATACTTACCACTATACTACAACGACCGTGTTGCTATTGGTGTTCAAAATTCATAATGTATTTAGCGATTATATTCAGCTCTGTAACTTTTTTTTTTTCGGTAAACAAGCAGCACTGTAACTTAACGCTATTTTAATATTACGTTTTCAGTATCTCTTTAAGCACTTTAAAAATCAAAGAAATACTAAAGCAACACGTCAGATGTTGTAAAATTTAAGGTATAACTAAACAAATATAGTAAATATGAGTGAGAAAAAAAAGAAGAAAGAATAATATTTCTATTTTATTGTGTTGTATTTTATCAATTTTGTTCACGAACTCTAGTAATAAGCTCTCAACATTATAAATTATAATGGAATAAATAGTAAAGCTTATTTCTCTTAATTGCATAAAATTAATCCATTGAAATTACATAATTTATTCTCATACATTTTTAGAGGTTACACATTTTAATATTATTTCTTATCATATTATTATCAATAGTTTTAATCGCAACTTTATTTTTCACCGCATTTGCTCAAATAAGTCTAGCATTTTAAAGTTTTTGCTCAAATCGGAGAGAGACAAGATTGTTTCCAACATAAATTCATTAACTTCAACCAGTTCAATTCATATGCCCACCAATGTAGACCATAATTTTTTTTACCATAATAATGTTAAGAAGGGAAACATTTTTTCAACTGATTCAAAAGTTAAGTATTTTGCTAAAATAACGTATTTAAATCATATGATACAAAACTTATATAAAAGTCAAAGCAAGCCTATCATATCGTGCATCACACATGAATACATAACAAATATATATTAATTTTTGCATAAGTTGCACATCACCTCATTTACAATTTGAATGCGCACATCCTATACATGTTTTACTGTATTATTTTGATAAAATATTTGACTTTTGAATCAATGAGGAAAAATATTTTCTTTTTCACATTAAATGATAAAAAAGTCCTTGTTCCACAAAAAATATATTTATGCAAAAAGTATCTTAATGCTAATATATTCAATAATTGAATAATAATAACTATATTCCAATCAAGTGAACGAACGTCCATAAATTACACGTGACTAATAATTAATCAACAAAAATTCATAACTGCAAGTAATACTTAGTTGCATAAATTAACTAAAATCATGTAAGCAGTTAATCATTTTCCCATAATAAAAAACCAATGTACCTATTTTAGAAAACTTTCACAATAAAAAGTGGTATTACAAAGGTGATCACTCCGATATGAAACCCAGAAGAATGTATCTCGCCCTCTATTCGGATAACTTATAAAGGGTTCCCTCACAAAGAAGGATATCTCTCTTTATAGAGAGATAAGGTTCATTCTCTACAAGTTTTCTTTCTGTCTTTCTTTAACATAGTGGGAAAGTGTCTATTTTAAATAAAAGAATTGGGGTAACATTATATATTGGATCTGTTCCATCGTAGGTCACGTACCCAACAATTTTGAACACAGAAGCGTACCCGATTATATAAGTTAGTGGATTGGATATGCAGATAAATGCAACTACGAGGGAATCACATTTTTCTAATTTAAGTAGTTGGAAGATATACTTTGGAAATTTTGAAAATTTATTTCTATTTGTCCATTCTAGTTTCATTTCACTCGAGCTCTTCTTAATTTTTTTTTATCACCTTTATATTTTTCTACTCTTTTAGTATATTATTCATTTTTTAAAGCACTCCATATTATTTTGGGTTCGCTTTTTTTACCGTCAATGTAGATAACTTATCTACAGTGAGTCTAAAACAACGTCATTTTGAGGTGAAAATCAAAATATTTTTGTAATTATAATTTATTTCAGGGTTATAATAGTCTTTTTCATTATAATTTTTTAATTTTTAAATCCAAAACGATGTTGTTTTAGGGATGAATGTATATAACTTATCTGCATTCACTTTAGAAATATTAAATCCTATTATTTTAGTGTGGAATTTGGAAGGTATAATAACTTTTACCAATTTTTTATTTATTTGAAACGAGGGAACAAAGAGTTGCGGAATCGTACTAGTTCGTAATAACGTATTTATTATTTTCTCGTTTTAAAAAATTTCATAATATTTATGTAAAATTAAATTAAATATAAAATATATGTTTTAAAAAAATATATTGTTTAAATTATAAATTGTGTGTGAGACATTACTTTTACCATTATATTTATATAAATGTATTTGATGTTTATTATATTTAAGAGATAAAATTATTTTTAACATGCACATGTAAATATGTGGGATTTATGTAAGAGTATATGAAAAGAAAAGAAAAAAAAGTTTCACATACATTTATATATATATATATATATATATATATATATATATATATATATATATATAAAGAAATTATTATCTCATTTAAAAATGATATAACTATCTCGTGTATGTTAAAAATTGTGCTATTATTTTTAAAAAATAAAATAAGTGGTAGGCTCTATCACATCATGAATTTATGATAGCAGATAATTATCTCCAACAACATGAGAAAATTCAATCCCATATATAAAATAAATTATTTTCTATGAGACACATTAAATCTTATATAAATACTTTAGTCAAATAGGTGAATGACGCGTCTTCTGAATCTCACAACAGCAGTCTTTTTTTTTAATCATAGTTTTATTTTATTGTTTTATGCTATTTTCGTGTCAATTCTCTAATAATGCATTTTTTTAAAAATATAGCTTAATTATCTACTAGAGGTGAGTTAGTGAGTAGGTCTAGGATTTTCATAAGCTTTGAGCTTTTGAATTGATTATTAGAGTAATTATGAGTGGATTATGAGAGTAATTAAGAGTACGGGGTAAGTTAAAGGATAACAATTTTAACCCCTTCCAAAAATAATATAATAACAATCGAACCAAAATTATTCTCTTTTCACTGTTTAACTATCAACTGAATGACCACCGATTCGTAAATAATATGCATCTATATGGTCACCAGTTCACTTCAATTACCATTATTATTATTATTAAAGTAACATGCTTTTATGTGTTTATTATTATTTTAAAATGGAACAAAATCGAAAGTTGATTACCCCAAGACGCATCAGCCAAAGGTCCTTCTATTTCTCTCTCTATCTTTGTTTCAGCTGAGAGTTGGTAATGGATTCATAAATCTTGTTCAGAGTGCATCCATGGCTTCGGAGAAGATTAGCTTGATGGTTGTATTTTGTGTTGTAATTCTGCTTCTCCGTGATGCTCCTTCTGTGATAGCCGGAGACACAGTTCTCGACGACGATTCAACTCCCAAGAAGCCCGGTTGCGAGAACCAGTTCGTTCTGGTATATCTACTCTACAAAGTTTACTTCTTTTTCTCCTTCTTTTGATGGGTTTCATGTCTTTTCCTCACAGTAAAAGCATGGTCATGGAGCATCAAAATACTATTTTTTTTTCTACTTTCCAATTTTGGTAGCTCAGGGTGTGTGGCATCGAATGATAGTGTCTAACTTGTACAATTAGACATTTGGGATCAAAGTTTAGTTTCCGATTAATTGTAAGTCTTAATTTCAAGTGGTGATTATTTTATGGAAAAACTTTATTATCAGGTAAAAGTGCAAACTTGGGTCAATGGGGTAGAGGATGCTGAATTTGTTGGTGTGGGTGCCCGATTTGGCAGAGCCATTGTATCTAAAGAGAAAAATGCTCGGCATACACGCCTTATTCTTTCAGATCCTCGAGATTGTTGCAGTCCGCCAAAGAATAAGGTTATTTCTTCTTATTTAAGATGTTATAGTGTACTTTGGTCATCACTGTAGCAAAGTAGTAAATTTTTGTTCTTCGACTGTGTTATATGAACTGTTAGATTGTGGGAGATGTTATCATGGTGGATCGAGGCAACTGCAGATTCACAAAAAAGGCAAATACTGCACAAAATGCTAATGCTTCAGCTATCCTCATCATAAATAACCAAAAAGGTAAAAGTTCCTTTATCTTTTGGCCCTGTTTTTGGGGGAGCAGCATGCTGGAGTTGCTAGGCAATTATGTTGAGTGGGTCACATCTAATACGTACACTTTTATTCCTCTTTTCATGTCAAATTTGTTTTTGTTGTTTGCAGAACTTTACAAGATGGTTTGCGAACCTGATGAAACTGATTTAAACATACACATACCTGCTGTCATGCTCCCACTAGATGCAGGTACAAGGCTGGAAAAAATGCTGATGAGTAATTCAACTGGTGAGCTTCCTTTGAACTTTCATAATTATCTGATGTCTCTTGCCCAGTTTGTGAATTTGCAATAGTTTGTATTTAATACTATTAGCCAAGTGATGGTCACAACATCTTTACTGCTTATGTGCAAATTCTTTAATTATACTGTAGCTACTCTCTTTTCCCCCTCTTCCAGGGGTGTGTTAGATGGATTCCCACTACTAATTTTATTTTTTCGTTTTTGCAGTGTCTGTGCAACTATACTCACCACTTCGACCAACTGTTGACATAGCAGAAGTATTTCTTTGGCTGATGGCAGTTCTTACCATATTGTGTGCGTCATATTGGTCAGCGTGGGGGGCCCGAGAAGCAGCTATTGAACAGGATAAGCTATTTAAGGTTAGTTTTTTCAACTCTTTAAAATTTCCTCTGGCAGGATTCTTATTTGCTCTCTTAATATGTTGTTGATCCTAGTACTTACTGTCAAACCTTATTTTTATAGGATGCTTCAGATGAAGTCCCAAACACTAAAGATGCAGGTGTTAGTGGAGTTGTAAATATGAACGCGAAAGCTGCAGTCCTTTTTGTTGTAGTTGCTTCATGTTTCCTGTTTATGCTTTACAAGCTGATGTCGTCGTTGTTCATTGAGGTTTTGGTTGTTCTCTTCTGTATTGGTGGGGCAGAGGTATTAACTTCCACTATTAACTTCCACTAAATCAGTCTAAATTTCTAAATGTACCCACTTACGTGGGGAAAAAAAGACCTATTTGCACATTATATCTATGCAGAAAAAGGTAACAGAATAGTATATATCACATTGTATGAGTGCACTTTATGAAAACTGTTAGTTGCCATTTCTGGATTCATATTCTGTGTCTCTCCTGCTTTTTCCATGTTAACCTCCGCCAAGGCATCTCTAACCAATGTTTCTTGTTCTGCAGGGCTTGCAAACTTGCTTGGTTGCTCTTTTGTCAAGGTGTGATATATCATCTTTGATGGATATATTACTTTCTGGAAGTTATGAAATTTTTGTCTTATCATCCATCTAGTAAGATTGCCATTGATTAATTTTGGAAGCAAATCCTGTTTGATTATTTGAGAAGCTTGGATTGGATCCCACGGAGAGTTTACATACATTGTATGACAAAATAATAATCATGCCGGTTTTATTACATGATGGGATTGGTGCCTTAAAATTCACAAATGCAATTATATAAACCTGATCTTTCTTGCACAATCAGAAGTTGTTCTCCATGTAGATAAATTAGCAACTTGACCTTCTACTTTGGACATAATTAGATAAGTGAAACTTGTGGTTGGGTTAACAGAAACTATGAGCTGTATAATCAGTGGTAGTAAGGAAAATATGTGCTTCTTTTGAACATATTCTACATCAGACTGTAGATAAGTGAAACTTGTGAGTGGTTTGACTGAAACAATGAGCTGTATAGTCAGTGGTAGTTGGGAAAACAGCTAAGGCTACGCTTTTATTTCCTACTTTTATTGACTTTTAGGTGGAGGCCCTGGGATTTTGTACTTTTCTTCAATAATTTTAAGATGGTTTTACCAAGAAAAACCAATGATGTAAGCTTTATAAAGTCTGTCACTCTGTCTCTTTATTCTCCTGAAAATATCATGAAAAGAAAAGAAAGTTTAATATTGTAGATATTTTTCTGGTGATGTGAGGTCAAATGGATATATATATATATATATATATATATATATAAGGCAGAGGAGAATGTCCTCCTACACAGGTGACTAAATGACTGACCAAACGGGTTTTTTAGTCGTGACCTGCATTCTTAGTATTTTAGGCCTCATTGAACTTATTTTGATCTTTCATTAATTTTATGAGAATGGGGTATAATATTAAATATGTGAAGTATAACGAGGGATTGCTGTATGTCTGAATTGCATGAGATGTTGATGATCTTATTGCTTTTTGATCCCTACAAATAGTATATAAATGTTCAAACGTTGAAATGGTATAAGATCAGGATGCTGTAATACCTTGTTGTACTCTTGAAAATCATATCCTACGGTACCCAGTCTCTTGTTTCCTTACATTGGGGAGAACATTTTTCGAGCCTGAAAGTTGAGGGTGATGTGCTCTAGAATGTTTTAGTTTACACCCTTTCATCCTTTTATATTCTTTTTTATTGAAGATGTCCATATGTTCGTCCATGATGTTAGGTTTGTTCAACTAGTAGAAGAAACTTACTTTGCTTTCATGTGCAGGTGGTTCAAGCATGCTGGCGAGTCATACATTAAAGTACCTTTCTTAGGAGCTATCTCATACCTGACTTTGGCTGTTTCTCCATTCTGTATAACATTTGCCGTTCTCTGGGCAGTTTTTCGCAATGAATCATTTGCCTGGATTGGTCAAGATGTTCTTGTAAGGATAAAATTTTCTCTTTAGTCTTAAATGTTTTTTTTCTCCTCTTCAAACATATCAAGTAGAGACTCAAGGTCTAAAGGAAGTTTATCTTTTTCTTTCTTTGCTACTTTTTGAAGGAGAGGGTACATTTCTTATAATTTAGTTGTGCTTTATATGTATTAATTATAAAATGTGTCGTGGTATCTATGTGTCACTACATAGTACATACTAAAAGGGAATTTGGTCACCTGCCAGAATGTGTGCTTGTGGTGAAGACTATGTTCCTTTTGGTGTTGGGAATTCAAGTGTGAGTGATAAAAGTCCCACATTGGAAAGGAATGGGCTAAGCATAGAAAATATAAGTGAAAGGACCCATAAACTCAATGCCTTAAGGTTTTGGGTTAAGATATGGTATTGTACTCCATGTTGTGGGTTTGTCGCTTAGGCCCATTTGATGTGTGGATGGTTGGGCTCCCCCTGGCCATTGCTCAACGGTGGTATCAGAGCCATGGTTGATTGGCCTGGGTTATCGAGTATTTGGAGATGGTTTTGTAGGCCTGTGAAAACCTATGTTGTGGACCAAGAGACTCACACACTCTTGGTTGGTAACCCTTTTAATATTAGAAGAAGCTTCCGCTTGAGGGGGAGATGACAATTGCAAGACTCACACTTGAAGGAGAGATTGTTGGGAATTCAAGTGTGAGTGATGAAAGTCCCACATTTGAAAGGAATGGGCTAAGCATAGAACATATAAGTGAAAAGAACCATAAATCCAATGCCTTAAGGTTTTGAGTTAAGATATAGTGTAGGACCCCATGTTGTGAGTTTGTCGCTTAGGCCCATTTGATGTGTGGATGGTAGTCTCCCTTAATTGGGCTTTTTCCCCTGGCCGCTGCTCAACATTTGGAACCTTCTTCCTGAATGTAACTATGGCATAATATTTCTTTGCAGAATTGTACTATGGATAATAAACTTTGCAATTACTAGATATATAATATGAAAATTCTGTTTAGTTTTTATGCTTATCAGGAGAAGCTATTAGTCAGTGTTCATTTAATTATCATTTGTCTTTTTCTAACAGGGAATTGCACTGATAATCACGGTTCTACAGATTGTACATGTACCTAATCTCAAGGTAGTTATTTGAGCTTACATAATCAATGTGCTGGCTTTATGTCGAACATGTTAAAAATATTCTTGAGTTCTGTTACTTCTTAGTATTTTGATATTTACTTACTATTTTGACAATTTTTTTATACATCTCTAATACTGAAAACTGAACCAGCAACATGTTTAACTTCTTGTGTATCTGGTGCTGTTGCATAGCTTCTATTTATCACTCCTGATTGTCGGTGAATCCTCACATCTGTAATTTGTCATATTAGAGTTTGTGTTCATATATTTATATTATATGAAATTTTTCTTTATGAAAAATAAGATACCTGCGATATATGATTTGATTGTTTCACGAATTAGGTTGGTACAGTTCTTCTCAGTTGTGCCTTCGTGTATGACCTCTTTTGGGTGTTTGTATCGAAGAAGTTTTTCAAGGAAAGCGTGATGATTGTGGTTAGTCTTTTACTTCATCCTAATTCATGACAATCACTAACACCCTATGTAATTACTAATTTAATTTTGCTTACATTTCTTGCTATAGGTAGCCCGAGGTGATAAAAGTGGAGAAGATGGTATTCCAATGTTACTGAAGTTCCCGCGCATTTATGATCCATGGGGTGGTTACAGCATTATAGGTTTCGGTGACATCCTTTTACCAGGAATGCTGGTGGCATTCTCACTCAGGTTTTATCTCCTCCCTCTTTTTCCCATTTTGTCCCTTCCATGATTTAAGTATGTCTCCCCAAAGTCCCAAACTCAATATTCAATTTTAATAACTGCGTTTTATGCTTTGAGAATAATAACCTGAGAAAGGTAGGAGAGTGAAGGAATTTTGAGTTCTTGAAACAGCATTTTCCTAGTCCTTCTTCCAGTAAATGGATCATTGTAAACTGCCATTCTGAAATCAAATGGAAGAGCAAGGCTGTTTGTTGCAGTATACTTTCCATAGCAAGTTTTCAATTGATGAAAAAAGCTATTTTGATCAATGGTTGTGCTTGCAGGTACGATTGGCTGGCAAATAAGAACCTTGCAAGTGGATACTTCTTGTGGGCAATGTTTGCATATGGCTTTGGTGAGAATCAACTAGCAATCACCTTGTCTGTTTTTTGATTTTGATAACTCTGTTTTTCAAACAATGAAAACAATTTATTTCATAACAAAAAAAATAAGCATTATTGACTTTGTTACATGATGATTGATTGAGCTACATATTATGTTAGGTCTTCTTATTACCTACGTGGCACTAAACTTGATGGATGGGCACGGCCAACCAGCACTACTATACATCGTTCCATTTACCCTTGGTAGATTTTTATGGAAAAAAAAGAATTTATAATCATTTTTTATCAAGAAGAAAAAACTGCTGAAGAGCTCAGTGGTTATATAGTTAGGTGCTGATGGTTTCAAGTATGAATGCAGGGACCTTTCTGACATTGGGGCTGAAGCGAGGAGATCTGAAGGTTTTGTGGACAAGAGGAGAACCACAAAGACCCTGCCCACATATCAGACTCCAACACAGTGAAGAATTAAACTCTGAATGAATACTGTAACTTGGACCTGTTTTGATATGATATGATATGATATATTGGGTGTATGTAATGCATGGCTGGCTGATCTTCCGGAACTCAAAGGGCTTAACACCAGAGTTGAGTTGTATGAAACTAATCAGGGGCAGACTTATATAGAAATAGTCTATATTTAATGTAGAGTTTGTTTAGAAAATTCTACATGATAGAAATCTCTAATGTCCTTCTCCTATTATGATATGAGCAGCCTGGTTTACTCTCACTGTCATACTACCCATGATTGTCTATACTGCAATTGTAATTCATCTGTTGTGCTCTTGGATTATATCATTACAAAGAATGAAAAACACAAAAATAATTGTCTTGAGTTGATGGTTTTTCTTTGCCAAAGCTGCTTTTGGAAGGTAGCTTCTATTTTTTATGTTTTGAAATTTCTTTCTTGGGAAAAAAGCGTTTTTGATTTTATTGGACATAATTTTGTATTATTTTAAGTGAAATGATCATGCTTTGGTATATATTTATTTGTATTTTACGTTTTCTCTCTTCCATAATATTCTCTCTTTCTCTCTCTCCTCTTAATTTAGTATTGGAAAAGTATTTCTCTTGAAATAAATTTTTTATAATTCCAAAATGATGTTTTAGGGTTTGAGAAAAAAAAAATACTACAAATTTTATTTTTTTCTTATATATATATTTTTAAAATGCTTATTTTCTTTTTAATTTTAAAATGACGTTTTTTAAGTTGGAGAAATATCAAATTCATGCTATATCCTTCTAATGATTTTTTTAACAATTTTTTAAAGAAAAATATTAAGTATTTTATGGTTTTAAAGACATGATATATTTAATTTTTTTAATTTAATACTTATTATTTGAAGTAATTAAAAGAATGCAAGAAGATTTGTTATGAGAATTTATTAATATACCATTAATCTATTTTTATCTTGTATATTTAAATTAAGGAAAAAATATTTTTCCTTTTGAAAAAAGTAGAATTGCGTCATTTTAATTTTTAAGTGAGAAAAAGATACAATTTAATATTTTTTATTCAAAATTTAAATTTAAAAGAAAATCATCCCCTTTCTGTCCCATAATTGTTATTGTTTGTGTCTTTCTCTCACTTAAAATGACATAATTCTATGTCTTTTGAAAGGATAAATATTAAACTTTTAAATTAAATAAGTTATATTGAAAATAATATAATTAAAAAAATTATTGAAATCATTTTTTTTAAATTGTTTAAAAATAATCAAACCCAAACATTTAACTGAAAAGCTGCTTCATCATTTTAAAACTTGCAGTTGGCACGTGGCGGGTCAAAGGGAAGGTTGGGGGCTGAGGGGTGCATGTTAGTTCAGTAGTGGTATATGAGTGTGAGCTGTCACGCACAACACAACTGGCTAGTCTTTTCACTGTGTTGGTGCTCTGTTTTAGTAGGCCCACATAATTACTAGTGACACACGAAAAGAATAAATTAAGGCCTCATCTTTTTAATTCATGATTCACCATGGAAATGATTATACAACTTAATTATAATTTTGATTAAAATAATTAATTTTACATTATCTCATAATCAAAATGTAAAACAAATGTGAAGATCCAAAAGCATTCAGAATCTATAAAATGAAAGCACTACCTCATTGTGCTTTTAAGAAGAGCTTACGAATTAAAAAGGGTTAATTCAAGTTATGAATGTTTAATTTTATTTAAGTAAAGTCTTGAATTTGAGTTCTTGTGAATGCAAAAAAAATTATTTGGGAGAGTTAATCTCACTATGATATGGATGTTTTAGGTTCTAACAAAATTATTTCCCGTAAAAAATATTTATGATTTATATAAAAAAAAAAGCTTACAATGGCATGCCACAAGCTTTAGAACTCTAGGATGGTATTTATATATAATTTATCAATAAATCTTCATTTACAAGAAAAAAAAAATTAAACCTTTTACTCGGGCTTTTTAAATTGTACTAGTTGAGTTTTCGTTGAATTGATAACAAGCTATGATTCTAAAGAAAGCATCCCATGAACAATTTGTTTTGACTAGTTTTTCGGCTAAACAGAATATTCACTTAGCATTAATTTAGTTCTTTAAATATTTTATTACCAAGTAAGTTTTTTAATAATTAAAAATAGCATCAAAATAATCTTTATTTTAATATACAGTAGGTGAACGCAAAAAAAAAAATTGATTTCGTTTTTAATTTTCAAATATTTTATTTTATATCAAAAAGGAATAAACAGGTATTTTAATATTCTGTGTTGTCTTGCTCCATTATGACGATATTCAATTAATTTATAGTATCTTTGATAATTTGGATATCCTAAGCCACCAAACTAATAGTAACGTTTGATGATTTATACTCTTAATATAGATTTTTTTACTATAAAATCTAGCACAATATTCTTTTAGTTAAATTTAAATAATGCTTTTGTCTCCCAGATGTTTTTATCATATCTTGTAGAGGTGAAACTAATTATTATTATTTTGGACAAGATACCAGTATTAACTGTCAATCTTAGTCCTTTTTGGTTATGTTTTTTCCCTTTATAAATGATAAATAGTAATTATGAAAAAAATAAAATCATTTCAGTAAGTCTCATAAGCAAGATTATAATTAATTAATATAGGTTTTCTAACAAATATTAATGCTAAAAATTTAACAAAACTAGATTATTAATAGAATTTCGTGAAATCGATTTTTGATTTTCGTATGAAATACTTATTTGGGTGTTTCTGTGACTACGTAAGGTGTTGAACTCTTTGACCAAAGGAGGTTTTTTGATATTATAATGTATTACTAATTTAGTATTGGATTTTTGATATTTATTAATGACTCGTCGTTTCATGCCACAGGATTTAGCGGCACTGAGTGACGCGACCCTCCGGTGCACTCACTGAATGTCGCGACTTTTTTGGGAAACTCACACAGGTTTACCTAGTGACAATATTTTATTACTCTAGGCAATTTCATTACTGTAAAATTTCGGAAGATTATAACTTTTGTTTTGGAATCTAAATCAAATGATTTTTTTTGACTTCGTATAACTTTTTGAGATCTACGCAATGACATCTCATTTGACATATTTTATCTCACAAATATACAATGAGGTGTTTCTTTGGCTTTTTGACCTATTTGATTCTAAAATTAAAATGTTTGACCTATCTAAGCTTATGGTCAGACTATTTGCCATCCTAATGCATGGCAACGCGGTGTGTCAGCAACCGTTTTGGGAGGCGGCAGGAAAATCAACGTTTTTAAAAACGTCATCACATATAACGTTTTCAGTTTGCAGAGAAAACGTCAGTTGAAGTACCGTTTCAGTTGAGAGGAAAACGGCAGAGAAGCAGACGTGTTCCTGATTACTTTAACACGGCAGACCTGCAAACGTTTTGCAGTAGGCCGAAATGACCCTTCATATTGGAAACGGTGATGAACCAGCCGCGTCCCTGGAATTTGTCAGACGAAGTGACAATGCAACTGGAAAACGGCAGGTGCAGTGACGTGTTTCTGTTCAACTGCAGTTGGCAGGCCAAAGTGACAAGCCACTGAAAACGCGACCTTCAGTGACGCGTTCAGTCACTGCAAAACGTTCCATCCGGTTTCACCTTAAAACGCTACCTGCTCCACCATTTTGCAAAGGAGTTAAACTCTTATAGAAGCACAAACCACACGGTTATTTTGCCTCAGTCATATTTTTGGAGCTGTCTTCTCTCTGTCGGTCGGTACAAGCTGGTGTTAGGTGCATCCTTCCTCCCCATCACTTGAAGTTCATCCTCCAACCAAATCAAGTAAGTAGCTGCATGTATATTTTATTTATTGAACTTTTACGTAGAAGTCAAAATTTTCAGTTTGCCATCTTCTATATTTGGTCCATTTTTATGAAATATATTCATAAGCCATTTTATGGACCCTCGTGACATTGTTAATTTTTCAAAATGATTTATTAAGTTTGGGTTCAGAGGAAGTAGGTCTTGAATGTTATTTTAATAATACGACATTGGTTGCATATGATAGTAGAGGTCATACCTATGTTCATTAATTGTTGCTTCCATTCCACATTTTTGAAACGTTGATTGAAGTTACTTGCAACATGTCTAAGGCAAAAAACATGGTATGCCTTTGGGGGCTGCCAATCGAGATGTGGGTTTCCAACTGCCGATAATATACTTCGATGTCGATCCGAGATTAGGCAGATACCAGTTTTATGCGTGACATACAAACGTATACAAGCCAAAAAGTATTCCTATGCTTCCTTTGTCTCGCCTTCTACAATTGCAAAAGCCAATGGTAAAACCTCATCATTTCCATCCTGCGTTGTGGCAATCAACAACGTACCTTTATACTTCCCGTATAAGTGTGTGCCATCGACCTGAATAATAGGTTTACAAAAGTTGAACGCAGTACGACACTGCCTGAAAGTCCGAAAAACCCTGTCGAAAACTCGGTAACCATTAACAACCCGATGATCTATCACATGCTCATTTGTTTGGATATGATAAACAGAACCCTCTGAAAAACGTAACATATAATCAAACCATCTAGGAAAATTAGCATAAGATTCATCCCAGTCCCCGTAAATCTGCGCCATGGCTTTTTGTTTAGCCTTCCATGCCTTCTTGTAAGATATAGTAAACCCAAAATTGTTTCGGATTCTTTCTTGGATCAACCCAACTGATACATGGGGTTCTTCCTTCACCATATCTGCCAAAAAATTACATACATAACTTTACTTAACAAACCAATGCACATATGCGTAAAGAAAGATACATCTTACAGAAATAAAATCTCTCACCTAGGATAGTTGAAGCAATAAATGCTGCATCAAGTTGTCTGTGATCTTGGGACAGATTACTGCTGACATAATTATGAGGTCCCTCCCATCTAGTCACCACCCATATAGCAGCATTTTTCGGTTTCATTGCTCTCATTCTCCACAGACAACCCTGATCCTGGCTCCTGCACCTCATTACTAGCTTAAGAGTTGTACTCTCAACAACAACAGCTTCTTTGTTACTTTTCATGCAATAAGACTTCACTGCTATTTGCATTGCTTCCTTAGATTCAAATTCTTGTTTAACAAACAACTCATCCCCAATGGTCCATTTATCAGTATTGACCCCCTCATTATATTCTCGATCCTCATTAGGAAAATCATAATTAATGTATGAGAAATGTGAAATACCACTCCAAAACGGATTCGAGCTACCATCACCTACACAACATAGATCAAAATGAACACTTTATTGAACACAATAAACCTTAACTAATTCACCAATATTGGGAAATGTTGCATGTGTTCGCTAACCTTGAACCATGTTATGAAACCCTTCAAAACCGGTTGATGAAAATGGCTGACTATTGTTTCCAAGTATCGTCGGGATTGTGGATGACAATCCTTGAGTGGTGTTTTCGACTATCATCGGGGTTGTGGAAGGATTACAATCATCATCATCATCGCTATTTGACTGATCGTCATCAGGCTCAGCAGCCAGACACACATCCTCGTCTTCTTCTTCTTCATAATTGTCGTTAAGGTCCCATATTGGAACCTCTTCATCTTCAAATAAATCATTGTTGTACGTTGCGGGAGGTGCAGAAGATGACGCATTCCGGCATGAGATTTCTGCATTTGCTGTTACATTCAGATCAAGTGACCGAATTGGTATTGCCAATTCCTCGACATTTTCAACATCCACGTATAGCTCAACAAACTTTCTTGCATTGCTCTGATCAGAACTTATTTCTGATTGTTCCACAAAGATATCTAATATAATATCGACTGCATCATCATCCGTAATTGATATTGCTGTATATTCATTATTGCCAGCAAGAGCTCTCACAGTCACATCAGAAATAAATTGATTCCCATGTAACTCCAATTTTTGATGAATGTTTGTCTTTAACTGCTCAAAGCTAGTACCACGTGTAATTCGCATTGTTCTTTTTTCACCTTCAAAAGTTACACCACGACGACCCATTACCTTTCTACCATTATAGTAGACAAGTGCACGAACCGTTTGTAAATTTGAACTCATTTTTTTATTTTTTACAATTTGGTAAACAAAATTTGTAAAATGGGATGAAATAAAATAATGACACGGATAAAACAAATTAACGAACAAAAAACACGATGTAAAATTATAAGAAGAAGAGTAAGATTCTCTGAAAATAAAAAAAATTCAACATGTTATGACACTAAACCACATGACAACACTCCAACCAATTTTATGTGAGAGAGGAACACAAGGGAGAGGAACACAAGGAAGAAGAGCACAAGGGAGAGAAGCACAAGTGACATTAACTAAACAATACGAGTATATATATAGCTACAGAAAAGCCATAAATTTTACAAAAATAAAGTACGGTTGCGAAATGTGCCTTGTCTTGTGTGGAAAAGGAATCTGATTACAAACACGTTATGTCAGGTACCAATTTCAGATATCCGTAGAAGGGCTTGTCCTCTTTACAAAACGCTGGGTGAGCTATAGTTTACTGAAAGTGGTGCACTGACTGACGCGTTCAGGTGTCAGTGGAGAGACTTGTCCTACTTGGAACACGCTGGGCAAGCTACCGCTTACTATAAATGGTGCAATGACTACCGCGTTCAGATGTGAGGGGACGGCCTTGTCTTGTTTAGAAAACGGTGTTGTGCCTACCGTTTTAAGAGTCGTCTTCAAGAGTCTCGTTTTCTTGTTGTCAAATCCAATAGAAACGGCACCTGCTGTGACGTTTTCAGAAGGAAAAAAGCACAAAAATTTGACATCATCAAACACGGTATGTCTTCTGGCGTTTTGAGGAGAATGAAAATGTTACTAATACTGACGTGTTCTTTGCAAACTGAACACGTTATTCATGATGACATTTTGATAAACGTTGACTTTTCTGGCGTTTCCCAAATCGGTAGCTGACACACCGTGTTGCCCTGCATTAGGATGGCAAATAGTTTGACCATAAGATTAGATAGGTCAAACATTTTAATTTAAGAATCAAATAGGTCAAAAAGCTTGTTTCTTTTGGTTTTAAAAACTCTTGTGATTGTGTAGAGATAAACTATGTCAAATGAAATGTTATTGAGTAGATCTTAAAAAGTTATATGAAATAAAAAAAAAATTATCTGATTTGAATTCCCAGATCAAAAATTATAACCATCCAAAATTTTAAGATTGCCTTAAGGTAACGAAATTATTATGAGTTATCCAGAGTAAAAAACTTGAGTGCTCCGGGGGGTCGCAACGATACTGCTTTTTCCCACGGCACGATACCGCTTTTTTCCACTGCATTAAACGAACTCTATTAATAAATATCAAAAATTAAATACTAAATAGGAAATCAAAGGAATATAAAACCTCTCTTTAGTCAAATAGCCTAAAGTGCTGATGCAGTTTGATTAGAAGCCCAAAAAGCAAAAAGCCGTTACCCATGTGCTTTTGATAGAAGCTTACGCTTTCCCAACGGTCACAAAACGAGCTTTTCTTCCTGGCCATACGATTTGTTTCTTGCCGCTACCTACCGTTAAAATCACCTTTGCATTTTTTTTTCTTCCTCCATCCACTTTGTTTCTGGGAAAAGATTAGCTCCTCTATTTAGAAAAGATGAGACTAATTTTTTTTTTTTGAATGAGAGGCGATTCTTTCTGACCCCAAAGAATTATAAAAATTTGCTTTAATTAAAATTTGAACACTATCAAAGCAAATTCTGACACTCAATTATCAACTAGTTAAATCTCATTTGCATTTAACAGGGTTAGGAATTGATTCAATTGAAGCTTAACTATTCTTTTTTTTTTTTTTTTTTGGATAAAGAAGCTTAACTATTCCTTTGTTTCCAAAAAAAAATGATAACATTTCCCTTGTTTAAGCCTTCCCAGTTCCCCCCACATACATGTTTTTTATTCCTTTTTTGGCCACTGTTTTATATGCCAATTCAGTGCGCGTGACTGCACTAACTTTATTTGTTTTGGAACGAATCACATGGGACCAAACAGCTAATGACATGACATATAAAATTCAAAACAAAATCATTTTTAATCTAACATCATGTTTGTCTCTGCGGCGGATAAGATAAGAACAACGGAAACATGCCAACCAGAACCTGTCAACATCCTTTCGCCCCTTCCAGAATAATCTTTTCAATAACAATGCAATTATCTTTAACCTAACAATAATTTAGCATTTTAACCTCCAAAGCAAAAAAAGGTTGTTCAAAAGGAAAAAAGAAAAGAAAAGAAAGAAAGAAAAGCTATTGCTATTATTTGCCAGCAAAGCAAATAATGGACTTTTACTTTAGCTAGCTTTTTGAATTTCCACTATATATAAAAACTAATCTTCCTTCAACTTAATTTGCCCATAACAGAAGAGGAGTTAGGACTTGTTTTGAGTTAGCTGAAACAAAAAAGAAAAAAAGGAAAAGAGGGAACTGAAGTGAGTGAGTGCAAGAGAGGAGAAAGAAGAGGATGGAGAGGGAGGAAGATGTTAAGATTGGAGCAAACAAATTCTCAGAAAGGCATGCATTGGGGACAGGGGCACAGAGTGACAAGGACTACAAAGAGCCACCCCCAGCACCCTTGTTTGAGCCAGGGGAGTTAAAGTCATGGTCTTTTTACAGAGCTGGGATTGCTGAGTTTGTGGCCACTTTCTTGTTCCTTTACATCACCATCTTAACAGTGATGGGTGTGAATAGGTCACCCAACAAGTGTTCCTCTGTTGGCATTCAAGGTATTGCTTGGGCTTTTGGTGGTATGATCTTTGCCCTTGTTTACTGCACAGCTGGAATATCAGGTACACACTTCCTTCCTTTCCTCTCTATTCCATTCTTTTTTCTTTTTTCTTTTTTGTATTCTTTTAATGAAAGATTTTTCCTTTGAACTAACCCCAGATCTTTGGTGTTGGTTGGCACAGGTGGGCACATTAATCCAGCAGTGACATTTGGTCTCTTTTTGGCTAGGAAGCTGTCCCTCACAAGGGCCCTATTCTACATCATCATGCAGTGTCTTGGAGCTATTTGCGGTGCTGGTGTAGTGAAGGGCTTTGAGGGCAATGCTCGCTATGAGATGTACAAAGGTGGAGCAAATTTTGTGAATCATGGATACACAAAGGGTGATGGCCTTGGAGCTGAGATTATTGGCACCTTTGTTCTTGTTTACACTGTTTTCTCCGCCACTGATGCCAAGAGAAACGCTAGAGACTCTCACGTTCCGGTATCTGTTCTTTGTTCTCGCTTCTTAGTTAATATATATATTGTTCTCTTGTTTTTCACATTTGAGCTGTGCTTCTGTTCTGAATGTTAAATTTTAGCGAAAATGTAGTGGTGGGTTTTGGTACAATAAACAGGTATAGTTAGAAATGATAAAGCTCTCTTAAACCCTGAAATATCGAACTCTTGTTCTAATTGGAAACCTAAGGGTATATTTTTAATTATCTTAATTAAAATATAAGAGTAAATATATCTTTACTTAAGTTTACTTTAGATGAATATCTTTTTTTTCGAAAAAAAAGTCATGAAAATTAACACAATAATGTGCTGTTTGTATGATATAATTGTAGATGTTGGCCCCTCTTCCAATCGGGTTTGCTGTGTTCTTGGTCCACTTGGCCACCATTCCCATCACAGGAACTGGCATTAACCCAGCTAGGAGTCTCGGTGCTGCCATAATATTCAACAGAGACCGTGCCTGGGATGACCATGTATGTGTCCTTTCACTTATTTCTGATTATGTGGCTTGAAATATCCACCTATATGCTTAAGCCCGTATGTATATACTGCCAATAATTTTTGAAAATTCTTTTTTATTCTGCTTTGAATAAACGGTTTTTTTTTTAATTAATTTTATGTCTTACAGTGGATTTTCTGGGTTGGACCTTTTATTGGAGCTGCCCTTGCTGCTGTATATCACCAGATAGTGATCCGAGCAATTCCTTTCAAGACAAGGGGTTAATCCTTCATCAATCTCTGCTCGTTTTGAATTATGTTACCTGGTGTTGTCTTCTTATCTATTTGGCCAATTTATGTGGAATATGTATTTGTTTCTAATCCATCATATATGTGTAAATTAGGACTTAATAGTTCCTACCTGTTGTTTGTGAACTGAACTGAGAGATTCTTTCTTGCTATTATGCCCTGTGCCTCGTGCTTACGATTTTTTTTACCTTTTTTGCCTCCCTCAGAAGCGCACTGTTAATAATGAGAACCATAAAATGTAGAAACCATTAAAAATCCCTCACCTACAGCCTAAGCTTTTCGGTTAAATTAGTTTTTTACATGGTATCAGAGCCTCAGTATACTGGATTCGATTCTTATCGCCCTCACTTTCTTTCTAGTGGAATTTCTTTCTTCGCACATGTAGGTGGGCCTGTGCATCGTCCACTCTCGTGTGAGGAGGTGTGTTGAGTTGAATTTGTTCTTTACAAAAACAATCGTTCAATTAGTATTTTTCATCTCGAAATGCTTAATAAGCCTTCGATAATTGCTACGTAATTTTATCACAGGTAAGGTAACTATTTGAAGTAGTTATTTATGGCACTATAATATCATAATTATAGGAATGGGCAACATTAAATATATGTAAGTTCTATTTTATTTGTTTGTTTATTTATAAATCTGATATGAAATGTATTATGTTATTTGTGAAGTTTCATACAAAATAGACTCATGACGACATCTGTTATACCTTTGTTTCCTAAAATATTGTTTAAATTTTTTAATACAGTATTTTTTGAAAGTAAATATCAGTATTTAAAAACAATTAAGATATTGTTAAATTTGAAAATTTTATCTATACAGATTATTTTTGTCACATCATAACTCACAGATAATTTACGAATCATTTTCTTCCCTTCGTTAATAGCAAATCATAATCTACGTAACATAACGTACGTTAATAGCAAATTATTAAGCTCGCAAATTGGAGATGCAGAGGGCAATTTCTGTTTTCTTTTCTTTTCTCTCTATCGAGCCGATCTCACCTTTTGTCTCCATAAAGTATTTTACTAAATTAATATGAATGATATATTTTATATAGTATAATTTTACAAAAACTTTACAAATATGTATAAAGAAGAATTATATTGACAAGAATTTTTTTACAAAGTACACTGAAGAGTGTTTCACCAGTAAGACATAGTGTAATTTTATATACTATGATAAAATGTTTTAATCTTTTGAATGTATAAATAACATTGGTTTAGAAGTCAAAATATAATATTAAATATATGAAAAAATGTATAAATTAATCTTTTGAATATATTATATTGACAAGAATTTTTTTACAAAGTACACTGAAGAGTGTTTCACCACTAAGACATAGTGTAATTTTATATACTATGATAAAATGTTTTAATCTTTTGAATGTATAAATAACATTGGTTTAGAAGTCAAAATATAATATTAAATATATGAAAAAATGTCAACATTAAATAACTTGAACGTATTTATAAAGAAGGGCCACCAGTGCGCGGCCTGGGAAAAAACAAAAAACAAGTCAAAGTGAAAAAGCTGCAACTCTGCAAATCATCTGATAGTCATGATTCATTAATACACTCTGCATTTTATATATTTCTTTGGGAAACAGCCCAAAAATTAAATAAATAAAAGAATAACTAATCCTTCAAAATGCTGCATCAAGCAGGCGAAAAGTTGCTAAAACATTTGTATTAAATAATAATAATAATAAAGGATGTTACAACATTAACAGCACCCAGCACGACAGCAAGTGTATTAGTGGAACAACACAAGCACATGCTGGAGGAAAATATTGTTCAAGTTCCCTTTAATTTAGTTCCTAACCATCTGTACAACAGACATTTATGTTTTGACAGTAATGCTTTTGGCATCACCACCATTTTTCAGCTGGGATGATCACATACAAGTATAAAACAGAGGCAGCACCGAAGATGGTAATGTACATTTACCTAAAAGTGCTAAAAAAAATGCTCAGTAAGACCGAGGCTAACGTTGCATATCCTATGGTATCCACTCTGGAAGTCAGAATTTTGCACCATATTTGTGGATGGTATCCAAAATTAGTTTGACACTTCAAAGTCATTCAACGAGTACCTAAATTACTGCACTCCATGAGCATGCCATCCTCATAAAGATTTTGAAGGGTAATCAACATCCTGATCATAAGCCATTAACAGCTATGTGGCACAAAGCAATGGAGCATTAGGATTAAGATTTAGGGATGAAATTTAACCTTACATGATCACTTAACAGCTGTAGTGACACACAATCAGTTAAATATGACTTCCCATCATAAAATTCTCTTGGAACTCCCTGGACAGCCCTCCTATTATGGTTTCCAAGAGCATCATTATTAGATGAAACTATATCCGGGCAAGCATAAGCGGTTTGCAGAATCCCCCAAAATGGTTCATTTTTTCTCTCCTGATAAGCAGTGTTTCCATGTGAATAAAGACCATTTTGAGTCCTTTGGCTCACACCGACACCTTCAAACGAGAATGTTGGCTGTTTTGTTTGATGAAATGGGATTGCACCACAACCACCGGTGAGGGGTGTAGATGAGCCAGATGCAGTATGAGGACTTGATATTGGAGAGGGAGACATCCTTCCACTCATATGCAGTGATCTAGAATGCAAAAGGGAGCTCCTAGTAGGAGACACAGGACGTGACACGTTCCTTGGTATATGGGTATCACTGAAAATAAAGGATGAGGGGAAAAAAATTAGTTCATTTCATTTCACATCAGAGACAATTCTCATGCCCTTGTATCAACAAACCCCTAACATGAGGAACAAATTTGACCAATTTTCATCCGTGGCCATGACATTAGTACCATAATACTCACTTTTCCAAATTGTTAAATAGTTGAAGCTTAATTATGAAGCTACTTATCTAAGATGAGTATGATAGGATCCGAAATACAATAATAAGAAATGGATGGAAAAAATGAAGCTGTGTATTGACTATGGTTGGTAATTCAGCAACAACGGTGCAAGTTATGGTGTACAACAGAGAAGAATACTAGGTGGAGGTATCGTATCAGAGCATTAAAGCACTGCAGGATCCTAAGTTTACACTCAAACTTCCTTTTAAGAAAAGAGAACTGTGGACGATTTTGTATTATGACTTTTAACTATTCGAGTGACAAAATAATCATCAGGAACACGCGAGTTAGCACCACAAGTATTCCTATCCAAGTATCCATGTATATATATATATATACCCTCTCAAATTTGCTTTATCTATGCATATGATCCTTCTCATGCTTGAGTGTGTGCATTTCAGAGACAGAGAAAGAGAGAGAGAGAGACCTTAAACCTGAACCAGTTCTCAAGCTTCTAGACAGATAGATACCAGCCACTTCTGAATCAATGTATAAATTATGTTTTGCCGGTCCGATGGCCTAAAAAAATAATAACACAGTGATAATAACGAATCCAAGAAATATGTGAAAAACCAAAAAGAACAAAAAGACAGAGAGACAAAACATGGATCCATATGTTTGCCATGAATCAACCATCTAAAGATTCCAATGGGTTTTAATCAAATTCATGCATTCTGACAACTATATACTTTACGTAAAAGCCTTATACCAGAAATGCTTTATTAAATTCAGGATGTACTACGAAATTCATAGCAAATCTATATACTTTGGAGAAAGGCTGCTGCATATACTTGCACAAATTTTGGCATGTAAGAGTAAGAACTTTGGAGAAACAGTATTATGAACAATTCCAATTGCTTTTACCAGAGATCTCACTGCATTTGTAATAGCAGGTGTTGCTTCTGAAGGATCAGCAGACAGAACGGACCTTTCTGGTGTGGCTTTTTTAACAAATGGATGCATCAGAAGTTGAGCAGCTGAGGGACGACATAGTGGATTCCTTTGCAAGCAAAGCCTGACAAAATCTTTTCCATCTTCTGATAGACGATCTGGGATTGCAGGAAGTTCCTTGCTGTTCCCAATCTTAAACAAAGCAGCAACCTAACATGTAGTGTACAACAGAAGAAACAAAGATAAGCAATCAACATTCACAAGCATGTTCTCCAAGTTAGGGATTCATTTGTTTGCAGAAAATAGAGTTGAAGTGAATATGAAACAGTATTCACAATCTTCTTTAGTCTGTCGTCAAAATTTCCTTACCCCTTCATATTGGCTCCAAGGTGGTTTTGTCGTAGCCATCTCCAAAACAGTGCAGCCAAGGCTCCATATATCAACAGCAAGATTACAACCATTTGAATTTTTTATAACCTAGACAATCAGAGCAGTGTTACAAACAAGAACACTACCTGAAAAACATCAATAGCAAAAAGAGCTAATTAACTTGGAAATCATGCTGACCTCAGGTGCCATCCAGTAAGGACTTCCTTTGAAAGATAATGGACAGGACTGCCCGCTTATCTGCAATTTGTTCCAATAGGGAATATTAGAAGCCACAGCCTCATGTTGAAGCACAGACAGTATATTTGACTCCATTCAGATTATTCAATGCCCTAGAGGCAGTTCCTTTATTGACATGAAGATAAAAGTTGGGCGGCATACACATAAAAAAATCTTATAAAGGCTCTTACATGCTTTGCCATCCCAAAATCTGCCAATTTTACCCTCCCATTAGGATCCACCAGTATGTTTGCTCCTTTAATGTCTCTGAACAAAATCCAGCAATTAGGCCAGAGGAAAATAAGTTACCAACAAAACTAAAGATGATAATTAAAACAGAACTTTTAAGAAGATAGTCATGTGATTATAATCAATCTATAAGACTCACCTATGGACAGTGTTTTTAGCATGTAAATATGCAAGACCTAACAAAATTTGCCGAGTATAATTACGAATAGCAATTTCACCAAGCTGGCCATATTGTTGAAGCAACTTATAGATTGACCCACCAGAGACATACTCCAAGTATATATAAAGTTTGTCATCTACCTGTTTATTATAAAGAACCATAAAGCAGTTAACACAAGCTGAAGTATCGATACCATCTCTTAAAATTATAGTAGTCTGACAACTTTTAAAAAGACGTATACTTCTCAAAACACAGTAGCAATTACGGTTACTGATTTATGTGCAAGGCAATATGTTTTAAGATCTCAATTGATTGCACAAATTTGTAAAATGAAGCTGTTAAGAGTAGTTGTAGAATGGCAGAATTCCAGAGGAAGAGACAGAGAAGAAGGGAGAGAGAGAGAGAGAGGAAAGGAGAGAGAGATTGTAAGAAAGTAATTGCTTGCTCATTCGATACAGCCATCCTGGCTTTTATAACGGCAGATTACAAGGATTTGAAATACTAAATGGTAATTCATACTAATATGGACTAATTGATACTAACACTTTATTAATGGATGCTAACAAATGCTAATTGATATGAATTAGGACTTATTGATACCAATTCAATCTTTTATTAATGAAAACTAGCAAATGCCAGTTGATACCAATGAAGATGTGCTTGGAATCTTCCCTAGCCACTTTTAGGAATGTTTTTGCACTGGGAGTAGACACGAAGCCCTTGGAACGTAACAGAAGTAAACAAAAGTTAAACCATTATTAGAATGAAGCAAAGAGTTCAATAAATATACCGTCTCAGATCCATAATATTGGACTATATTTGGATGCCGCAGGCGACTTAGCAGTGCAATTTCCTGCAAGATGCTACTGGTATCAGTGAATATGCATCATCCATACATATCAAGGATCAATCAATATATACATATATAGATACACACCCTTTTACAACTAATGGATTATTTCATTTTCAAGACTATCCATTTTTTAATTGTAAAAAAGGTAAGGGCGAGTGGTGAAAGTAAAAGGTTTGCTTTTTCACTTTCTAAATGAGATATTAAATGCAACAAAGGAAATGCGGTTCACATAATCTACAAAAGCAAGCTTACTTGGCCAAGTTGTTGTTCACTTTCCCTTGATTTAGCATCATCAGAAAAAAGGGTTACCTCCTTCATTGCACACATCTCACCACTTTCACTATTGATCAAAAGTTAAATTAAATCAGATGTAAAAGTAGAAAGAATTTAATGCAGGAAAATCATAGATAACCCACACATCGAGACGTGAACAACAGAACAATTACAAATATCAAATTTGAATCAGGTCTGGTGTTGACATTAACATATCAAGAAGAAGACAAATAATGAATCAAAATCAGCTAAGTTCAAAATTCTAATATCATGCATAAAGAAATCCTAATACCAATAATATGATCGTAGGTCCAACCGTAGAAAATATATAAATATGTTCCTTGAATACCACCAGCTATGTACCTGTTAAAACCTAGATATACATGCCCAAATGTCCCCCTTCCAAGCAGTTGCCCCTTTTTCCAGCGTGAACCAGGGCTTGTTATATTTTCTGAAATGCCAGGACTACGCGGTGCTGAAGTAGATGTGGTTGCACAATAGGTTGGAGAAAATGGACATGAATTAGGGATTGTTATCGGCGGAAGTGGTAATCGGTGAGTCCGTTGTTTTGCATCATCAGGACGTCTTGTGGACAATTGTGTTCCTGCACCTCTAGCTCGTGGATGAAGAGGGGTGACAGCACCACTGTGTATCCTGGAACTGAGACTGGGGCTTGTCATTCCAGGACTAGGTATTGGAGAACACTCAGGGCTGCACCTGCTCTGCATCCAAAATGTCTGCCCCGACAGATCTCCGCCAACTGAATTATGCCCAGAATTATAGCCCGAACCCGGACTAGAGCAATGCCCAGAAGCTATATCTGAATAAAGCTTTCCTGTACATAAACCAGAGTTCAAAACTTGCTCCAGACCAAATGTTCTCACTGGACTTCTAGAAGGACTTGACATTGAACTATCTGGAGCACTCCATAAACCACCTGAACAAGCTATTTGCAGATTTGGCAGATGTAAAGGAGCCATTTTAGGTGAGTTAGATATAAGCTGGTGATTGCACAATTGAGGAGCAGGTTTTGAGGACGCTCTTGAGTTTTTTTGGAGAGTAATAGGTGACTGATCATTGTGCGCCACACTTTACGAGCATTGAAATAAATTTAATCAGATAAAGGAAAAGAAAATAAGGGAAATGCAAGGAAAGGTCTTTTAATCAAATAAAAAATGCATGAAAATGGAGCAAACCCACCTGAAGGTACCGTGAATGGTGGTTCTGTTTCCATTTTCACAGTCAGATGCCACAGGACTAAGGAAATGTGAGTCAGATTGGTCATCACTATCAGTAGAGCTTCCACTAGAAACAGATGCAGTGGCTATATCTCCCTCAGCATCTGCAGGTTCTTCCCTGTTAGAGACATAACCAGGTTTTGGTAGGGGAAAATATAGTGATGGTTTTGAGCCTCCATTGCTTTCCAGTTTTGATGTTACACTAATTCCAGAATTTGCATGATTGGTAGAAGGAAGGTGCAATCCTGGGAGTGGAAGTGGCTGCGCACGAGGCCTTTGTGCAAAACTTTGACACCGGGAGACGTGTGTAGAGGGTGATGATGATCTTGAAGGCTCAAGGGATCTAGATCCCTTTTCTGAAATAATCTCATTATGATGTCTCCTAGACCCTCTTGATTTATCATTGCGCTTCTCTCCAGAAGTGCTTTTCAATTTCCGCTGTATTGTCTCAATAATACTTTCCCTGTTTTCTTTCCTGTTCCCTTTTTTGGACGAAGACTTTCCCCACCATGAAGGCATGTCTTCGGGAAAAGCTTATTAAAAACACACAAAATAAAAAAGAAAAGAGGAAATGACAGGATCTGCAAATTCTTCGTGCAAATTCACGTTTGGAAGCAGCCAACTGTCACATTTACACCAAGGAACCAAATGCGAGACTCATGATTGTAAAATGGAGTATTCATCACACAGCATCTTAATCTCCACTGAAGAGCAATATTCTGTTCTAAATTATAAAAGAGGAGTGTGTCACACCACAAGAACCTGTACAGAAAGTTCCAATGTTAGTTTAGTTCTTACCCATAATAAACATTTAATAAACAATATCAAAGACATAAGAGATACATGGTTGTGTAAAAGTGACTGGGATCAGATAACTGATCCTCAATGTCTATAGAAGCCATTTTGTTGGTTGAAAGTTCAGAATTAGGATTAACGCATGCATAAAGCATAAGATTAAATTCAACATTCATTTTTAGGAGAAGTACAAGATCAAATGAAACACCGGAAGCTTATGGAAAGAATATTAAAAATTAAAACGATGAGGAAAAATTATCCATGACATAATTTTTATACAATGGATGGCAGATTAAAAAGGTATACTAGTATCACATGAGAGTACTAAGCAGTAAAAGTTCTTCCAACCGATATCTTGATCAGAATTACCAAGAAAAGCACATAAAGAATTTAAAATTTAACTACTAGGAACATAGCATTTCGCATGTTGTAGTCTATGGCAATTATTGGATCCTAATACAGGCCAATGTATGTTTAGATGCTTTCAGAACCTAAAGAGAAGTCCAGAAAAGACCACTAAAATTTCCCAAATTAAAAATTAGAAGGCATGCTGATGATATCACGGTTCTAGAAAATTAAAGACAAACTAGACAAGTGAGCAGTGGAAGTTTTATTGATTTAGTCTACAATTAATGCTGAAGTATCACTTAAAAGCCTGGAAACCAGACTTTGTCCAACCAATATGCACAGTTTATACAGACTAAAATTGAATTTCAGAAAGGCCTTAGTCATTTTATTTTGAGATCAAAAGAGAGAATCCCGGGGAAAGGAGTACACCCTATAGTCCAATTAAAAAGAAAAGAAAAAAAAAGGAAAAAAGATGATACGAAGACAATCTAGGAAACGGGTATTGGAAGATATAATTTAGCCAAAAGCACTTAAGCAGGACTTGCATTTCAACACAGTGGGAGCACAGGTAGAGTTGGATGATTCAGAAGGTACATTATATAACTCGGCATTTGACATAGTTTAGGATTTTATTGAGGCAATAATATTTTCTGCAAATGGCAGTTATAAGTACGACAATCCAAACAGTAAACATATGGCCAACGTTATCCCTCTGCCTCTTTCTCATGTACCCTAACAAAGTCGTCTCAATTTTTTATAACAAGCTTGTCAGTGTCAAAGAGTCATCTTAATTCCTTCTCTCAATTTCCTTATTCTTAGTTCTCTCAGCTCTGGAACTTGGACAACCAGCAGAAAGCACTATATAAGTGCAGGAAATCAGAAGATGGAAGTTAAAGAACCAAAAGGAGAGTCCCTGAACTCAGATCTAGTAGTTCAACCAACTCTCTTGGACTGAAGCGATTACATAATCAACGAAATTCATGAAGAAATTACCGGAAACTATGAACCTCCTTCAAATTCAACTGAAAATGTGAATAAAATAGTTGCAATTCCTGTCTTGAACTGTCAAGAACTGAGTTTGGGTAAACACGAAAGAACATACTAGAGAGTTCAAATTCCGAAAAGAAGCATGCAACCTTCGTAACTTGATGGTGAACATTTAGTGTTCAATTCAGCACAAAAAACAAACCAGGCGAAAAATGAGTATTAGCCTACAATACAATCACTCACTGATAAAAGTGACGGTTGGAGAAGAAGATTCGAAGCAGAAGGTGTCTGTCCCTTTCCCGCAGACACAGCGACAAGAAGCTGAAACGGCAGAGAACAACGGCAAGGAAAGAGACAGAAAGAGAATAGAGAAAGAACAGACCACAACTAAAACAAACGGAAAACAAAACAGCTTAGTATATATCTAAGCGATTAAGTGTAATATGAAATTAATGTAATATAAATAATTGGAAATAAAAGAACTCAGGTGAGAGTGCGACGCTTCATGTCTTGTCTAGTAACAGAGTCTCAGACAAGATCATGGTCGTTTATTAAACTTACGCGATGCCAAGTTGTTTTCGTGTCGTGTCACTGATCAGTTAGCGATAGGGGGAACATGGAATAGTGGTGGGATCCCTACACACCCAATGCTTCTTAATCTTTAATTTTTTAAATGGCGACATACTAAAGATAATCCATCGCCGTCATGCTTTATACAATTGGAGATTGATTATTTTTTTATTTGCTCTTCCGTTATTTCTTTTTATAAGCATTTAGATTTACCCATGTTGATGATTAGATTTAGTATTGTGTAACAACTTTTATGTACAATTTTTATTTATAGAAATAACCGTTGTATGTCTTTAGAAACCTTCCATGTTAATCCAATTATAAAAATATTAAACTTTCTTGTATCCAAAAAAAGTATATTAAATTTTCATTTTTTTTTTGAAACATTAAATTTTCATTTATTATATATCAATTTTTATCTAAATCAATCCATATTAACAAAATTACCTTGAACTCTATAAATTTGCCATCTATCAATCAATATTAATAAAATTATCTTAAAACACAATTCATATTGGTTTAAAATGCTATATAAATGAGATTAGAATTTAATGTTTATCATATTCTAGAAGATAATTTTATCTCGTATATATACATAAAAGTGTGTAGTGTTCATTTTTTTTTTCTTCACATAATTCCACATAAGTCTCGTATATTTTTATGTAAACATGAGAAATTAATCCCTATACAAATCATGTTATATTGATGAATAATAAGCTCTTAACTATCTACGTATAAAAAATTCATGTGCTTGGAGTCTCTAATTAAATAAATCAAGATTTTACCAACTGTAATTTTAGGGAGACTAGATAGATAGCAAAGCATATGTGATCGCTTATACGATTGGATAACCAACATTAAAAATTGTCCTTGCATTAGATGGTTCGCTGTTTTGATGATCCCAACCTCGTTACCACAACTCTTGTATTTATTATCACTTTACTTTCATTGCTACCCCTCCATTGGATATTGATAGTATTCATGAATCTATTTCGACATCTTTACTTTATGGAAATAATATCATCATGGTGCCATTATTCCTACTTCATGTTTCTAGAAATCTGTGCTACTTTTAACTTTATGATTCTATTCCTATGAATACCTTCCACGCAATTGGTCTAATAGATAGCACTCTCAACGATTCTGATTTGTAAGCATATGATATTATTGATCTTTTTTTATTTAACGGCTCTCAGATGAGGTGTCAAACTCAGATGAGGTGTCAAACTTCAAATTTGACACCAGTATCAAAGGATCCTTTGATCTAACAGCTCTCAGATGAGGTGTCAAACTACAATATGAGATAGGATCCTTTGATACCGGTGTCAAATTTGAAGTTTGACACCTCATCTGAGAGCGGTTAGATCAAAAAAGATCAATGGTATTATGTGCTTACAAATCAGAGTCGTTGATTTGTTTTTTATCTATCGGCGCTTAGATGAGGTGTCGAATTTCAAAATTGACACCGGTGTCAAATGATCCTACCTTATATATATATATATATATATATATATATATATATATATATATATATAGGAAATAACTCTTATGTCATATAAAATAGTTTCCTCATATTGTAGACACAAAATATGTAGAGCTTACCTATTTATTTTTTAAAAACAAATCAAGACATATCTTTTGATGAGTGTGTAGAAGGTATATTATTTCACATGTATACCCTATATATATGGAAAAAAATTAAAATATTTCTATTGAATGTATAAAAGGAAAAATTAGAGTAGAAGAATGCAAAATATAAAAGAATGTATAAAAGGAAAAATAAGAGTATTAAAATTTCGATTCCTTATGTATATAAAAAAAAATTCAATTACTTATTTATTTATGAAAAAACGTAAAGTCACGATTTAAATGACACTCGTTCAAAGATAAAATAACACATCCAAACGACATTTCTTTTCAAATCAAATTTTTTATTCATAAAAATAATTGATTAACTTTTAATCCAACAATATATATATATATATATATATATATATATATATATATATATGGGGCAGGTTCTTTTTACACCGGTGTAAGATTAACAAGTCTTATACCACATCTCAACCGTTGATGGACAGAAATTATCGGTTGTCATTTGTAGTGTAATTAATAATTAATTAATATTAATTAATTCGTATGACTCCCTAAATTAGAACCGTTGGATGCACGGAAATCAACGGTTGAGATGTGGTGTAAGACTTGTCATTTGGAGTCTTACACCAGTGTAAAATGATCATGATCCTATATATATATATATATATATATATATATATATATATATAAATATATATATAGAGGTTGGATCTTTTGACACCAGTGTCAAATTTGAAATTTGACACCTCATCTAAGAGCCATCAGATCAAAAAAGATCAACAACTCTGATTTGTAAGCATGTGACACCATTGATCTGATGGCTCTCAGATGAGGTGTTAAATTTCAAATTTGACACCGATGTTAAAGGATCTTACCTCATATATATATATATAGGAAGGATCCGTTTACAAAAAAAATTTACAAATTTTTGCAAATTACACTATGTACCCCCGAGAGAACATAGTGTAACTTAGTGTTCTACCGGGAGAACATAATATAGTTTGTAAACAAAAAAGTTTGTAAATATAACCTGCCCCCATATATATATATATATATATATATATATATATATATATGGGGGCAGGTTATATTTACAAACTTTTTTGTTTACAAACTTTTACAAACTACACTATGTTCTCCCGGGAGAACATAGTGCAATTTGTAAAAAATTTCAAAAAAAAGTTTGTAAACGGATCCTTTCCTATATATATATATATATATAT